GAAATCGGATATCGATCCTTCGTTCTCGCGTAGCTCACGGTCGATCCTTTCTTCTTCTGTTTCGACGGGTTCTGGCTCGGGTTCAGGTTCAGGCTCAGCACCAAAGCTTGCACCCATTCCGGAGAAACTGGGCATAGGAACACCGGCTTTATCGAGCCCCCGTTGGGTTTGTTCAAGTTCATGGTGTTCGAACTCAAGCTGGCCGACTAAGTTTCCGATTCTAAAATCGATAACGCCCTGTTTAAATAGAAGCCAAGACAGAGCGTGGATGCAATGGATAACCTTGGGAATGTTCTTTTTCTCGTACAAGTCGATCAACTCAAAGCGGAACACCTCAGGGAGCTCAACCTCATCTAAGAACTGAAAGAAAAGGGCAATGTTATCAGAATGGCGGAACTGTAACTTAGGATGTCGGAAAATCCGGAATATGCGGTGAGGATATAAGGCCTGGACCACTTCTGCTAGTGTAACCCCATCGCGGAGCGCTTCTTCCAATTGAACGATTGGGGCAATTGGCTTTTCGATAACGTCCTCAATCCACTCCTTGGCTTCACCGATATGACAGAGGTACTCGTACGCCTGCAGAAATTGTCGCTGTTTGTCCATCCAATCTCTTTGCGACCATAGAGCGGCATTTGATTTTTTTGCAACAGCTGCTGTCCTGGATCCACAGACTGAATCAGTTCTTTTTAATTGGCGCCGGCCTTGCAGTCCAACAACAGAGGGAACGGGACTTGTGATTGAGAATTCGTCGTCTTCGGACTGGGCAAATTTGGACAGTGTTCGAAGATGCCTTGTGGAGGATCTACCCAGCGATTGGAGTTCAGGGGCTGTAAGTGCAGCGGTAAAGGATGAATGGTTCGGAGTTGAACGTGTGCGCGCGTGGTATGAAACCCGTCTATGGTTCTCGTCCTGAGGGGGCTTATTTTCCTCGCTTCGATACGCATCGTACCCAGGTTCCTTACGGACGATATCGTGCTGGGGAATAAGGTCGATCACTGTTTGACTTTGAGTATGGCACGAGCCTTTGATTTTCGGGGGAGTGCCATTGGGCGCCTGCTTGAGAGGCCGCAAAGACCTACGAATATTTTCGTAGGCTTCTCCGGGGTTAGGCTTGCCATCAAACTCCCTGCGGCCATTGAGAACGCGTGAGCCGCGATCTACCTTATGCTCTGGTGTTCCAGGTCGATATGTGCTAGATATATGGGACGTGAGCGTACTCGTTCTGCTTGGGGTAAACGAGTTCGAGTATATCGAATAAGCGGACGAGTTGGTTGAGGCAGTGGAATCATGGCGCAAAGGACCCGCAGACTGTGTGGACAAATCTGATCGTGTAGGCTTCAGAGAGAGGTTGTATGACATTTCGATCAAAGAGGATGTTGGCCGGGGAATGAGCGCAGCAGCAAGAGAAGCCTATTCCTTTCAATCGCGCGCATACCGGCTCATACCCTAGGTTGTTTGTAGTCTGCGTGGAGCGTGCGATCAACGTTGTGCACAGAAGAGCAAAAGCGCAGGGCGGCGATGATGTCCTTTGAGAGTAGAACTGATTCGTCAACAAGCCTTATGCAAGACCGCATCTCTGCAGAACTGAACTGGGAGCTCAACGCAAGCCACGGGTGGTTGTTGATGGACGTGGGGGGGCAACATCAAAACAAAGTACCAGAAGCGGTTAGGCGCAGCGCCGGCACTTTCTTCCGACTCCGATTAAGTCATGTGACTTACGCGGCAACACGCGGCTTACCTCAGCAGCAGCTCTTGAGTTAAACTGGTTAACTAGGTTGTCTCTTTTCTCCCTCTCTCTAAAATATGTAACTATATGTGTAAGTGGATGGCAGTGATAGTAAGAGATAGGATGCTCAGTGCCGGTGCCAGGGCTTCTGTTAAAAAGAACATTTCGTCTTTTCCCGCTGTGCGGTGTGAGGCGGCAAGCTCGCGAGCTGTGTGTTGCGTGGAGCGATAAGAAGCCCCGATAAGATCCAGCTTGCGCCTTTAGCGCCTGGGCAGGACCCCACACACCAAGCACCAGGTTAAAAAAAAAGTGATAAATTCTGGCCTCGCCGACTTTTCTCTCTCTTCCCTTTTTTTCCTTTCCTTGGGAAAGCCGCTTTCTCCCCGTCAGCAGAACGTTTCATTTTGTTGACGGTATTCTCTTCTGATCCATCTTTTTGTTCTCCCGCCGTCGCCGGCAAAAAGACCGTATAATTTCTCACATTTTCCTTCGTCATGCCTATCTCCAATGGAGACGCCTCTGGCAGCGCCGTCCAGCGCCTGGGCGGGAAGGTAGAATTTCCCGACTATACCAAGGCCCTGGAGGTCTTGAAGACCGATTACCAGAACCGCGATGGCCTGGATATTAAGGATTTGCTTGATTCCAACAAGCGTGGAGCTCTAACCTACAACGATTTTCTGGTCCTCCCTGGCTACATTGGTATGCACGATTCTGGAGCTTCTTTTTCCACCCATACGTAGCAAGTAGCTAATCTGTTCTCGTTCCATCAGGCTTTCCCGCCTCTGATGTTAACCTGGAATCACCTGTCACAAAGCGCATCTCCCTGAAGGCCCCATTGCTCTCCTCTCCAATGGACACCGTCACCGAGCACTCCATGGCAATCCATATGGCTCTCCTCGGTGGTCTTGGTGTCATCCACCACAACTGCTCTGCCGATGATCAGGCTGAGATGGTCAGAAAGGTTAAACGCTTTGAAAACGGCTTCATCCTGGACCCTGTTGTCATCTCTCCAAAGACAACCGTCGCTGAAGCCAAGGAATTGAAGGCACAGTGGGGTTTTGGGGGATTCCCAGTCACCGGTATGTCGATTGATTCCACTTTCAACCCCGATTCCATCCCTCCTCCTCCTGTTCGATGATGTTATCAAATCTAAACCTTATAACTTTCGTTCAACTGAACCAACGAGAGTTGCTGTGTGGAGAATGGATTAAATCCTGAGAACCCCATGTGAAGCCTTTGCTTTTAATTGGATTTATTTACTTGCTTCTTTTTATCACCGATATCTAATTAGATTGTTGCAGAAAACGGTACCCTTCGATCCAAGTTGGTTGGCATTGTCACCTCCAGAGATATCCAATTCCACCCTGATTTGGATGAGCCTGTCACTGCCGTCATGTCGACCGATCTCGTGACCGCTCCGGCTGGCACAACCCTAGCAGAAGCGAATGAGGTGCTTCGACGCTCAAAGAAAGGCAAATTGCCCATTGTTGATACAGATGGAAACCTCGTCTCCCTTCTCTCCCGGACTGATCTTATGAAAAATTTGCACTATCCATTGTCATCTAAGTTACCCCACTCAAAACAACTAATCGCTGCTGCCGCCATTGGCACTCGCCCCGAGGACAAGGACAGACTAAAGAAACTCGTTGATGCCGGCTTGGACATCGCTGTTCTGGACAGCAGTCAGGGAAATAGCATGTACCAGATTGAAATGATCAAATATATCAAGCAAACCTTCCCCGAAATTGATGTTATCGGTGGAAACGTCGTCACCAGAGAACAGGCCGCTGCCTTGATTGCCGCTGGCGTCGACGGATTGAGAATTGGAATGGGCAGTGGCAGCGCCTGCATCACCCAGGAGGTTATGGCCGTGGGACGTCCACAGGCCGCTGCAGTCTATAATGTTACTCAATTTGCCGCCCGCTTCGGTGTCCCCTGTATTGCGGATGGTGGTATCCAGAATGTTGGCCATATCGTCAAGGGTCTTGCCTTGGGAGCCACTACTGTCATGATGGGAGGCCTCCTTGCCGGTACCACCGAGTCCCCTGGAGAATACTTCGTCAGCCGAGAGGGTCAGCTGGTAAAAGCCTACCGTGGTATGGGTAGCATCGATGCCATGGAGGAGAAGAAAGCCGGAGGAGGTGCCAAAGGCCAAGCTTCAAACACTGCCGGAACAGCCAGATATTTCTCCGAAGGCGACCGCCTTCTGGTTGCTCAAGGAGTTTCTGGCTCCGTCCTTGACCGTGGTTCAATCACTAAATTCGTTCCTTACCTTATTGCTGGTATCCAGCATTCCTTCCAGGACATTGGTGTCAAGAGCCTCCAAGAACTGCATGATGGTGTTAATAAGGGAACCGTCAGATTTGAAGTTCGCACCGCAAGCGCTCAGGCTGAGGGTAATGTTCACGGCCTCCACAGCTACGACAAGAAGCTCTATTCTTAATTGCTGGTACTGAATTTAGATATTAAGTTTTGGTATTTTATACTCCAAGGACATCTTTTTAATGGTTATTCTCGGAGGGTTGTGGCGTTTGCTGCAAGCTATTTTGAAGGCCAGGAGTTTTCAAGGGTTGGGGATGTGAAGGATTATGAACGTTGGCTTCCTGCCAGCGGTACAAATAAAAGTCTTACTACAGGATAACTAAACATTGGTGTGAATGAGAGGAATTGTCTCCTGCATGCGAGTCTCCTGAGACCATCCAGGAGGAACCCCGTAGTTTGCCGAGGCGTCTGCAAAGCTAATGTTGAATTTTCAACTCGACTATCTAGCACTTTGTCGTTGGCGCATCAAACCTTTTAAGCATCCTCCCTTGGTACATAGCCCTCAGGAAGCTCAAGTCGTTTGGAGCGCTCCTTTGAGCGAGCAAAAGGCGATTTATACGGAGCATGGAGTAATCATCGATGATACTCCCGTATAAGAGAATGTCCCGTTTCGATTCTTTCATTCATGGAGATGTTAACTAGGATAATATCGGAGTCAATCAGTGTTCTGAGACTGGTGAGCTGTACGACTGGTTCAGCGGCGGCGAGGAGCTGGCAGAGGCGAGTGGGAGGCATGGTGACACTCGGGTTGAACCTTCCCGCTCAAAATGATTTAGGCAGCGAAAAGTGGTCTCATTAAACAGTTCAAGTGGTGTTAAAATGTAGCTATGTACAGAGTAGACACAATATATAATCCACCTGACCATACGGCATCACGTCGTGCTAGGCCTCACAGAGAAGGGCTTCGAGAGCCCCTCGTATACAAGCTGCCAGTTCGCCAACAATTGATTTACAAGCCTCGCAAGACACCTACATCCCTACCGGCCTTCTTGCAGCAATTCTTGAAGCAGGTAGGGTTTCGGCCATCTTTCCAGCAGTGATATGTGCTAAAAGTGGTATCATAGTGTTTCTTATGACATTTCTTTCCGCACTTGTAGGTTGGGTAGACAGCTCCCACCTTGTGACCGTTCTGGCAGAAGTAGCAGTTCCCTGCAATGGCCTCAAGTGGGAGAAGCATGAGGAAGGCAGCGGCGCAATAGGAGAGCTTCATTTTGGCTATTTCTGGTCGACAGTTAGAAATGAACGGAACCTTGACTCTTCAAGTCGGAGACGTTACCTTCACAGCACCTAGATGCAATGATCACTTTAGAGAACAGAGATGTATCTTGATACACTCGACACTGGCTTAGCGGACACTAGCGAAAATTAGAGCCTATCTTTGTGATGGAGGAATGAATGTCCACTTTACCTGTTCTGAGGATGAAGGCCGTTGCTGGAAGGACAGGAGACTGGATCCTTCTCGGCCTTTATATATACGCTCTACTCCGTACTCCGTACTCCGTCCCTCATGCTCATCGTTTTCGGATTAAACAGAAAAAAAAAAAAAAAAAAAAAAAAAAAAAAAAAAAAAAGCATCTCGGGATTTCAAACGATCAGAACACCCTTCGACCCGCAGAATACGAAGGTGCGGCTCTGCCAGCTCATGATCAGAGCCTGAAAATGGCATGAATCATTTCCTCTCAATCACGATACAATTGGATCGCCTTGTTCATCTCCTTATTTTTAGAAAAACCCCCCCACTGGTTTGAATGTCATTGGGAAGCGTGCTACCCTAATGGCGCGCGGGAAGCGAGGGCGAGAGGATGGTCACTTGTTAGGGTCCTCTCTCCTCCACCCACATTCAGGATCCTGGTCCTAATCAGAGGAACGACAGGGGCACCACCTGTTGCGGGAGGATTCAGCAGATTAAAAAGCGTCCCGCCCATCAAGGTTGAGGAAGTCTCAACAAGAAGCGCGCACTTCTGGTAACCGAAAACTGCGGACGCTAGATTGAGAATGAGCATGATCGGCCGATGCGCCTGCACGAACCTGGTCTGGAATAAAAGGAGGAGGCTCTTCACCATGTTGGGGACGGAGGATACCGAAGGTTTCAACCCGCGTTCGAATGTTTTCACCGGGGCTGTGGGTCCTCCGCTTGACGCTGAACCTATCAAGCTCCCCTGAACGACAATTTCCCCCTTGCGGTGCACAGCTCAGAAACCGCGGCGCGGAAATTTACTCTCCGACCCCGATCTTGATCGAAGGGGAGGCTACGAGAGACACCAAGGGGGAGCTGTCGAATTTGGTGGGTTGACAGTTCGTGCTGTGAAGAGGCTCTCCCCGGCTAGTAACACTCATAAAGGACGTTCTCTTGCGATGTCGCTGTTCACGAATCAGGAGCAGTTGTTGCCGTGAGAGAGAAACGCGCCAGGCGCATAAGGCGCCAGCCTGGAGCCGCACACTGCGGAAAAGATCAAACCTTCTTGCGGAATTTCAGGGACAAACCCATGACTCCAACGATGATGGATGCGACTAACAAAAAAAAAGCAAAGCCAAAAAAAAAGAAATGATAGATAGTCGGGACACAGAAAGCTTGTCGACCAAAAAGATATCGACCGACGCAGGATTCGAACCTGCAATCTTCTCCAAGTTCCAGCATCAGCTCACCGGAAAGAGACGCCTTACCATTAGGCCAGCCGGCCTACGCAAACTTTAATTATGTCCCGCGACCGCAGCTTTTCTACCCGAAGCGAACATATATCGACACACAGATTCAGCCATGACCACCCATAAGCTGTCTGAATCTGTGCTCGATAAGATACACAGTATCATTCTGGAATTACCATCTGACTTTGCTGATTTAGCAGACCAGTACAGCCCCTCGCTGGACACATGCTATCCCAAGCCTTCCAAGCACTATGCAAATTCGGTGACTGTTATATCTGTTATGACGTGAGCTAGCACTTCATAGGCAGCTGTCATGAATGATATCGCAGCAGACGGCTGTCTCATTCCTATTGCAGGCACATTCTTGAGCTTTGTGCCCTACGCCACTGGGGGCGTTTGCCTGTCTCCTGTTGTCTCGTGTCCGTCTAGAAATTCGAATTACCCCCAAGACGTTTCTGACCCCCTATTGACTTCTAGGGAACATACGGAGCTCGCTCTCCTATTGACCGAGCCATAGTAATCTATGCAACAGGTAGTCCAGCAGATAGTTCTACCTACTGTCTAGTTCTTTGACAATCATGTGGCTCTGCTACGTCGGCTGATAGAAAAAGAGCATCAGGCGGGGTTTCGAATGGATATGTAAACCTCTGCATCATAGCAAGAGAGAATAATGTTGAATATTGCTAAATGTATCTGCTGCGGGGGCCATTATATTCAACTATACTGAATTGACGTTCGGGGGATTTTATGTCCTTAGCTTGCACCTGCGTCCGGTTCTCGCCCTTCATATCCGTTGTAGGGGGCTTGTATTGGTTCCGGGTTATCTGGTCAATAACTTGTAAATCGCAATTAGCGAGCACTGACTCAGGGTAACTATCTATCGGGAACGGGGTAGTGATTTCAAACATAGACGCCTGAGTGTCGTTTACCGTTCAACAAAAGCGTCGGGCGGTGAGAGCCCCGAAGATCTGAACGTAATCTACTCCGTAGTTAGATGCAGATCAGATGCTGACTTCTGGAATCTGTTTGTGCACATTAATTCTAGATAGGACATGCGCCAGCTATTTGTTTTCCGCTTAGATGGAGGAGCCCGGAGCTGTCACTCCTAGGACTTTGGTGGCCGACACTGCTGAGGAGACCTCGGCAAACCTTGTGTGGCTTTCCCCGCGAATCAACCAAGGCAACTCGACCACTAGTTAGAAGGCCATGATACAAGCTGGCCTGGGGCGGTGACCTTCAAATAAGGATGTTCTCCTTCGTTCCTGTTGGAGAATGCCAGCTTCTCGTCTCGCCCCTACGTTCTTCTTTCTTCGCATCCCTTGAGCATAGAGCCATTCTCGGAGTGTGTCGACAGTATTGGCATCAACCTTTACGCGCGACGCCAATTGGCAGATCCAAAAGACTTCCTTACTCAACGGTACGCAGGTTACCGCAGTATCGCACCATGGGACCGGAAGCGAAGCCCAAGGCGAAGATCGATTACAAGATACCCAGGCCGAGCTCGAGGTAAGCCTGAGATTGTAGCGCGCTAAGAACTGCCATGCGGCGCGTGTCGCCTGCGTCTTGCGTCGGTTATCACGGCTAAAAGTTCGCTTGCAGCGTGATCTTGATCTCTCCGAAGAACGAAGTCCTCCTTCTCCACCGCGTCAAGACCTCGTCCTCATTTCCCTCCGCCCACGTGTTCCCCGGAGGAACAATATCCCCCCAAGACGGTGACTTCCCTCCGGCCGGCCACCCGGATAGCCACGATGAAGGTATCCATTACCGTAGAGCTGCGATTCGCGAGCTGTTTGAGGAGAGCGGCATCCTACTCGCAAAGAACAGCATCACAGGTCAAATGATCCGCGTTAATCCCGCAGAACGGGAAAAAGGGCGGCACGCCATTCATATGAACGAGACTACCTTTGATCAATGGCTGAAGGGTCAAGATACCGCTGCGGTGGCTGATACTGGTCAGATACACCCAAACCAAAGTGCTTAGTCTGAATGAATGATTTCGTTGACCGAAGGCACTCTAATGTGTTTCTTTTTATAATAACTAGACCCTCTCGTCCCTTTTTCGCATTGGATAACTCCCCAGAGGAACCCGCGTCGTTTCACAACTCAGATGTACCTTTACTTCCTACCGCATTCGAACGGAGGTATCTCTGATATTGCTGGAGATACTGAAGTACAGGTCCCTTCAACAGATGGAGGCATCGAAATTACAGAAGCGCAGTTCCTCCCCGCTACAGAGTGGCTCCGCCGTGCCAGAGTGGGAGACATCATTATGTTCCCACCGCAGGTTCTACTCCTTGATTTTGTTGCTCAATTCCTGGATAAGCCTGGTCTAAATGGAACCAGTCCACAGAGTATCTCGGGAGAGGAGTCAACCAAACGGCGAGCCGAATTGGTCAAGTTTGCTCATTCCGGAAACCCCCCATGGACTCACAAGTTTATTTCGCCTCATCCAATAGGCAATGTTCCTGATGGTAGACAGATCCTCGATCTCAGCCAACCCGGACCCGAACTCAAGGGCACCGATAAGAAAGGGGAAATAGACCGAGTTGTGCTCGCTCGCTTCAACAAAGAAGGCCCGAGAGAGGTTGAAATCCGATGGAGACGCGATGTTCTGCCTAACGGACCTGCTAAGAGTTCACTGTGAATCTGGTCGATATCTATGTACATACGTATACATTTAGGGATACCCCAATATTAGAGTAGATGTTTAGATACAAGAATGTGTATATACTCCGTCAACCAATGGGCACAAATAAGCTCGCTCCCGTACTATGGATTTAGGCGTATCGCGTAATTCCACGCACTGGCACGACTGATCACCACGACCTGCTGACCTAAGCGTTCGGCCCCGGGTCACATGACGCACAATCCCGAAATGGATCGCACACACCAAACCGAGTCGCAAGCGAAAAGCAAACGGCCAGCGGAACAATCACCTTGCGATTCGACCCCCCACGAGCAAAACCTCAACTCTTCCTCGCACCCGTCACCACTACCGACTCGCAGACTCAAGCAGATCCGCCAAAATGGAGAACGAGAAGGGAGAAATCGTCGATCTGTGCGTATACACCACCTCTCCTCCCCCCGAAAATCCTCCCCCGCCAAGAATCACAAAGTCCTGAAGGAGACTCGAATCATATCTCGACAAGTGTTTTTTTTTTTTTCCCTCCTCAGCCCTTCGCTAACCAGTTTTTCGTTTGCGAAATAAATAGCTACGTCCCCCGCAAATGCAGCGCTACCAACCGCATCATTAAGGCCAAGGACCACGCCTCCGTGCAGATCAGCGTCGGAAAGGTCGACGAGAACGGCCGTTACACCGGCGAGAACCAAGTCTATGCTCTCTGCGGATTCGTGCGAGCCAGAGGAGAGGGCGATGACAGCCTTAACCGTCTTGCTCAACGGGACGGTTTCTTGAAGAACGTGTGGAGCGCAAGTGCCCAGCGATAAACGTGTTGTTGCGCTGGAAATATGAAAATTCGGGAATGGGTTTTTGGGGTATGTGATGTTTCTTTTCCATCGCGAGGATAGGTTTCGGGTGGTTGAAACAAGCTATTGAGTTTAAGAAGCCATGTTCAAAAGGAGGACTAGGAAAATGCTGACATTATACCCTCATGCGAATAGGTTACTTCGTGAATATTTCTACGGGTCGAAAGAGATCTGGGTTCGCTGGAGTTTTACGATAATCGTTCTGTTCTAGCTTGTACCCGCTTCGGGGGTTCCTACACGACGAACATGAATTAAAAAGGCATCACATAAACCCGTTTCCCAAAATACTTTCGCTTTTCCCTTTTCTACCTGGTCGTCAGGTTTCCATCAATCATCAATATTGCCTTGTCGCTGCTAGCTAGACCCCGTTGCATGTCCCTATTAAACGGATATGTTTCGTTATCCCACGTTATCCACGAAGAACATAATTCAAATCAACCTTTCCCGTGCCTCTCTTGAGTTTTGCCATTTTTCTTTTTATTTTTTTTATTTTTTTTAACCTTGTCCTCATTTCGTAGTTGACCTTTTAGCCGGCACATCAAGGCTTCCTCACTCCACGCCTAAGAAGGTGTGGCCTTTTCCACTATGAGTGAGGAGGTAGAATTACTCAATCATCCAGCCGGGATATGAAATCTGCCTTCTGAAGAGCTGTGGCGATCAAGATTACACGTCGGAGCACAGATACGGGCGGGACATTCTACATCTTTTCTATAATAACTATATTCCGAAAGTAGACGTTCAAGGTGGCCTTGAATAAGCACGCGCCTCAGAATTTGCAAAGCTAGGATCATGGAATATAAATTTGAATGAGAATCGTTCAATTCATCACCATCTAAGAGGGCGCTGTCTAATCTTTCTCTAGGCGCACAGCAGGGTTCGATTCAATGAAGTTGAGATCTGTCTTGTGGCCGAGAAGTTCACGGATGTTGCTCACACCATATCTATAAAAGCATTAGTAAATATGCGGCATCCGCGGATAATGGCAAAAGGCAAACTCACTTGATCATCGTTGGTCTCTCCAGACTCAAACCCCATCCGTATACTCTCATATCTTTAGGCAAACCCATCGGCTCCAACATCTCAGGTCTGAACATGCCACTGTTCCCTATCTCAACCCACCTCTTCAGCGTCGGATGATAACCAAAAATCTCCAAGCTAGGCTCAGTGTATGGGTTATAAGCAGGCTTGAAACGAAGCCCGTGAATACCCATCTTCGCGAAGAAAACCTCCATAAAGCCAATCAAGCCACCCAAAGACAGGCCGAAATCAGCAATGACACCTTCGATCTGGTGGAATTCCGCAAGATGCGTAGCGTCAACAGCTTCGTTGCGGAACACCCGGTCAATACTAAAGTATCGCGCAGGGCGTGGGTTCTGCGCTAGTTTGTGAAGCATGTATGCGGATACAGCAGTAGTGTGTGTTCGAAGGACAAGACGAAGTGATTCATCTGCGCACCATGGGTATCGGTAGCCGATTGAGCCGTATTTACCTGTCTCATGCACAGCATGGATATCGTTCCAATACCGCTCATAATCTAATGGTTTTACCGAATCGCTTTTTGTATAACTGGCTGGGTTCGAGTCTCTTGAAACATGAGGATGATCTTTTGGATCGTCACGCGGCTTGTCGGCAACTGCAGGGTCTGAAATATAAAAGGTATCTTGAAGGTCACGGGCAGGGTGTTGTTGAGGGACAAAAAGGGCGTCGAAATTCCAGAATCCGGTCTCGACGAATCGATTTGTAGGCATCTCTTCGAATCCCATTTCAAAGAAGATTTGTCGGAATTCATGACGCACTTTATTCAAAGGGTGGAATGCGCCGCTAGGAGTCACCGCACCCTTAGCATTGAAATTGTAGGGTTTGAGCTTCGCCGTCTTCCATGATCCATCAGCGAGCATTTCCACTGTGAGATCCGTCTGCTCCTTAACGAACTCCCTAGCATATTTTGGTCCCTTGGATATTCTATAGTTGATAACCTTCTGCATCGTAATAAGCTTTCTTTTCCGCAAATCTGCTAGGACCTTCGCATCCGGGAATGTCTTTGTTTTTTGGATAGTATGCAGCTGCTCTCGTGCCGTATCCTCGATCGAGTCAGCAACCGCTCTTAAAGTATCCTTATCCTTCTTAATCCATCCTTTTTTAAAGGCATTGCCAGCGCCGACCTTGGCTGCATCTTTCCCGACGACGTTTGGTAGTTCAGCGATCTTCAATCCGTCCAAGGCAGCTCGGACCGCTTCGAAAACCTTTGCTTCATGACTGCCATTGGCGACGATTCCTTCGGCTTCAGGGGATAAGATCGCTTCTTCTCGCTCTAGAGTTTCATATTGGACCATCTCTCTCGAACCCAGGCGGTCGAGGGCAGACTTGACGGACGTTGGTGGGGCTGAGGGGAAGGCATCGCTGGAGAGAATTGGCTTGTCCGTTGAGGCAAGGGCCTCCAAAACTTGATGAGTAAGATCGGAAGCCATTGTCGCGACAAAGGGACAGACAAAGAAATATCTCCAGCGCAAGGTCCTCGACCGACTGGGGAATGTGCTTGCGGCGTGGCTTGCAGGCCTCCTCGTCCGATGACTCTTCAAATTTATCGGGGAGGCCAGGGCCGCCAGATGCGCAGGGGCTTTGTGTCACGTGATTGTGACGATTTATCTCGGAATTTAGTCGGGCCGTGAAACCCCCGGGCTGCACCCTTTCCAAAGGCTATGTATCCGTAGCTCATTTTTCAAGCCATGAAAACGAGCAATTAGGTCGAAACGCATCGATCCAGAGCAGAAAGACGTTCCTGACCTTTGTTCAAGTTGCTTTCTTCCAAGACCAAACTTCTCAAAAAGGTTATACATGATGTATATGTTTGATATTGTTAAATATTCCTTTGGAGCCATATATCATATACAGTGTACTACTTAGATTACCGGCATTCCATTTGGCCCCGTCCTGCTGCTGTGTCCCTATCGTTCCATAGTCCCATATCATATAAACCAGGGGTATCAACAGCTGTTCCCGGCATTCCCAGCAGCCGAGAGGATAAAATTAAAGAAGGGAGCAAAGAGACAAAAACCTCCCGACTCTGTTTTACGGTGAAACAAACATCCCAAGTTCTCCATCTTCTACAGGGAAGCAGAGCCTTTCCCCTTAGAAACCCCTTATTCGACCCACAAAAAGAAAAAGGAAGATTGAGGCCATACCTGTGCGCCTATAGCGACTGTTTCCCACGCGTTTCAATCGGAAACAAACACATCGCAACAAACGCCGCCAAGAACAACCCTCCGCTTGCATATATTGGAGCATTTGGATCCCGATCTCCTGCATAAATAGCCACAATGGGTGCCAGCAACCCACAGATACGATTCAAACAGCTTGCGATTCCCGTTCCCGTTCCACGGTTCGGAGCAGGGAACACCTCGGGCGTGTACGCATACAGCACTCCGTACATGATATTTTGGAAAAATGCCTCGAGACATGTGCATGTTAATTGAGCGTTCGGGTTCTTAGAGATAGTGAAACAGAAGAGGATGACACCGGTGATGCATGTTGAGACAGCCATAGTTCCCTTGCGCCCGATATAGGGGATGTCGACGGTATAACAGGCGAGGATTGAACCGGGAACGCCAACGATGGAAGTGATCGCGTAGTTACGATAGACTAAAACCATAGATCAGTATCCACGCCAAAGTCAAAGGAGTTGAAGATTTATATAACTTACCAATTGAGACGGGGGTGGATGCTTGGTTCCCAAGGTATTGAGGCAAAAACGCGTTGAACAAAGGGTAAGCCATACCGATTGTAGCCCAGCAGAACCACAACAAAAGAGCTATAGATGTGGGTTAAAACACATTTTAGTGCTGCTCAAAGGTAAAACACTACGTACTGGTAATCCCCAGCCGCTTGGTTGCAAATAAGGGGGCAATCCGGTCGGCGGAGAAGCTTGCAAGCTTCCTCCTAACCATCTCCATTGGACTCAGCTTCTGGGAAGTAGTCTCTTCCTCTGGAAAGCCGCCGATCTCATTTAAGATGTCCACGGTCAACCAGGTCTTTGTTCTATTTTTGTAGGCAATAGCATGCACAGTTGCCACTGCTTCGTTCTGTCGACCCCGTGAAAGCAAGAATTTCGGCGATTCGTAGAGATGGAAAAGGAAAAAGCGGCAAATAAACATAACGAAAGTAATCGCTCCGAGGGTGATGGTGAGATATCTCCAGCCCATGTTGTCTTCCCTTCGGCACGGAACGCCAGAGGGACATGAGTAGTTTGGGATGAACCCCCATGCCACGAGACTATGTATGAACATTAGGTACAAGTCTTCTCACGGTATTGTGACGGGCTTTGCAAAATCAAACCTTCCAATGAGTTGTCCAACGGGCCACCAAACACTGAGCATGGTCAAAAGGTTCCCTGATGCAAACGGTAAGAACTCGAGGAACAATGCTCCGTCAACTGGCAAATTTCCTCCCACGCCTAGACCTAAGCACGCATACATGGCACAAACACTATCCAGACACGACAATTAGGGCGAGGAACCGGGCTCTGTTTGCAATTTTGCAGCTTGACTCACCCAACCCAAGTCGGACCTCCGCCAGCAGCAAGGCCGAACACGCCGCAAAGCAACAAAGTCATGTTGAAAGCGAGACGTCGACCAATGATGTCCGAAGCAGTTCCCCAGACGACCGCACCGATGCACAATCCGATGAACAATGCACAGGTCGTAAATCGTACATGCGACTCGGAGATTCCAAACTCTGCAGAGAGAGGGGGCAGAGTCAGAGCAACACCCTGTAACATAGAGCTGTTAAGAAATTTCAAATATTTTCGGTCTACCATGGTTAAGCGGGGCATACCTGCAGCCAGAGACTGATGAACAACGGAACTGAGTGTTAGTAGAATCGTCATAACCACCGAGGAGATTGACAAGAAATACTATTCTGCGAGGCTATTCGTTAACTCACTTGTCTGCAGTCCAGCCAAACCCACAGAGAACGAACAATTCCCATTGATATCGGCCCATCCCAATATCCTGGATAGCCCGGTTAATGACCTTGGATTTCCCTGAATACCATGCATTAGATCCATCTTCTCACAAACCGCTGCCGGGTGTTTGGGATGTACGTCTGGGAGGAATTGCCGGGAGCAGCGCCAAGTGAAATGGCAAAAAAGGGAGGTTGTTGAGCAGGAAAAGGCAAGTTGTCTGCACTCAGGCTTTCCAAAAGAAAGAGTCAAAGGACAAAACAATCAACATGCGCTGCAAAACGTACGATCATAAGCAGTATCGTGACCAGATGCAGCCACATCACTCTCTACCTCTGCTTTCAGTGCTTCAAGGGTCAATGATGTGCCGGCTTGAGAAGTCTGAATCGATCCTCTTTCCGCCAAGCTTTCATCGGATTTCTTGTCATCGGCTGCTGGCGATTGACTATTTTGCTCCTCGGCTAGAGGAATTAGGACCCCCGGGTATTCCAGAGCATCGTGCTTTTTGAGCGGATTCACAAAGAACGGCATGATAGCTTATATATATGCTTATACGGGTCTCCAGTAATGTTGATAAAAAATTGCGCTAGTCAACACGATTTGCTGCGACGGAGAGTATTAATTCGTGGTGTATTCGTTGCAACTGGTACAGGCGTGAATAGGCGAAGCTCTATGTATGTACGCTGCTAGGAAATGCTGCACCGGGCACGAGTTGGATGTTCCTTGAAGCTGCACTTGGGCAAAGGCTCGCGACGTGTTCGCTGGAAGCTCCCCCTGGTCGCTCTGGGCTGAAGAGAGGAAAACGCGGAAATCGTTTGAATTTCGGTATGCGAAGGATAAACTGAAGTCACAGACTCAAGTGATTCCGGATCACTCGTAAGAGCTTAGCGCACGGGCACAAGGGTAAACTGGTGAAAGCGTCGAGAAATGAGCTCAATTTTCTCCTGCTAGACTCTGCAACATAGATACAGTAGCTTTGAACTTTTGTATCCCCCCGGGAGTATATGGTCGACTTTTGTAGAGCCAAATCCTGCTGAAATGGGCCGAAACGTATGCGAAGGAACTGAGGTTTATCAGCAATCTAAGGATGGATGGGATGTGCTTTTTGTACACCCTGCAGTCGCCGTCGTCACGAAATTAAACTCCAAAAGATCTTTTTCTTTGAAAAGGACGCCAACTTAACCCAGCAGAAAGACAAGCCCTCATTGGTGATTTCGATGATGGGCAGCGGGATGCGGTGGGGAGTGGGGGATCGTACAGTGCTCAGGGTGATTGTTATGTGGGCTCGTATTTTGCGTGATGGTTCTTTGAAATTTTGAAGGCTATCGCAGACTTGGTGGTGGGTTGGGCTCTTCGAATCAGTTAAGCAATTCAACGGTAATTTGCGCCTATCGAAGCGCATCGGTTTCTTCCCTGTCCGCCACTCCTGGGGGGACATGTGAGTTGACGTTGGTGGGACAAAATTATGGGAAGGTGATCCATTCCACTTTGCGATTGGCCCAAACCGTGGTCCAAATTGTTTGATGGGTGCGGATAGTCGGCAGCTCGCCACACGGATGATTGTGCAGCTTGGGGTGGCGATGCCTCGTGTGGTCAGGGCAGCGTTGTTGCACATTGGGAAAAGAGCTGGCGATCATCTGCGGGCGATGACGACGGGGGCGCATACATACATATGTAGCACCGGTGCAAATTAGCGCGGTGGAAAGTCAATGCTCATGCAGCGCAACCCGATAGGCTAGCTGTCCAGGGGCCCGGATCCAATTACCAGTTTTGTATTTTAGGTTCCCGCAGCCATTGGCTGGATCAAATTATTTTTGGCCAATGGAACTCCAACTAAAATCGAACGGAAATCAAGTGGGCCCGATCCATTCGCCAGAATTTGGGGGTGTGGAGAAATGTCACATGCGCCGACCCCGGGCAAGCGCCTTCCGTCAGCAACGGACGGCTTTTGGCCTCTCTCTTGGCGACGGCTCCCTCCCCGTCCCAGTCAGGGAAGCCAATCGAACCGTCTGCATTCACGAGAGGGCTCGTATCGCCGGGGAATACAAAATGGGTTTGGAATCCAATCTCAGATGCGAGCAGCGGCAGAAAGCACTCGAGCATGTTGAGGCGCACAGGCCCAGCTCGAAAATCAAGCGATGTCCGTAGTACTCCGTACTCCATACCCCAATCAGAGACGGATAATAACCTTTTGCGGTTGAAAGAAAAGGATAAGAAATCCGCAGGTCCCGCTGTGGGACCAAATCAGCAAAAAATATTTTCGGCTGGTAAATTTCTCGCGACTCGGCCAGTCAACCCGGTGGCGTATCGATGGAGCCGTGTATTCGATAACATATGTGCGGGAGATGTGTGGTAGAAAGAGTGCAACTTCGACTCACATGAGACGCAGGTGGAGTAAGGGACGGAGAGTCGGCTGTAACGATGTGCAATAGCTGAAGGATAAACATATATATATATATATATATATATGTGCATCGAGTTTGCGCTGGTTGGAAGCTCTGTGCATGGTTCGCGAGGTCTTCAGAGAAGCATTGACCACTAAGGGTGGCGCAGGCTCTGAGTTGTTCCCCTATATACCCCGTACGGAGTATGGCGGTATGTGTTGTCCTGCTCAAATTTGGTACTGACCTTTCCTTTTCCGCTGCCCAAGATGCGGGAGCCACGGCGTCATATTGTTCGTCTGAGTATGGAGTAACATAGCGGCCGTTGCGGAGTACAATGAAAGAGATAACACCGCGTGGACCTGATCTGTGCACCATTACTGTCGAAAGGCTCACTTCCCAAACACTGACCGCTCAAAAATGAAATTCAATGGCCATGGATTGGAACTTCTCACACCGGATTTGGAGCTGAAGAAATGTGGCCCGCCAAAGGGTGGAACGCTTCCACAATTCGAATCAGTTCTCTGTCCATGCACCCGACACGCTAGAAAGCTTGTCATCATCATCCCGAGATGGCTGGAGGCAGCAGCAGCGTGTTGTTCTCAATTTTTCTCTTCCGGGGAGGCTTCAAAGAGGCACATGGCATGGGAATGCTGAGGCGCTTTTCTTGCCATTCATCACTGAAATATAAACAGCCTATAGCCCAGCCTCAGTACTCCCGTAGTCAAAGCGGATCCGCGGGCGCGGACACGAAAAACACCCGTCAAATGACGATCCCTGAGTCAGGATCCGCCTGGAAGATTGGAGTTGACCAAGGCGATAAAAGCAGCGACGGGCAAAGAACGTGCGGTTCGGCTCTTAGCGCCTTGGCAATCTTCCCCTTCGGCGATGAAAAAGGCCATCGCGCGGAACAATTCCAGAACGAAATCGATTGAACGCCAGCGCCGAGTGCCCGCAAAGTTAATCAGTTCGAAGTCGTGGTCTGCTACGAAGACCGCATCAATCCCGCAAGCTCCCTCTTGACCGCAAACTCCGGGAGGAGAACTCTACGCTGGCTTGGAATCCGAACTCCCGCACAACGACACAGGGTTGAGCTTTTTGGAGAATCGCGATCCCCAACCGAGAACCAAGTCGCCGACTAGCAAAAAACGAAGCAACTCGGCAGACTGTGTCCGCCGTACCCTGAATACATATTCTTTTTCTTTCTGCGAAAACCATTGTATCTGCATTCCGTCCACGGGCCCCGCTCGCAGTTTACGTACAGAGCATTCCTCCATCCTGAGAGGACGTTTGTAGGAAGAACCGGTGGAGGTCGAACGTAACCATGGTTGATCTCCGGGTAAAGACAAGCCCAATCAAAACCGCCGCCTCGCGGTCCTGCAATCACTATGTACAGTACGGGTTTGGGGGAGCCCCAGGCGTGCCCCGAGGTCGGAATTTGGGGAACAAAAGCCTTAGTCTGTGAAGACTTATCTCCGGGACCCGGTGGCTAAAAGCGGCAACATGCTCGAGATTTGTTCCCGATTCTGAAAAGTAGGTTCTGATATTATCGCGTATTTCAGGTCTCATATCACTTTCTGGTCTTAATAACTATGGGGTAAGGCTGACAGCCCATTCTCATGCATAGACCTACATCTAAAAAAGGGTGGAATTGCGTTGATCCTTGCTGACGCCTAATTTACTGCATGCTATTTTGAGAGAACAAAGAGAGAGTTTAGTGCAATGGCGCTGGGTGATCCTCAACGTGGATGTGCTGAATCTGCAAAGGAGGGTTCACAACATCAGCCCCAAGACGCACTTGGTTTGCAGCAGGATTTCCCGCCAATATCTTGCTCAATTTTCTCGGAGAAGCAGCCAACAGAGACAGGTCACGAAGTACCGCAATTCGTCCCCATCACAACCACCGACGAGAAAAATGGAATTGCGGAAAAAGATTATCAACGCCATGCAGAAAATGGTCGTCAGAGCACGGAAGACGCATGCCAGCTCTCCTCCTCCCAGTACACCAGCGCTGACGGTGGCGCGCCGTTAAGTCCGCGAATGTCCACGGATCCTCAGGGGAATACCTACCCCGAAGGCGGGAGAGAAGCCTATGTGGTAGTAATAGGCTCCTTTTTTGCCCTTTTCGGCTCCCTGGGCCTCTCCAATACGATAGGAACATTCCAGGCTTGGATTTCCGTCCACCAACTCAAGGATTACAGCCAAAGCTCCATCAGCTGGATATTCGGAACCTATACCTTTTTGATGTTTTTCGGCGGTCTTCAGGTCGGCCCGGTCTTTGATGCGAAAGGTCCCAAGTGGCTCGTCCTGGCCGGCACCATTTTGACCGTCCTTAGCGTCGCCCTTCTCGGCTCATGCGAAGAGTACTGGCACTTCATGCTTGTATATTCCATCATAGGAGGCATAGGAATCACGCTCGTTTTCACACCTGCAATCGCCAGTCCCGGTCACTTCTTTTACCGCTTGCGAGGACGTGCCACTGGCCTTGCTGCCACCGGGGGAAGCATTGGAGGAATTGTCTTCCCGCTCATGCTGGATAGTTTATACGCGAAAGTCGGATTCGCATGGGCTACCCGCGCTGTGGCATTGGTCAGCCTTGTCACGATGTCGGCTGGCTGCCTTCTGATGAAATCTCGGTTGCCAAAGAAACGTGCAACCAAGGAAAATATCCTCCCTGACCTGCGCATCCTGATGGAGCCTGTTTTCGCGTTCACCACGGCTGGGATATTTTTCATTGAATGGGGCCTCTTCATTCCCATCACATTCATGACCTCTTACGCCCTCCATCATAATATGCCACGCGGATTATCCTATCAGCTGCTCGCCTTGCTCAACACCGGTTCCTTTTTCGGCCGCTGGATCCCTGGATTCACCGCAGACTATATGGGACGCTTCAACACCATGATTGCGACAGTCGTGTTGTGCCTCTTGTCCACCGCTTGCCTGTGGCTTCCCGCCGGAGACAGTATAGCCATGATGGTTGCCTATGCCCTCATCTTCGGATTCGCCAGTGGCAGTAACATTAGTCTGACACCGGTCTGTGTCGGACAAGTCTGCAAAACAGAAAACTACGGTCGGTACTATGCAACAGCATACACTGTTGTTAGCTTTGGGTAAGCACCACTCCAATTTTTTTTTTTTTTTTTTCCCTTCTCCTTCTCCTCGACTTTGTATAACTGGATACTGTGAAGGTACTAACCTGAATGAATCACCTAGAACCCTGACCGGAACACCCATTGCGGGGTCAATCCTTACCCGTAACGGCGGTGATTACTGGGGCCTCATCACCTTTACATCCTGCTGCTATTTTGCTGGACTCATCTGCTTCATTATTGCCAAAGTCCTCCGAGTCGGATGGAATCCACTAATCATCGATTAGATACTTAACCATATGCTCATGAAGTTGTCGCAAGATGGAACAAAACGAAGCCACGTAACCTAGACTAATACTAACAAAATTAAAAAGTTTGAGTAGAGATACATCTCATGGGGTAGTTTAACTCCAAGAGACACAAAAAGCAAAGAGGTGTTTTGGCAACTCACATTGAAAATTTAATTCCTCCTAAGTTAACTAATCAGCAGCTAATGCTCGATGTATGCTACTGGTTCTCATGATAGATTTTTGAACATCATACCTTTCGTGCTTGGATAGATTAACGACAATTGAATCTGTTTCTTTATTCATTATCTATTCTCAATACAGGATAATAATTGAGAAGCCTTAATCTAGTCCATCGGCTTGTACAGACAACAAGCTAAGTCGCTGAGCCGGCACTGTATCAAATCAACACTTGCAACAAACGGCGATGCATTGTGGGGGGTGTGAAGTCGGCATCTGATAAAATAGCATAAATTGCGGACCCGACGAAACAAAATCCTTCGACATCATCATTTTAATGAATATTCACCATCTCCGCCCAAGGCCTCACCTTTGTCACTGGTCCTTTATATGTATGCTTTGCGTGCACGAAATAGTAACCCAGCGCACAAATCACTACTCCTCCAAAGATTGCACAGCTCCAATTCATCGTTTCCAGACTTACCTCCCGCTTGAGCGGGAAGAATGCACAAACCCACACCACGAGAAGGAAGAGGATCGCAAGGGTCTCCACAATGCTTGCCCATTTACCCATGCTCCACCGCGCAGGCGGTAAAGGCTCCCCACGCCAGCGCTTAAGACGTACGCAGGCAATGGAAATGATATAGGAAGATAGGAGAGAGGCAACACCAAGAGAGAGGATGGCGTTGAAAGCAACAACTGAGCCAATGTTGATGAGCGCAAGTAGGCAAGTTATTATAAAGCTAACCAAGAGCGCGTTCAATGGGACAACAAAGCGGCGGTTTACCTATTGGCAAGTAAGCTCTTGTTTCCGGGAGAAGCATGAACAGGAAATACCTTTGCGAAGAAGTGTGGAAATGGGACTCCACCGTCACGAGCAAACGCATAAAGCTGCCGTGACGTTGAAGCCACATTGCTGACAGCACTGCAGACCTGGAGAAGCATGATGATTACTGTCATGCCAGTGGTACCACCAACAGAGCCAGTGGTTTGCAGAAACACATAGATGAATGGAAAGCCATGGCTGTGCTTAAGAGCTTCCTGCGAGCTCGGGATACAAAATACGTATGTGATGAGCATGATAAAGCCGACTATGCCATTTAGGGCCAACGTTCCTAGCATTGCTACTGGCAATGTTCGCGAGGAATCTTTAATCTCCTCGGCTGCGCGCTTCGTGTTAATGTAGTCCGATCCAACCTAAGCTTAGAACGTACATACCCATGTGAACAGCAGCATCAGGGCCTAACTCGGTGTCAGAACCATTGATTTATCCTTGTCATGGCTTGGAACTAGATACTTACCTATAAGAGCGTAAACAGGACCTACCAGGCCGAGGATGCATGCCCCGGCCCTACTCCCCCATCCACCGTTGTCTTCTATGGTGCTAAACACCTTAGATGCTGAATTCTTCTCACCCTTCACCCACAAGGGAATTAGGATCCCGAAGAAACCCAAAACATAAAAAACTAGCATGGTACCCTCAATCAAAGGTAGCCTGGGGGCAAGCACGGTATTGAAGATCATCGCAATGAATGCAACCGCTATGACGAGGAGCGTCCCATGCCATGGTTGTGCTATATATGTATCAGGGTGATTTATTTCAATGATCCCAATAATCATGTTGGCGACGGTATAAGCAGATCCCGCAATGCCTGTATGCCAACCCAGCACACAAACCCAGCCGCTAACATAGCTAAGGAGTTGCTGATATTCATTGGGAGCAAACTCAGAAATCCAATGGTATTGTCCTCCCGAGATTGGAGCCCTGTGTGACATTAGACGATGGATCATGTATCTATAGAGAACACGAAACTCACATGGAGGCCATCTCGGCCATGGACAAGATCACAAACGCAAAGCCAATAATCCCGGCAATATAGCTGTACACCATCCCACCAATTCCGCCATTGGTCAAGCCAACGGAACTCCCACTGGGTGAAGAAAGTGTTTAATTCAGAAGGCAATATAGTTAACGGACACAGCGAAATATCACTCACAACATCACTGACTCCCAGGTGGCCATGAGGACTGTCGCGAACCCTAAGATGGTAAAGAATCGGAAGTTTCGCTATATCAACGGTCAAGAAAGATTGCATATGATACCAAAGCATAACACTCCTCACATTGAGCTCCTGGTGTACTCCGGCCCGCCACATGTCCTTTTTGTCCTGCCATGTCCCACCACTTTCCTTCGCAATACTGTCATCCTGGGTCTCGTCGTCCACTGGGACGCTAGAAGCACCGGTCTCCGTTTTTAATTCAGCTGCTAATGTATCGGGCATGATAATAGTTCAGGCCCAGGGATGATAAGAATTGAGAATTGGGTTATCACCGGAAACCGAACGCGATGTAGGAAGAGTTCGTAAATCAGGGAGAAAAGAAGGAGGAAAGGCCAGATCTTTCCCAGAATTCAGAAGAGAACTCGGGAGGAATTTCGGTCCACTCAGCTGGAAATGTTTCGTTTTCGTCAGCCCTGTGGATGGATATGTATTGTAACATCTTGCTTGATTGGCATATTACAAGGGAATGCCGGATCCGTTGTGTAGGCGGTGAGAAAGCGATTTATCAGTCACCTCACTCGCTACGGAGTATAATCACCCCCTGTCAAAAGAAATTGTGCTGAATTCCGGGCCTGTCGGGTGTAGAACATCCCTGTGTTCCCGGGAGGCTGGGCGGAAGGGTACGAATGTAAACGGGATATCGAGTAAGTGAACCGGGAAGCCGAGTACTTATAAAAAGGGACATGGCTCACTCTGGGAGTGTGACTCGCACAATTTAGAAAGAGAGAGGGGACACAGAGCTCTGTCATATCAGCATTTGCGCTGGGTTATGGAGAGTACAACATGCAAGAGTGTTAAAAAATGCCTGTTGGATTTCCTGGGTAGACGCATTCCTGCGTTGGCGGGACGCTGGGGTATTGACGCGCTCTCAGCGGTATGACGAAACGATAGAATCCATCCCCTTAAGGCTAAATGCCATACCCGCTAGCAGAACCTATGAAGCCGTCGAGAGCTTGGTCTGCCAGCCCATCGAAGGTGTGGTCGATGAAAATTTTTCGTCTTCTCGCCTTCTCGCCTTTTCACAGCTCCACAGTAGCTATGGTACTCCTGTTTTGGCACTCCGCACAAAGCACAGAGTCCTCCGTACATAAAATAGATATTTTACTGGATACCTTGGGCTGGGCCCCGTTGTGCACGAGGCCTCCGTCACGTAGTCGATCGTCCGAACGACTGGGATTCCCCTGCGACCGGAATCGCCTATAGCAAGTCCAGAGTTAATGTTGGTTCACGAGCTAAATAAGTTAAGCTTCCCCAGGCCTCGACCTGGGAAGGTTACACCTTTTGCACTCGATCGTGACCACAGATATCCCGAAAATTGAGCTTCCACTCGTCTGATTTCTCTTGTTGCCGCGGATGTTCCAGACGCCCTTTATGTCCGCTGAGTTCAGAGTTTCAAGGCTGCCGTAGTTCGGCCCTAGTTACAATGTCGATCCTGCGACTATTTCATAGCCAAACGCCAAAAGAAAACAAAAAGGCCACCAAATGGTCTTTACTCCTGAGGGTCTGATAATTGGCCGGCTGGGAGAGGCCGCGAACCTTCCCGTAAAGTTGCGTGCCCAAGGCTGCTGACCACTGACTCTGGCTGGATTGGGTGACACAGAAAGATCGTCCTGTGATAATTTCGATGAAGAAATCGTATTAATTCCGAACGCCCGTCCTTAATATCTCTTGAAGCTCTCTCGAGCTTCTCGAGGATTCCACACTTCATCTTGCAGATAAAGTCTTTTGCGATGGGTTCCGCAGTGATTCGCTTCTTGCCGCTCTTTGGCCTTGCTCTCCTCAAAGTCCCTACCAGCAGTGCGCTTTCGATTGATAAAGAAGTTATCACTGCGGACGTATGCATTATCGGAGGTGGATCGACCGGAACATACGCCGGTGTCAAACTCAAGGATGAAGGCAAAAAGGTAGCCATCGTCGAGCGCAACGATTATCTTGGCGGGCATATCGGAACGTTATACGTGGATGGCGAGCCCGTCGACTACGGCGTTCAGGGTCTCTTCAACACCGAAACAACGACGAAGTACCTAAATCGGCTCAATGTACAATATGAGCCCCTTTTACCCGCAACACTCGACAACAGATACGTTGACTTTCGAACGGGAAAGACAGCGCCGTATGATGGGAACGTTGTCAACATAACGGCGACCCTGCTGTTATATTCTGCGGTGGTTTCGAAATTCGAGGGGATCGCAGATGGAAGCTTCAACCTGCCCGACCAGGTTCCAGATGAACTCTTGATGCCTTTCGGTCAATTCGTCCAGAGGTACCACTTGGAGGGCGCCCTACCCCTGGTTTGGACATTCGCTCACGGCTCTGGCAACATGCTGACCGCTCCCACCCTATATGTGCTCCAGCTTTTCGGACAGCCGCATGTCAACGCGCTCCTGCGAGGCTACGTCCGGGCGAAACGTGGAACTGCCGAGGTTTATAAAAAAGCTGCTGAGGTCCTCGGGTCAGATGTCATCTACAACAGCCAAATCCTGAAGGTGACACGTTCTGACAGCGGGGTCACAGTTGTTGTACGTACGAAAGATGACAAGTTCAAGCAGATCCGCGCCAAGAAGCTGCTGGTCACGATGGTTCCCACTCTTCGCAACCTCGATCCCTTTGATCTCGACCAAAAGGAGGAGTCTGTCTTTCGGCAGTGGATGTGGAAGAATTACTACGTCGGCATCGTGAAGAACAGCGGCCTCCCGGAGAAGGCAAGCATCGTTGATGTGGACCCAACAAAGGCTGCTTCCCTTCCACATATGCCTTTTGTCTGGCACTTGGATTATATGGGAGTCCCCGGGTATCACGCCGTCAAGATCGTAGGAGACTCGGAGTTCACGGAGTCCGAGGCCAAGGAGCTCGTCCTCGGTGGTATCAGGCGTATGGGTGCTGCAGGAACTTTTCCAATCTCAAATCCCGAGCTTGCCACTTGGAGACGTCACATCCCATTAACCCTCGCTGTTTCGAATGAAGCGGTGAAGGGCGGATTCTACAGAGATCTGTATGCATTGCAAGGCCACAAGAACACTTTCTATACGGGTCTTTCGTTTTGTTCGGATTATTCAACGTTGCTTTGGGATTTCACGAACAAAGTGCTCGAGCAGATGGGCGTATGAGAGCCGGGAAGGATGAAGCGGACCGGGGCGTGGAATGCGTTTTGCGATCTCTCATTGCATCTTTGATTAAGTGATTGTACTTATTTCCAAAGAGTTAGGTTTGCTAGTGTTAAGTTACGTTAGTGCACGCAATCTCTGGAAACAGGCGAATGCATGAGCAGATATAGAAACCTGTCGATGTCCTTTTTTTTTTTTTTTTTTTCCTTTTTTTATCTTTTTGGCGCGTTTCGGTCTATGCCAGCTTCTTGTCTCCTGTAATTATGGTTTTCGCTTTCTTTGAGCTAGGTATTTACATCTTTTTAAATCCTTCACCGGAACCAGACAGCGTAGGAAGCTGACAGATAAAATGTTCGGTTAAAGAAGCCGAGCTGGGATCGCGACAACAGTACATCAAGATGTCTCCAAAAGTATGAAGATAAAGTTTCCTCCTTCAGAACGCGAGGCCTCAAACCGCGGGTCTAGCTGAGGTTGACCGGTGTGCCGGCCACCGTTCCCACCGGCCACATTCACCGGAACGTCGCGGCGATCCCATCTTCCGAGCAGGGCAGTGCTACGGAATGATGGCGTTCTAATAATTAGTTTACAATTAATCATAAACCTCAATCTGAAGATGTGTTGCGGTGGGGATTCCGGTTGTTCCGATCCGAGGCTCAACTCTTATCCCGAAATATGCCCGCTAGAGAGTCCTTTTTCTTTTTCTTTTCCCATAGATAGATTGCAAACAGATAGAGAATCATGCTTATAAAGATGTGATCTTACAGTGATTGTGAGACCTGTACGGAGTATGTTTAGCTAAATGGTTCTTAGTTGGCCTCATATCGTTTTCTCTCCTTTATTCAATATATCTTGAGCACATCACCCTATCGCTGATTTATTTGGACTGTAGTACCCAGTTACAAAGAATAAATAACCCCATGCCCATGCATGGCAAGGCTTTGCAACCACCTCTGTTGTGTCTTCTTGACGGGCCATTTGGAAGTCGGCATCTAACTGCTTCAATGCTCCTGAAGAGTGAGGTTCTGATGTTTGTTTCTGTTGTTGCCTCAATCACTGCTGGATAGTACCATCAGGGAGTTAGCCCTCGCGATTTTATCTTTGGTTCCACCGGCGTCTCCTTTTTCTTTTTCTTTTCTTTTCTTTTCTTTTCTTTTCTTTTCTTTTCTTTTCTTTTTCCTTTTTTTTTTTTTTTTTGGTTGGGGGGGAGGCGCTCTGGAGGCAGCAGGACTGCATGATTGCATGTACTCACTCTCTGCCTCCAGCGCTACTCTTGGATGAATGCAGGATTTTGGCAAAATCCAGGTTTCCTCTTAATTATATAGTGAGGTATCTCAGCGTACAATTTTATATCAGTTGCTTGATGGGCGTATACTGCCTACATTCGTCCTTAGTTTTCTACGATGAACACCAATAATACCACTTAATGGGCGGCGAAATGGAGTTTTAAGAGTTGGAGAAATTTGACGACAAGAAAACACAGATAACCGAGGTGACCATTTGGAGCTGCGAGACATGATCGGTGGAGTCTGTGGTGCAGTTGCGTCGAAGCAGACATGCTTTTAACCATCCGATCGATACTGTAGTCCGGCTTGGCATGGTCACGGCCAGCCATCCGAGCTGATCCAACGAAGCAAATCGAAACCTGGTACTTTATGCGTGGCGACCCGCCTGCCAAACCCCCATCCATGTTAACCTTAAACACTCCAACGTTTGACCAAACCCATGTCATCCAGCGACCTCCTCCGTTAGATCGCATGTCTCCGAAACCAATCTCCATCCCAGCCAGGGCTGAAATGCTGCCTTATGATGACGGTAAATCAACGCGTGTGACCCTGGCAAAATTCTGGATCAATATAGCCGTGCGAGATGGTCTGTGTTGGCCAAAACCTGCCAACTCCCCGGCTCAAGGGGATCTTGCTCAGGTTCCAGGAAATGTGACTGTTGCTTGCGTTGGTACCCAATCAGGTCAACACTTTCCCGAGATAATGTCTGCTTTCCTCCGTCAGCTCGCTTCACTCCAAGAGATAAGGTCTCCAGAGTGAATGCCAGTGATTTGTCCTAGGAAAACTCGTCACGTCGCAAAGATTGATCGAACGAGAGCAACACCGGTGCATTTCTATGACTACACCTGTGCTGTACTCTGAAAGGCTTCTCAGCCCGTACTCCATCCTCTGAACGCCGTAAGTGTGTGCGGAAAAGCCTGTGTGCTTTACCATATCCCATGGTCAATCAGCTGACAAAGGGAAAAGAATAAGAGATGTGGTGAGAGGTAAAATCGGGTCGCTTTGGGGGTACACAAGCGATGCAACGAATGACATTCGGGTCATGCTCGACGTGTTGTCAATAAGCCTCTTCTCGCCTGGGTGAACCCTTTGCCAGGATTCGGTACGGCAACTGGCCGTTTTGAAGGTCTGCTGCATCTGCGGTGGACGGCTGTTAACAGCTGCTCCGTCTGCATGCTGTTTAGTATTTATCGGTTGGAGAGTTTTTGCAAGATTTCGCTAATTCTCGGACTGCCCCACTGCCTATTTTTGGTCGATACGGGAGCCATACGGATCCCGACGCAGCGTCTCTGGTGGAGGGCCATCGAGAAATGACCGTATTTTACCTGAGACATTGTTTTGTGAGCGCGGACGTCGGCCATCCCAACTGGGTAACGCTGGACGTCGCTTTGATCGATCGCAGTCTCGACGCAGAAAAGCTCACGGCAACAGACACACCGGCAGCCATTTCCCCAGCAAAGTTTATCCTTCCGGCCGTCAGCATGGTGAGTTAAACTTCATCTCTATTGTGAGCATCGCTAAAAAATCCTTTTAGTGTCTTGATCCCATCTTGGCATCAGAGAAAAGACTTGTGCAGCGCTAGCTCCTGGTTACCATGGACACCTCCCAACGGCCCACATCAGCGCTCTCTCACTTCGGCGGATTGTTCTGTGCCTATAGCCGTCCAACGTATGGGTGCTCGAGACAGGACGCTCGACTGTCTTGATCCTTTGACACTCTCACGCTCCAATTCGCAGTGCGAGAGCTTCAGAGCTTCACGTGGCGAGAGAATGTTTCTATTCTTGTTCCTTGGGCGGCATTGTCACCAGCTGAATAGCAGGCCCTCTGTCGACTTCAACTCGGGTTGATGGCTGGGAACTTACCAATATTAAGACATTGTTCCACTTTGGCTCCAGCCTCGCCTCCCGCCTCCCGCCGCCGATGATGACATTTCCTTGCGCTATTATGGTTCCTATGGGGACCGTTTGGAAAACAGTGCAAATGTCCTCCATGAATATATATACAGAGAAAAATGCGTGTATATATATTGCTACCCCCGTGCCCGCCTTGTCTTCGGTTTTGTCAAAATTCATATTTTACCTTTAGGACATTCGTTTTACCCCAAGTGACGCAAAGAGAAACTTTCGCTGGATCAGCGGTGCAGTCGTTCGTTTGACCACAAACTGTAATATATCCAGTCGCTTCTCTTTGAGGGTTGCATTTATCTCTTCCATTTCACGAAATGCGGTCTCTCCACCCAGTCTTGCTAGGTGCCTTTGTAGGCGTAGCATTCGCTTTTCCGGGTCGTCACTACTACCCGACTTCCCCGTTTCCCACGGGCGGAATCACTCATCAGCCTCCGTTATCAACAGGCGATGGTGTTGGACCCGGTCCGGGCCCTCAACCGACGCCCTCGGAGAATAATCCACCCCCTGAAGTTACTACGGCAACTGATACCATCACAAAAACAACTTTCATCCCTTGCTCAACGCCCGTTGCCTCAGGGAGAGGCACCACCTGGTACAGCACATGGCTTACAATGTCAATCTATACGACAACCACGTGCTATCCAGTCACTCAAACCCACACGCCGCCTCCACCATCAACTACGCCTCCTTGTGAGGGAGAAAACTGCCACGGGCCGCCTCCGTCTCTGTCTCTACCTCCTCAATGTCCGACCCAAGCCACTGTTACTGTGACAGTAACCAAGACGGAATGTGGAGCCGGATGCATTCCTCCCACGTCTACTCCAGAGATGCCATCGCCGTCTGGGGAACCGGGGCATCCTTCACCACCTCCCTGCCAACAGTGCTCGACCTTCACGATCACTGATATTCATAGTTCAACAATGACCATCGTGGTTCCGCCTCAGACACCTTCCGTCCATCCCACTCCATCGAAATCACCCCCACCATTCTCTCCTCCCCCAGGAACAGGAATTCCTCCACCGTCTACGACAAAATCTCAGCCGCCAACCACCGGGACAAACGTCCCTTATAAGAGATACGGCCAGCATCCAAGATACTTTTAAAGCAGCATCACTGAATTATATACATACAACAAAGTGATGTATTCAATTTACAGGAAGTTCTGCTTTGTTTTCCCATTTGCATGTTAAGCGACTACAACTTTGCTTATTAGTTTACTCATCTTTTCATGTTTGCATTTTATCCTCTAATGTCAGCGTGCATGAGCGTCTGTCAATGTCTCTCCTTCTCTTGCCCTCGTGATTTAAATTTGTTTGCATACCACAGTTTATGACCCCAACCATGCTGTCTTTAATGGATATGGAGATATGGAGATATAGCCTCCTGGGAAGTCGATTACGCTCCCTTTTGAAATAATGCTGCTTCTGTGAAAGCTCGAGATGTTAGGTACTGAGTACATTAGGTAGTTTGCGGAATAAGACCGTGAAATCGAATATCTCGGAATCTAGGCCCTCCGTCCTCAGGTCTATTCGAGGACGGGCCGTCTGCTGGGTAGGCGCAATGATTTTTCTATTCGCTCCCATCCATAAAGCTGTCAAGCCGCTCATAGAGCTCCGTTTACCAACTTCGTATAAGGGTCGCACACTGGCCCCGACACTGAAAGCCATGGCAGGGAATAGAAGAGGAGACAACTCTCAATTCACAATTGACATGATTATTGCCGAAATAGAGGGTTGGAAACCCCTCTGGTGGGTGTTTCTGCCCCGGAATTATTCCAGTAGCTATAATGTGAACAAACGGAACTTCGGCACCAACAAGAGAATTCACTTCACTCCCAAACAAAAATCTCGGAGCAAATCAATTCAAGTAGCGTAAACGGCCATGGCTACTTATTGAGTTGCCTTTTCATGCACTACTGGTCCAAGTATGCAGTGAAATAGCGGAGCTTCCCAACTTCGATTGTTGACGCCCACCAACCCATCTGACATCTAGGTCTGATGATTTCGATGTAGCCATCACGCCCTCAAATCCAAATCGTTCCCGGTACATAAGTCTCTCGGGATGTGGGTGGGGCATATAAGTTTGAGGATATCATTTCACAAAAGCCCGGGCTATTTGATTGGTATGGTCTGAGACATTTTCCGCGGCACGCGCTTTGGCAGGTGTGTTTTGGTCACCCGATGGGGTTATACCTACCTTTGTTTCTTCCCCCTCCAAGTCTTCGATGATGGAAAAATACGAAGCACTGGAGCTGAATCAACCTCTTGTCTCGATCACTGCAAAGGGTTTTTGACCAGAGCCTCGACGTTTGGCCTAGAGCATAGATAAAAATACCCCGTATATATGCTATCTAGGTTTCGTTAATGGACTCTTCTAGCCGGTTTTGGCAAACCAATCAATGGGATTGACTTTAAAAACAAGTCAGAAATACTGCCCCCCCAGCTGGCGTTGTCGAATTGTCAATTACTCAGCGTCGATGGATACGAAAGCCCCGTCTGGCCGCATCGCAACATGACAGGCAACGTCGCTTCAACCGTGGGATCGATCACGAATACTTCAAGCTATGTATTGAAATTCGAGTAGCTAAAAACAAAGCCCAGGAAAGAGGTACTGGAGGCCCAAATCATAATAAAGCGTGGCAAAATTTTTGACGGCCCAAGCCTTCGTTAAAGTAATGATTGATCCGTGCCCAAAAGTTGCTTGCACTAACCTGATAGCAGTCATTTGTGACTCAAACATCATATTGCACTGGGATATATCAATCCACCTAATGTATAAACGAGAGTAAGCAGGACGAAGGGGGAAAAAAAGTAAAAAAAAAGATGCCCTCTGTTCCCAAATCCTCATCCCACGGAGCTTTACCGAAAAAGTAAGATAGTTATCGGGGTATGCGAACCAACACATACATACACTGCAATCCATATTTCGCCCAAACACCGTCCAACGGACTAAAAATAGGAGCGTAGACTGTCATGAAACAGATAGCCCATTTCATGATTCGAATAACCCAACCGGCTCAGTTAGAAAAGAAAGGTGAAAAAAGAAAAGAAAAAAGAAAGGAACACAAGAAATAATTGAAAGGAGAATTGGGCATAAAAAACCGATGATCAAGAAATTAAAAAGCTCGTAAAATATATCCGCAGAAACCAATCCTTTTCCATCGCAGCAGGAAACAAAAAAGATGTCATCGTAAGAGTAAATTAGGTTTATAGCAGCATTCAAATCGGAAAACATAAGCGTGAATCAGGGGTAGCATTTAACTGCTATTTGATCGCAAAATCTGCTTCACAAGGAGTGTTAGACTCAACCATTGGGGTTAAATGGGATATTACTCACCGGCTCAGGAACGCTGGTTCGATTGGTGGCGGTAAGCGCACGAGACTCGAGCGATGGACGTTGATGTTTAGCCTCTGGCGATGACGCCCCGGCAAGAGTACTTGATGAATGGTGGCCTCCAAATCTTGAATCCTTGCCTTTTTCGAACAAGGGGCTACCAAGTGTCGCGCACTTGAGAATGGTCTGCATCATCTGGTTTTGTTTCAGCGGTTTGGCCAGATACTCGTCCATTTGAGCCTGTAGACATTTCTCTCGGTCTCCCAACATGGCGTGAGCAGTTAAAGCAATAATCGGCGTGCGCTGTAGGCCGTTTTCTTTCTCCCACTCACGGATCTTGCCTGTAGCCTCAAAACCTCCCATGATAGGCATTTGAACGTCCATCAAAATAACATCATAACGATGTTGCTTGACAGCCTCAACGGCAGCTAGACCGTTACTCACGACAGTCACGCCGTGATTGCATTTTTCGAGTATTTTAACTGCAACCTTTTGGTTGACGTCGTTATCTTCGGCCAGCAAGATGTCAAAGGATCGGGTATTATCCGTTGTGAGAGGAGTAGAGCGTCCTTCAAGTGCTGGAAGCATGCCATTACCCAGATCAATAGGCCGGCACGGAGTAGTCATATATGACGTGATACCCAGGTCCAGAGCCGACTTCAAACTAACCGACACAACAGGGCATAAGAGGACAATCGGAATGTATTTGAATTCGCCAAATGTTCGGAGAGTCCGTGCCGTCTCGACGGAATCAACAATGATGACATCGTATGCATGACCAGATTCCTTTCCTGATGAATCTTGGATTTCTGGGGGAGGAACGTTAGTCTCGCTGCGAACCACAAGTGGCTCCAATCCTAGTTGTCGAAGCATACGCGTGATGCTCAGAGCATCGTCGCCTGTTTCGCCTTTATCGATGAAAAGCACATGGTGGTTCTGATACGGCAAAAGCTGTGGTAAAATCACGTCAAGAGACTGATCAGCCAAGTTCACTTTGCAAGTAAAATGGAACGTGCTGCCGTGACCGAACTCTGATGTTACCCAAACATCTCCTCCCATCAGATTTACTAATCGCTTCGAAATAGATAATCCAAGGCCAGTTCCACCAAACTTTCGGGTTGTTGATCCATCGGCTTGTTGGAATGTGTCGAAAATCATATCCAATTTATCTTCTTCAATGCCAATACCAGTATCTGAAACAGAGAATTCAAAGGCATATTCCTCGTCCTGGCAGAGTTCTCTTGTCGACTTACTAATCGTAAGTTTGACTTCTCCATGCTCTGTGAATTTGATGGCATTTCCGACCAAGTTCAAAATGATTTGTCGCAAACGGAAAGGGTCTCCAATAACGTAATCCGGAACGGAACTGTCGACCTGGTATGTGAGGTTCAGGAATTTTTCATTCGCCTTCACAGCTAGAGTCTTCAGTGCGTTGAATACGGTGCCTCGCATCGTAAATGGAATGCTCTCGATGACCATCCTGTTCGCCTCAATCTTTGAGATATCGAGAATATCGTCGATAATTGTTAATAAACTGTTGGCAAGACTGTGCACAACATTTAGCATTTCACGGGGGTATGGTTTTAGATCATCCGTATCAAGCGTCAGCTGAGTCATGCCGATAATACCATTCATTGGTGTTCGGATCTCGTGGCTCATGTTGGCCAGGAATTCTGACTTGGTTCGATTGGCCAATTCTGCAGCCTCACGAGCCTGTGTGTTTCGCTGGATACTGTCACGCAAGTTCGAAACCATCTTGTTGATCTTCCGCTTCAACTCGTCCATCTCACCGGACGCATTCACAGTGATTAATTTAGTGAAATCTCCATCGGTGGCCGCATCGGTAATTTCTCCGAAAGCGCGAACTTGAGCTGTAAGGTTGTCGGCCATGGTGTTGACGTCCTCGGTGATCTCTTTCCATCTACCGGAGATGCCTTCAACGTTGGCTTGACCACCCATCTTGCCATCCACACCAACATCACGCGCGACACGTTTGAGTTCGTGAGCAAAGTTAGCAAGCCGGTCCACCATGTTATTGATCGTATCTTTCAAGGTAAGAATTTCTCCTTGAGCATGCACTTCGATTTTCCTGCTAAGGTCACCCTTTGCAATAGCTTGGGTGACATCTGAAATGGCACGGACTTGGATTGTAAGATTCTGCGCCATGGTGTTGACATTGTCGGTCAAATCTTTCCATTTGCCTTCAACATTATCTACCTTCGCCTGACCACCCAGGATTCCGTCAATTCCAACCTCACGCGCGACCTTGCTGACTTCGAACGCGAACGTATTCAATCTATCCACCATGCTGTTGATAGTGTTTTTCAAATCTGAAAATTCTCCCTTGACATCAGAGGTCACCTTCTTCGTAAGATCTCCCCTAGCCACGGCTGTGGTAACATCGGCAATTTCTCGGACTTGAGTCGTCAAATTCATAGCCATTCCGTTGACATTTTCGGTGAGGTCCTTCCAGGTACCCTCGACATCATGAACGGTGGCTTGACCGCCAAGAACGCCATCTGTGCCGACTTCCTTCGCAATTTTCGTAACTTCTTGGGCGAACTGTTTGAGTTGATCAACCATAGAATTGATGATTGTCTTCATGGCGAGAATTTCGCCCTTGCAATTTGCCTTGACTTTTTGTGTAAGATCGCCCTTGGCCACAGCAGCTGTTACGGTTGCGATGTCGCGCACTTGGGTACTCAGATTTTCGGCCATGGCATTCACATTGACAGTCAATTCATTCCACATGCCTTGGACGCCGTCGATTTGAGCTTGTCCACCCAAGACACCTTCAGTACCGACATCGCGAGCGACGCGAGTGACTTCTGTAGCAAAAGTGCGGAGCTGATCCACCATGGTATTGATAGTTTGTTGAAGTTCCAGAATTTCACCTTGACCCCAGCTCTTAATCTTTTGGCTGAGATCACCGTGAGCGACAGCAGTGGTAACCGTTGCAATCTCGCGCACTTGATTTGTTAGATTGGAAGCCATGAAGTTAACGTTGTCAGTCAACTCTTTCCAAATACCGTGAACACCGGTGATTTGAACCTGTCCACCAAGGATACCCTCGGTTCCTACCTCCCTCGCTACCCTTGACACTTCGCTTCCAAAGACTTGAAGTTGGTCCATCATAGTGTTGATGGTGCGCTTGAACGATGTGATTTCAGGGTCCATTTCAAGTTGGTGGATCTGGACTTTCATTGAAAGATCGCCATTAGCAACCTGAGTAATAATACCACCGATTTCTCGTAAAGCTTTCTGGAAGGCCTCATTTGCCTGTTGATGCTTCTTCAACTCGCGTTCCAAAACACGGACATCTTCATGTTCAACCTTCACCAGCGCCTGTTGTGTGCGTTCCTCCTGGTGCCGCAATTCCTCTCGCACTTGAGAAATGATATCCTTTTGAAGTTGAATCTGTTCGGCTTGCAGCTGGACTCGATTTCGCAAGTAGCTGATGTTATCTTCATAGTTGTCCTCGCTATCGCTATCTTCGTCGTTTACTTCATCACTATTATCGACGGAGGATTCGTTGTTTTGTCCGTTTTTTAGACTACGAGCGCTCATTAGGCTGGAGGTACGTCCAGATCGACGGGATGGAGGCTATAGGAGGTATGGTTAGACATGTCGGCAATAAACGCAGGGTCCAAAAACTTCAGACGAAAACAACTCATAATAACTTTTGTTCATAAAAAACAAAGGCCGGAGGTTTAAAGGAAAAGCTGAAAGCTACATGAACGATGTTAAGCTTACCACAAAGGTTTGCATGGTGTTCACCCTCCGAACCAAGGCGGAAAGCTCTCTTTCCAGAGCAACCTTGCCTTCAGAATCCTCCCCAGGCAGTTTTACCTTCACCGAGTCAATACCATTGGTAGGCTGGGTCTGCTTGCGCCCGTTGAACGGCAAAGAAATGGATTCAGGAACATCTTTGGCCAGTCCTTGGATTATAGCGGCGGCGGCCGCGAGGGTCTCATCGCTGGAAGCCATCTTGCCTTCCTAAGAGGCAAGGTAAGTTCTACCTCCCCCCTACCGTATATGCTCGATGGATATGAAGACGAGGACGAGATAGATAGATAAATAGATAGATAGATGCGTGCGTGCGTGCAACACCAACTGCGCTAAAGGAGTGGAATGGACATGGGTGGCAGGACGCAGGTCAGAAAACGGGAGTCCAAACTCTGGGTTAAAAGAAGGATGAGGATCTTAGGATTTTGGAGAGTATGCGAGGAAAGCGATATTGAAAGTGAATTTTGGACAGTGAGAGAGCCTGGGGAAGAGAGAGAAGATGTCGAGAACGGTATTGCTTCGTCTGGGGATGCGGAGGAGGCTGCACTCGCTCAGGTTCAAGAGGGCGGATGAGGTGCAACGAGGTGGGCGGTTGTAAAATATCGGCTCTGTAAGGAGTTTGTATCGCCCAAAAGGCCGTAACTGAGGACACAGCGCTAAACCTTACGTGGGCTAGCTTGGAGTCCTGGACCCACCCGATCCGCCTGAGCTTGCTTGCGGGCTCTCCAGGAGAAAGGAACCGCCGCGCCCTGGGGGGTTCAGGCCAGCGTGCTCGGTAAGGCAGAGACGATGCGAGGGGTTGTGCTATTATTCCGTCATTATCCTTATAAAAAAGCAGCCATTCGGTATGCCCAGAGTGGCGACCCTGCGAATGTGATATCACCTGCAGGCCAGTCGGGTGTCTGTTTTTGGCGAAGATCGGTGGTAAGTAACTAAACTAAGGTTAGGTAGGGTTTCCGACAAAATTACCGAACACCATTCTGTTGTCGGATCACCCTGCGCAGAACCCTGTACGCCCAGCGAAACCCGTATTGTTGGTTACCGCCGGATACGGGTTATGTAAGTACGGGCCTAACCCGACGTGGCCAAGCGTCATCGGCCATGCACTGACCACTTATTTTTATCTGAATCTGCATCCTAAGGTAGGTAGCCGGAGGTTGGACTAGAGGCTCTGGTCGTCAATGAAGGATATCCTAGGTCTCTTTCCTATTACTGCCCGAGATTACCGTGGGGTTTTGTGACTGGGTCTTTACATGTCTCTGCCCCGTCGCACTGGGCACCACAAGATAACTTCTGTGACAGCGCATCCTGTCGCCCAATGCTGAGTTCCTTGTAAGCCCTGCCGGGACGCCAGAGGCAACTCAGATGCATCGCACCCTACTTTCGCCCGTGAAAATCTTGGAAAATGTAGGACTGGGAATTCCATACCGCTTTCCTTTAATTTGTTGGAGACTTCTTTGAGCAGAAAATCTGCTTTGTGTGCGCTGTCTACAGTGGGACAGATTTCGCGCGCTGCCGTGCATCCATTAAATGTGTGGCCGGCTATTGACCCCCAAGTTCAAGATCATTGGCAGGAATTAAAATCCACCTCATCATCAGACCACACAAAAAGCAGGTTGTGCGTGGACGGAAAGGCATGCTATTAGTATGAACCCCGCGGTAATAAGCTAGGACTTGGGCCACATTTAACGTGCCATTCCCAGCCCTGCCAGATGGCGCCTTTGGCCCCGAGTCCTCAACCACTGGTAGTGTCAATCGCTTCCAAATCTGCCGAGTCCAAGTCCTAAATTACGGGCCTCAAACATCATCGTAACTGATCACCATGAATCTAGGAAAGGCCTATGGAGTGTCATCCAACTTTTCCCTGATACATCCAGGCTATCCCGACATTGTTTTTCAATTTTGATGCAATGGTTTATATCCTATCGTACTACACCGTCCGTCCATTAGGTCTTAGGATCCTAAAAGTGCAAGCACAAAAAGCGTGGTGATTGCGACTATGTGCCAACGGTGGCCATCAGCGCCCATCGCTGATGCTTGATCAACTTCCACATCATCCTCGATCCAACGGCAATGGTATCAAGACCAAATTAAGGCCGCGACATAACCGTACTAGCTATCTGGATACGCAGGTGAGATATTATCAAGAGTTTGGAAGGATTAGGATCCTGCGTGATCGGGCGTTGTAAATTGGGCGTTTTAAATAGTAGTGAAGAGGCATATTCAGATTCAATCAGCCGCAGTGAGTGGGATTGAGTATGTACAAGAGCCTCTTATACAGATCAATCCGGAGACATTCAGTTAATGAGCCAACGCAGGCAGTGATGCACTAAATTTGTGGGGAAAGGAGCTCAGCCAGCAACATGGTACTCTCTATTTCCAATATCTTTCACATTGGGTCTCTCTATACCTGGAGCTTCTCTTCCAAATAGGGCTGCCAATCTCATCCCTAGCTATCTTTTATAATATTATCAGCATACAATCATCTCGTAGCTTCAACTATTAACTTCTCTAGGGACAGGGAGAATCAGGACTTCAAGCTATTCTCTATTGCACCTGTCTGCATTCAGCATCTGCATCAGCTTACCCCTAAGTCTTGGGGTAATAGGTTGGGGGTCTAAGGTGAGATGTTGTCGAGTCTCAAATTCATGAAGTTCCTTCTGTCTAATGTGTCCTCTTTTATTCCATTCAGGACTAGTTACCCATGCTCCTTCATTCTAGTGCTTAAAACCTATCCGAAGAATGCATCAAGAAACAATAAGGGCTGTGTAGTGAAGTTTTGAAGAGAATCTTTCCACGAAATGAAGTCCCGCTTCCCCACCTGGGACGGCATATGTGTACCATATTTAAAAAGAAAAGGGAACTTGAATTGAAGCAAGTAACTCTTCCATGCAATGATGCAAAAGCCGTTCGTGGGGTTTCGATATGACCTTCATGCTGAACTCATATGCCATGCTAAAAGGACACAAAGATCCATGGCCAATATTTATAAATTGGCGTTGGAAAAAAAAAAAAAAAAAGGAAAAGGAAAAGGTAAAAGTATGTATACTCTGGTATCTACAGCCCAACTCTCGCGTGCAGTATCGAATGGCGCAGATGGCGCAAATGCAAAAGAAAATACAAAATAACACCGGAAAACCAAACCCGGACGTCAAGCCCCAATAATTGAAGCCTTTAGTTTCAAACAAAAGAAAAGGGGAAGATAGAAGGGACACCAATTTTCGGAATTTTTTTCTTGTTTCTTTTTTCCTCTTTACGAAGCGGCCTGTCCTAGCCGCCGTCCTCTCCTCTCCAACAAGGTCGCATTGTCGAGACTCAGTTCGAAGGGCTGGTTCGCCGATATAGCCGCAGTCTCCCGTGCCGCTGCTGCAACGGCGGCGCTGTGTTGTCCATACCCGCCAGGTTGCTGATAGTGATGATATCTGCGTCCTTGACCCGCACCGGCAGCTGCTTGTCTTGCCTGTGCGGCGGCACTCGGCTGCGATGATCCCAAGTTTGTTGCACGGAGCTTTGATTCCATTCCTGCTACATCGGTAGCATCTGTGCGGCGGACCTTGGACGGGAGAGAGGATGTAGCAGCGGCATAGTTGTCGTGGTCGTAATAAAGCATTTCTTCATCATCATCATCGTCGTCGTATTCATCGTCATAGTCTTCTGTGACGGGATTGAGGTCGCCCCGGTAGGGTCCTGCCATGTTGGCACCACGGTAGCCTTGTTTGAAATTTTTCCGCCGCTTGGCTTCTTCTTCTTGCCTATGGACGGCGTATCCGACATCGAAGACTTCACGAAGGTTTATTGCGCCGGGGGAGCGGAAATCAACCCTTTTATCGTTAAAAGGTGTCTCGAGAAGTTGATTTTGGATCGCTAGAGGGGTAGCTAGTGGCGGGGCATCCTCCGCTGCGTGCGTCTCCTCGTTTGTTTGACGGATCCATGGGTGGTTTAGGAACTCACGAATTGTGTAGCGTTTTTCGGGATCGACCGTAAGTAAGTGTGACACAAGATCTTGCGCAGACTTTGAGATATCATCCCACCAGGGGGACAAGAATGTATACTGGCCACGCGCAACCTTCTCGGTCAAGGTCTGGATACTCTCGTCGTAGAACGGAGGAAAACCGCACAGAAGTGTATAGAGAACACATCCCAGGGCCCACATGTCGACGCTCTTCGAATATTTCTCGTCTTTGACAATTTCAGGAGCCGTATAACCGACCGTGCCACATGGTGTCATTGTTTCACTGTCCCAAATGACCTTTGATAGACCAAAATCGGCAACTTTGATCGTGCCAATTCCGCCCGCACCGACTCCTGGGATGAATTCTCCTTCATCCACCTTGTCTTCTTCACCAGGGACGGGAGGCTTGGGATTTTTTGTCGGGACATGAGGGATGGAATAGAATAATAGGTTTTCAGGTTTGATATCGCTGGGAAATTATCAGTATCACGTCGGGAATACCAAGGACTGGTGTCTGGGGCTTACCGATGGACGACCCCGGACGTTTCATGCAAATATTCTATCGCCTTTGCAACCTGAACGATGACATGACGGCTTAGATTCTCGCTAAAGTAGGTTAAACGAACGATCTGATGGAATAGCTCGCCGCCGGGGCACAATTCAAGGACGATGTAGTAGAATTGTCGAGATTCGGAGAATTCGATCAACTTGACGATATTTGGATGATCTAGCTGGCGCATTATTTGAACTTCTTTGAGGATGTTGGCTCGCTACATGGCAAATAGACTATCAGCTCACGGAACACAGTAAGAGCTGACTTCTTGGCATCTTAAGAGGCAGAATTGGCATTAAAGGACCCAAGAGCCAACCCCAGAAGGATGAGTGGAGGCTCACCTCTACTACATGAGGCTTCTTTTTGAGGTCCGGATGAAGATGACGATCTCCCTAGAAAAGGACCGCCAAGTTGGCACTCGATAAACCAAATAAACCCCCTTTTTTTTTTTTTTTTTTTTTTTTTTTCTCTTTCTTTTTTTGTTTTGCAGCAATAGGAAGGCAAACATTCTAACAAGCGAATTGGGTATAACTAGGAAAGAAACGAAGAGCAAAGGGTGATTCCCGCAGGTGTTATAGAGGAGTAATGTTTGGGGGCGCGTACCTGTTTGGCGCTCATCTCGAACTTGCGAACCACCTTGATCGCGACCTCGCCGTATTTTCCTGTGCTGTCCCGAGCGCGGTACACATTGCTGAACGCACCGTCGCCCATCTTCTTTAGTAGTATCCAGCGCTCCAGGCCCGGGTAGGAAGGCATTGTAGAGCTGTTCAATTTCTCCTCGGCAACAATCTGTTCGATCTCCTGTTCATGGGCACGAGAGGGTTTCACGGTAGCGGCGGATTCCTGCTGCGACGGCTGCGGGTGTTTCTGGTCGTACTTCGCGGCCGTGTGGTCAAGGCCACCGAACCCGGCATATTGTGGCTGCTGTGACTGTGGTTCTCTCTGGCGCTCCACGTGGACGGCGGTGACATTGGTGGTAGGTTCGCCATGAGGGGTACCAGCGCGGGCTTGTTTCCCATGGCGGATGAAATTTTTAAGGCTCTGTATGGTACTCATGGTGGATTTGGCTGCGTGACTCGCATGGATGATGGGAAGAAGAGCAGGGAAAATCACAAGGAAGACTCCCCTTTCTAGGGATGGAATCTCGGAGACAGGTAAACGGTTGTTGGTGCTAAGAGTTGGAAAGGTGACTAAACGGGGTATGACGACACCCGGGGGGGGTTTTGAGAGGGATGGGTGGACCTGGGTCGCTGACTGTCAGTCCTCTCTCTGTGTTTGGCCCCAAAATTTGGAGCGAGAAGGGTGGGAGGAGTCAACCAACGGTGGGAAAAGGCACGAGAGGGGAAAAAAAAAAAGGAAATAAAAAGGGAAAAGAGAGAAGAAGAAGATGACTACAGACCAAGCAAGCGTCAAAAGGCCGCGAATCGAAGAAAAGAAGGGTTGTTGACTCGGGCTGTCCTAGAAGCAGCCTTGTCCTTCTGGCGGGCAACAATGAAAGTAGAAAAAGTTGTTTTCTTTTTTTCACAGGGGATTTTTCCCAGGCAGAGAGGAATCAAGAAAATTTCGGAACCTGACTTTTGATGCACTGCTTGCGGCAAAATTCTATGGAAGATACAAGGGTGGACAGGCGGGCAGCGATGACGATTAGTGATTAGTTTGCTCGCCAGCGCCGCTTGAGACAGCCGGCTGTCCGCCCCACCGCCAATAGGGGGCGTCGCTGGGCGCCATTTCCTGGGGCACTCCGCGTCACTCTCCACGCCGCCGATGAGCCTTCAGTGCCGGATGGCGTCTTTTTGGTTACTCCTTTCGTTTTTGCCTCCCTTGTCCAACTTGGCTACGCACCGCACACATCCAAACATGTCCTGTTGAAGGAGCTTTCTGCTTGAACCGAACAAGAAACGATCCTCTCTACGCCTTTTGAAGGGGGCTCTGGATCACAACACAGCATCATCCAGCAGCTATAATGAAGCGCACATTTCCGGTGTTGTGAAATCCAAACAAAAATTGCCAGCCAAAAAAGGCTTGGGCAAAATCCAATGCCCGAACAGCTTCCTTTCCATGTAAGTATGTAAGCCCCTGCATGTAACTAAGCACGGCCAACCAATAATGGCCCTGTAGTTACCACTCTGTGATCGACAACGAGTCCACTGTAAATGGATCAAAAAAGGATCTCCGAATCGAGGATGCCAATAATAGTAGTGTGCGGAGTATCCGTACGGAGTTTCTCATTTCCCATCTCGAGTCCGCGGAGAACGACCCGAAGCGCAGCTGTGGTGACGGCGATTCAGGTGACCGCCGATGTCATAGCGCCAAGCCTCATCGCGAAAAAAGAGCGGAACGGTGGGAAAAAAACGCCCGGACGCTGACGGGCGGGTGTCGGCAGCGACATCGGCGGGCATTACCTCGAAGGGGGACGGCGATTCAAGAGACCAGATCCCTTTAGGGCGTTCAGACGGGGGGTTCCTCGGAGCAGCCGGTTTCCGCCACTGGCCTGGGCTTCCTGCTCTCTCCGCCGATGACCTTTTCCCGGATTCCTCTCGGGCCGCCCCGAAGCAAGGCTACCGGTAACTGCCCGAGACCAGCTTGAATTCAGACTCGCAGTTGCATAAACCACCTGCGGTCCCTGTGACCTATAACTTCAGGATTGTGGTTGAATGGCCTGAGCTGATCATTTCTGCAAACCTAAGCCATGGTAACTACCATGTGAGACTGTGGCTGAAAACCTTTGTGGTGCTGATAGCCACATCGCTATGATTTGAGCCAACCAAAGCGATGGTTACAAAAGTCACGATGGTGGAGTCGACAGCCCTGCTTGAAAACAGCGGCTTAGGGCGAGACATTGGGTGGTTCCTCATTGAGTCATTCTATTCATAGAGCCGGATGGGTCATGATTTCTCGCTCAGAGCTCGTGGCGTGGTCATGATCGAAGTGTTTCCACCACTCCCACCGAGGCTCGGGAGCGTGACCAAGCGTGAACAAGGGTCGGCGCGAGAAAACCATCGATACCTCGCCCGTGTCCCAACAATTGGTTTCTCCAGATGTACTTATATTGTCTCACGGCCTTCAAAAATATGCCGGGAGAGAGCCAGAGGCCGCCTCCCATCCTCGGAGCATAGGAAACTTTCACACGGATCTTCAAATGTAGTATTTACGAAAGTTAGCAAAGATTAGAGAAATCGGGTGCTAAAGGGCTAGATAAGGCTAGTCAAACCATGCGAGTTTCTTTAGAAGCTCTGGTCAGCAGGTAACATTTAAATAGTTGAGGGCGGGAGCAAGAAGGGAGGAAAAGGGAATTCTTGAGCGAATAACCGGCTGATGTGATAACACTGATTGCTCATTCTCGAGCTTTATGTATAAAATTTGCCAGGAGTGATAACCGTTTATTACAACACCATCTACTTAGTTACCCTGTACTAATTCAAAACAAATAAGAATTCCACCCTTCCATCTGACCATCCAGAGGAGGGAGAAGTGCCTCAGAATCAAGTTCCGTAAAACGAACAAATGTTGCAGGTCCGCCTCCTTTGACCTCGACGTCTCATCAGAGATCTAGGTCTGTCCCCAAAGACTCAATCATATAACCCAATAGTGAAAGGAGGTGATGAGAATCCCTCCCAGTCCCTCTGGTTGTTCGGACCACCCTTCCATCTAAGTGCTGTGGCCTTCAAGGTGAATTTCCCTTCGGCTATCGATTTACCATCTGCCAACAGCGCAGAAGGAACAGAAACAAATTCCAACGATCCAGAGGGAATAGGGCCGAACGCAGGGTGTATTGTGCCATTAAACCATGGTAACTGATTTGGGATCCATCTTGCCTCTGGCTTCCATTAGCAATGCAACAGCACCAGCAATATATGGAGTGGCCATTGAAGTGCCAGACATGATTCCATATGCCCCTTGAGCTGTTGGGATTGTGGATAGGATTGACCCGCCTGAAGTAGAGATAAAAGGAGCAGGATCCAACTCCAAGGTTGGAGCCTAGGAACTGAAAGAACTCATAGATCCTCCAGACATTGTGTTCTCTGTTTCAGAATAGTGCTGTACTATTTGCTGTGGACGGCTAAAAGTGATCTGGAGCTTCTCACCATCCAATACTTTGGACTTGAAATCGTCGCCTTGAGTCCGATTGACATTGCCAAAGCCAGACACAGAGTCTAGCCCCGAATCAATTATCATGTTATCGGGAAAATGGGCTAGGATATACTCTGCTCCTCTGCTCGCCAGTTCATCCAAGGTATCCAGGCAAAATGGAGCCAATACGATCATATTATCCAACCCAGTGGTATTGGATGGCAGGGGCGGGCAATTGAAAAATTGGATGTCCAGGGCCGAAAGAATAATCCCAGGTCCAGAGTTCTTTTGTATCGATGTCGAATGGAACGCTTGACTGATATCCGAAATAGCTTTCGCTTGCATTGTTGATAGAATAATTTCCAAATCAGTGTCAAACCAGAGATCTTCGTCCGCCATGATCCAGGATGTTAGTCCCGGAAAAATGAGGACGGCTGAATGTTAATGAAACTGCCGCTACCGCAGTCAGCAATGGAAATCTTTGGTCTGCTATTGTCGGCAGAGACGATTCCGGGGAAGCTGAGGGCATGAGGCACGCCTGTTGCAACCCAAATCTCTGCTCACGAAATAACCGCGCGGGTGAAAAATAACTAACTTGTCTGAGTACTCCGTCTGGGGGTTCGCAAACGGTTTAAAAAGCTTGGCGGGCGATCCTTTATCAACTCTGGCTGCAAAGTAATTGCTCAGCGAGTCTGGGAGTCCAGGCTCTCGTGTCAGAACTTTTTAAAGCTGATCGCCCATCCGGAAATTCAGTGTAGTGTGTACCACATAGCTCTGCGAGGATGGCCTGGGATTGGCTTTACAGATAATCCGGCAGGTCTGACTTCAAGGAAATGTTACCTAGCTCATTTTTTAGTTGTGCAGTACATAGCAATGAGAGATGTGTTTACGATGCCGGCTTTGATGGGTTGAGCGCTTTTCCCCCTCCATCTTTCAAATATGCTCTCCATTTCCTTTATTAGATGCGCAAGCGGAGCTCTCACAATCCATTTTCTAAACGCCACAACCATTGATCATAACCATGTCAATCCCTCAGTCTCCCGCCTTGAAAGAAACATTGGAGAGCCGGCAGAAGCTTCATTCTCCACCGGACGAGAAATATGACTCTGAGACAAGTCTACGCACTGTCAGATAATCTTCGAAGACCAAACATACATCGAAATTACCAAGGGGAGTATCATGAAACTGAAGGGAGATAGAGATGATCACCTATTTCTTGCGTATTTCTTTGAAAATGGACATCGCTGCAGGAATCTGATAGGGCGGCCTCAACAGGGGCGCCAAGACCGGCACCAGGAACTAACAACGCGGGGGAAGTGAGTTCCCTGAAGCCGCAAGGGATCAGCTCATGACGTATGTAACTGACGGTTCGTCAGTGAGCAATACGCCTCGTCACAGTAAGCCAGGCTTACTGCTCCATGTGTTCATCCTCTCTGCATTTTGATATTAGCTATCGTCCGACTCTCACGGCATCCTGGACACTTCCCGACCAAAAGGTCAGGGTAGGTATACTCTTCCCCGTATCTCATCCCTAACACTCCATGAAATCTCCGAAGGGGCGGAAACAATCAGCCGAATAGATTCGAACCGAAATGGGGTGATCAGCCACCTTTGATGCGTTTATTTCCCCCCAAGGTGAAATTGGAGTCAAACCTCCTAAATTTGGTAGCATCGACTCTAAGAGGCAACGGGCGCGGGCTGAGGAGATCTAGCATGAGTGCATCTTCCACTCTTCCATCGCGCTGATATACCGGGCCATATAGATAACCGGTGTGGGCCATTGTCCCTTCCTTGCCTTTCAGCGACTTGTCAACGCCGTTTCTTTGGTGCTTTTAATTCGGGGTCAAAACAATCGCGGTGTGGGGGGATGCGAATACTCTGGCATCCCCAGACCAAAAGGGCCATGAAGACTTGGCTTTCATCAACTTCCACTCCAGTGCCAAATTCCCTTTAAGCGACAAAATTGTGGCGCCGTAACTGAAACCCTGCAAAACGGGTTTCGACATGCGGGTCAACAGGGTATCTTCGTCCGAGCACGACCGCCGCCACAGCCAGCAGCTAATGGCCAGGGACGTAATCCTCCATCCGAGAATCAAGCCGGCAAAACATCTCCAACTGGAGACGCCTTCCCAGTTTTAATGAAAGGGGATGGGTTGTCTTAGTTTCATGTGTTGTAAGGGCATTTGCAACTGAATCGTGTGTCCATACTCGGATAAACAGGACAATACTTCGTGGGACTCGCGGCCACTTCTATACACCCGAGAAGTGAGGCGCGGCATCCCGAACCGCTACAGCTCGGATTCTTGGAACCATTGGAGTGCAATAGCTCTGTGTTCCAAGCGATATTGACCAGACAAATGTCCCCATAAACCATGCTGGATCAAGCCAGGTCCTTTTTGAATCGTCCCACAAATTCATTGCAGTGGCAAGGCTGTTAGACATCCAGATTGTCTCTAACCTGGAACAGAAACCGGTGCTCTGTCCGTTGGTAGTGAATGACGTGCAGAGCTGCCATCTTCATACTTCAATGTCAGAGTTTCAGATTCGTGGGGGCGTGCAACCACGTGGACGTAATTGCATGATTTCCAATACGGCTTAGCTCTATTTACGTAACCATATCTGATTGGGTTTGCGTTCGACCAAGAAGCTTAATTAGGTTTAGCTGTGAGTGTTATTAATGGACCCAGTGCGTGTAACTAAGATGTAACCGTATCTCCTTTCTAAGTCGTCATCATACCATGATCATCAACTCAAGCTTCAGTCACCCTCCGTCTCCGTCCATTCCTTTTCTTCTCAAGTCTCTCTCGCTCTCGACACGCCCCCCAAAAAAAAGAAAAGAAAAGAAAAGAACAAAACTTGTAATTTTTCCTTTGGATCCCTTCCGGACATCACACTCTTGTCGTGCAAATCCCGTACATCTGCCCTGTGCCAACCTCCGTCCTCGCACGCCGCTTTTTGAACGCTGCTCGTTGTCTGGAGGGCGAATACCACCCGGAACTCTGAAAGAAGGACCCCCCCGCCCCTGTGGAAGCTTCCCTTGAGTTATTTGGCTTTGCTATATCGGGATCGAGGTTGGAAAGGGCTCACCTACTCGGCTGTCTCGCTATGGGATGCCGTGTTAGGTATATCCTGAACACACTCTTCGATCGAGTGCTATGTTCATAGTGGTGTGCTCTCGAGATATCGCCACAGCTTTTGAAGCCACGATCTGCCAGTCACGTTTATCGTAATAGGATATGCTCTCGCCAAGATAACAGCAATGGATATATCCCAAAGCGTGTTGCCAACGGTATCTGTCGATAGACCACACCTGAAATCTCACAAGGTGCTTCCGAGAAAGAGGGATGTCACCCACGATGTCGAACTTACTTCATCTAACGATAGTGATGGCCCGCGCGCTGACAGCCCTCTGCTAAATGGATTTATCTTTCCTCAACCCGCACCGACCCTACCCCTAACGCCACCGTCATTGACACTCGAATCGAAAAAGCAGTCGCCGCTAACCTTGCCTATTGACGCTTCACAACCCCAAACGTCCGATTCCACAAATGCAACACCAACACGCCAAGCAAACATTCTGACCCCAGATATAACACCACCACGGTCTGCACCGGATGGCCGCAAACGACCTGCGCAGTATCGCAACTTCACATCCATGTCGTCCAAAGCCGAGTCCTTCAAAACTGCCCGTGAGGTGTTATCTTCAGATGACGATTTAGAAGGTATAAATGGAGCTGGGATATCTGCTTTGCCACCGCCGAAATCTCTACTACCTCTCCCTCTGGTTTCGTACGATACAGTCGGTAGTCCTGGCCACCACTCTAGCTTGGGCTCTCAAGAGAGTGCGTTACGGACGAAGAAGGAAAATGAATCAGCATGTTCTCGTCGTTTTGATGCCTTTGACAGAGATAGGAAAGAGCATGGCCCTGACAAGGCTGATTTACCAAGAGCAAGGAATCAACGGCAAAACAGAGACATAGTGAATGGTAATAAAACGTCACCGGGAATGAAATCCTGGGAGGAATCACGTCAAGGACTAGAATCGCAAACTAATCGCGAAAGGCCTCTGCGGGAGCGACTGAAGGAAGGAAAGGGTGTCGTAACTAGCGCCTCTATCGAGAAATTTGCAAAGGATATTGGGTGGCAGGTGCCTGAGGACCGTGACAAACATTCTTGCCGCCTTTCAGCAGTATCTGCATCATCGACAATTGAAGCGATTATCATCGATTCTCCGCCTCGAAAGAAGCAAACCTTGCGTCATACCGGAAAAGCGGAGTCCTTACGTTCCGTTAGTTCGCCGGCTTCCCATTCGAATCGCGATATGTCACGAGGTTTAGAGCAGGGGCGTCGCCTAGTTCGTAAGAATGCTCGAATAACTGACCAGGACCGCTCTAGCATTATGTCTGACATGTCTCTGGCATTGACCACGGCCTATCCCAAGCCAAAAGAAGCGGAAGAAATCATCCCGGTTGTGGTCATCCCTCAGCGGCGATCGTCCCTAAGATCTTCCACATGTGGCAGCAGGGAGCATTCACGGACTCGTACCATAGTTGAAAATCGTCGGCCAACCACGGCGCCTGAGGGTAAAAATTCATCCCATGCATTTTTTGACTTCCCAAGAAGACGACGTACTATGTCTGAATCGTTCCCTCACCCGCGAAGGTCAAGTGATACTGCTCGCCGAGCTATAACTTCCCGGCCTAGGATTCCGGCAAGGCGGTCGTCTCTATCAGCACCCACCAGTAGGACCGCATCTCGAACAACATCGCTTACTTCCGATAACTTGCAGCAGTATCAAATCGCACAAGACACCCAGTCCTTTGCACACCAGAAATCTCAAGAGGGCCAGGAAAATGTCCGAATTTTAGACCCAGTTGCTTTGAAAATTGAACAGTCGGTACCCAAAGACGTTAATACTCAAGATAACACCGAGAACCGTCTTTGCGTTGACAGTCATTATAATGACTCCTTATTACAAACTCCTTCTTTGCCAAAAACACCATTTCAGCACTCAATTCAATCTTTGTCGCCTGGCCCTATAGAAATCTCGGAGGCTCGCGCTATACCTTTCTTTGTCCACAACAACAAATCACTCTTACTAGTTGAACAATACACGCAGCCCGAGTCTCGTGCGGTACAAACGCTGCAAACTTCGCCTACGGATTTAGAGGTGACTTTAATTGACACACATACGTCTATTATGGAGCCCCAACTTCAAGCAGCTTGCATTAATTCCCCGCTTCGGAACCCGAGACCACCACCGAAGCCTCCAGCACTTAAAGTTATCCCCCCAACACCTCTTGAAATAAGTAAACACCGGCCTAATCATCTGCCATCGAGCAGCACAGAGAGCAGCAACGGACTTGCACGCCGCTGGGAATCTCTGCGTCGCACCTTCAGCACTAAGCAGTACTCCAATACCGGGGAGCTAGGTCAACCTGTTCATAAATTTCGGAACCGCAAAGCCGGGAAGGACATTGATAGCAAGCTCCATCCATTCTGGCGGCCACGGGAATTCTGGGAAGATTTCAAAGATTCGGACACTGATGGCGAATCCGTCCAGCGAATGCCTATATCTCAGAACGTCCGCCAAGCCGGCGATGTATACATTGGGAATTCTCTAGGTATACCGCAAAAGCGGATCTTCCAAGGCCCGCTGACGCTCATACGTCGGGTCTCGAATCGAAGTCGGCTACGAGCACCGCGCCGTAGGAATGACAGCCATACTAGCATTATTAGCACCACTCTTCCTCTCTCTGATCGACCTGCCCACGATCGTGCTCTACCATACTTCCTGTCTTTCAGCGAGATGCAAAATTGGATTGCTCGAACTAAGCGTAGAAAGGCGCGGGAGCGACTCGAGGCGAAGAGAAATAAACTGCGACAGATGATCAATATGAAGGCGACTGTGAACCCTAGCTCAGTCGAATCGGACTATCCTCAACCAACCAGGTCCGCATTTGATAGCTGAAACTTTGCTGTGCCATACCCTGTTGGGATTATCCTCCCTGGTGGATGTGACATTATTATGATTTACGATGTTACGATTACTTACGAGATATGTGCCTTTTGCATTCGTCTTTCCCTTTATGTTCATCATTTTCTCATTTGAATGTTGAAGTCCCCCACCCCCCCTCTTTTTTTTTTTTTTTTTTTTTTTTTTCACTTGTGAATTCATGTGCTTTGCTTCGGATTATCAAGGAGATGTAACCCTTTACCCTTTATCCAACACATATGATGTGATTAACGACTGATGTTTGATGAGCTGTGTTTCCGAAGTCATTTTGGCATTTCTGTTTCAATGAGTTTTATCGATTTGCATTTCCTTTTTTCTTCTTTGGCAGTCTTTCAGTCTTGATGTGAATTTCAAACGCAGCAATGTATGGGCTTTTTTGATTCACAGAATAAAGACCTCAGACTAGAAATAGTTTATAACATTCTTTAATCCGAAGCTCCTGACCAGTATATCTCAGAAATTCCAACAATGCTGCGCTCGATTTGATAACAGGCTCAGTCTCTCGGCGAATCGCAATGTGGCTGATCGACACTTGTGGTAAGATTCTTAGGGTGGATAATGGCTCTCGTCACGAGAGCATACCAACTACCGTACTACATGTTGAATCCTATAGTACTGGGCTTCTCTGGATCAGCGAATTGGAATCCTATATGGCAATTGCAAAGAGGTAAAGGCCATCTGGATATGTTAGTCCTAGCTAATTACCCCCTGATTGTCTACTCGATCATGTCTTATGACCCTCTTTTCCACGGTCCGGATGGGCCCCCTCACAGTTGTCCTGCTGACTCCTCAAAAAAATTCTTGATGGTTGCTCTATCATATGCCTTGAGCTGTACGAAGTACGGAGTACCTCTCTACTCCCTTCGTTACACTCCCCAGCAATCCTGACTATAAACCCCTAAGAACATCCCTTGTTTCTCCTTTGCAATTCAGGTCATAACCTGTGAGTTTGTGACTACTAGACAAATTTTGACTCCATGCAAAACTAGGTGTGAACTCGAGGACTTGGGCATTGCTCAAATATAGATAGGAGCCCTCAAAAGCAAATATATATAATGCATATATATAAGGACCTGGAAAGCTATAAAAGACAGTTCATAGTTTGTCGTCATGCTCAAGGCGTTTTCCCCTTTAAAGGTTGGTAAACGCAAGTTCGTAAACAAAGCCAATGACCAGCTTCCCGTGTTGCTCTACGTGGTCGAAGTTGACGTTGCCGATGACATCATTTGTCGTGTGAATGCTAGGGTTGGAGTGTGGCTGATCGGCCTCGAAAATGAATGCTGATGGGTAGCCATTCCTGGTGGCAGACGCGTGGTCGGAGCAGGCGTATCCACAGCTGGAGTTGACGAAGGTTATATCAGTGTACTATTTGCAGGTCAGTAAGTTTTAGCCTTATCTTCAGCGGAGAAATGGCGTCTCCAAGCGGAACAGGGATTGTGTGCTGAGAAGGGGGGGGCATTTCATCTTACTCCTCTAATGACCAGTCTACAGAACTCGCTCAAACCAGCATCGACGTTGTCAGTGATCACGCCGAAAGCTTCTGGCAATCCAGCACTCTCTCTACGTCTGGTGAATCCGGTCATATCTTGGTTAAGCATGGCCTTGACAGCACGGCCTTCGGACCTGTATCGTCTGAAAATGTCTTGTGAGCCGAGCAAGCCCGCTTCCTCGCCAGCATACCAGTGAAATTCAATCGTGTTCTGCGCCTCTCCCTGGGCAATTTTCGGCGATGTCAAAAGAGCACGGAGAGCATCAAGGATAGTGATCGAACCGCTTCCATTATCGTCAGCTCCGGGGGCACGGCCATTGGTGGGTGATCTGCTGTTGACGCTGTCCTGATGAGCACCAACCACGATGGTATTCCTGCTCCTTCCAGGAATGGTGACGATAATACTAGGCTGCTGGAAGTTATGCGAGAATTTCCTCACAGTCGCACCGCGTCTCGCTGCTCCTGAGTTCGAGACAATCGCATTGGCCTGTTCGAACAGCCAATTTGCGGATTGTACTCCGGTTTGCGATCTGTAGTAGCGATTGTGGAAAGAAGAGAACCTCTCGAGGTTCCTCCGCATAGTGTCCTTAGACAAACGGGCTGCCAGAGGTTTTGCTTCTGCCACATATCTCAATTGCGTAGGAAATTGGGCAAGGACTTTCTCGGCGGCAAAGCTAAAGTCCAGGTCCTGTTCGTCTGTAATGTCGAAGAAGTCGATGTGTTTCTTCCAAACAAAACGGGGTGTCAGCTTGGTTGCACTAACGACTTTCTGCATCATAACTAGCTGTACGCACAACGTACGCCGATGATGCGACGCGCAGGATGTAGTTTATTAAAAGAAAGAATATGCATACCTCTTTTAGTTCGAACTTCTCGGCCTCTGTAACCCAACGGGTTTCTCCAGGAGCGGTTTCAATCAAGAACTTCTCCGTTGCGTCAACCGGCTTGAGTGCCCAAGCTGAAGGGCAGACAATGGCGCTCAGCGCCAGTACAGCAAGAGTCTTCATGTTTAGATAGCAAATTGCTAAGAGGGCCACAGATATTCCACACTGGGTTCTTGTGACAACAATATTGCAATAAGTGTCACAGGGAGCTCCAGGACCAGAATCAGCAACGGCAAGACGCTGGGGGTTTATATGAGCTGTGGCATTTTAGGCTCTGCGAAGGAGCCATGAAGGGCTCACGCTCCCGCCGCAGTCATACTCAATGACACCCTATGAAATAGAGCCTTGAGACCCGTTGTTATCCGAGAAAATGCTTCTCGTAGGATCCCACTAGGAGCACTTCAGGCGGGCCGGATAGGAGTTTCGGCGGCAGAGTCGCATGCCCCGCCCATATCAGGCGGTCAAAAACGGAAGCATGGGCAGTATAACCGAGGGCTGATTCTTCATTTGAAGGCCGAACTACATGCGGGCCCTCCTATATATGTAATTAAGCGCCCAGGGGACCTATGTGGATCACTCCCGAAAAGGGTTCTGCTTTCTAGAAAAAGTCTAGAACAAGCCGGATAGACCGCAGCTCCCCAAGGGAGGAAGACTCCTTCATTGAGTCTGTTAACAGGATCACGCCGCTTGAGGTCAGGGGGTTATGCAGGAGGCAATAACGCTGCCTTCGGTAGAGAGTTGGAACACTGGGATGTGAAATGGAGACCGAACCGTTCGGCTTCTCTGCGGAAGTGACGGAGGGACCAAGCCGGGCATATGATGACCGGGAAACCCCCGCAATGCACAGTCGTCCCGTACGTCTCTGAGCCGAAGCCATTCGGCGTGGGAGTGAGCCGGTCCAATGCCCATGGGGAGAGATTCTCTTCCCGCCGAGCATGTCTCAGTTTTGATTGATCGAGATTAGATTTGTTTTTTCTGATGATGTAGATGAACCTGAACGTCTGACAGGAATCCCTTGCAGAAATTTCTCTTGGCCTCTGTGGCGCGGCTTGTCCATATTAAATAATATGAGGATTTGTTTGGATCAGCAGGGCGGAGGGGGATGGTTTGAGGTCAAAGGCCAGCAAGGAAACAATTTCTGGGTGCATTTGATCCCGCCTATCTCCGACGAACGGGGCTGCAATGGAACCCAGCTGGAGGGCCTCTCTTGGCTAAGGCCATTCGCCCCATGCTTCCCTCAGCACTTGTTAAATCTTGGTCAGCCGAAATCATCAAGATTTGTCCAAAATTTGTTCAAAAAAGAGAGGGGGTTTGCATGTTCCCTCCAATTCTCTTCGATGTCGAGAATGACCTGTCGGTTTCGACGAGAACCCCTCCCGGCAAAGTGGTTTAATTTCCCTTCAAAGATTGCATGTTTTGGAAATCAGACCATACTCGACACTCTAAATAGAAATTTGCACTGTGGTTACATTCGAATGCTTGGTTTCCCCCAAATTCAGAGGCACCAAGACGTCTGGTCAGATATGTATCGTATTAGGGTCATCTACTCCGTATAAGGTTTGGGGTTCCGGGGTAACAGACCAGGGGGAGCTTAACTTATTCCCCCTCCCATGACCATGTGATAGTACGATTGGCTTCTCTTAGGGTTACCTTTCGGCAAGGACACAGCATTTGACAAGCTTCCACGCTGATCAGTGGGGATCTTTGCTGCCCAGAGGGAGTGTGCTATTCGTTCTCTTGGATGGCACAGAAATCAGGGCCCTGCAACGTCAATAATTGGTGTTCGAGTTTGCGCGCCCGACCATATATTTTACGTCCTCCATGGAGGGAAAGCATTGATAAACCACGGGCTGGCGTGCAAATGCCCTTGGAGAAATCATGGCATCGTACGGAGTACGGTTTCGGTAATATCATGAATAAGGTGTGTTACAATGGATCCCCGGGGAGCGGGAGAATGCACTCTCTCAACGGGTAGTTGTCGGCTTTTAAAGCGGCCTGCTTGGGGGGAACACCCCTATTCGGCCGGTCCGTTCTAAGCTGGTCACTATAATCTGGGGAGACTGCTATTTCGCCTTCTGAGTTAACAGATGTCGTCTTTTTGACGTTCCATCACAGGAAAACATTGAAGCGTAGTTTGAGAAGAAAAGAAAGGATAAAATTAGGATACATACCGGTGAAGATCTCGAGGCCCTTGTTTCAAACCGAGTTCCTTTACCCGGATCTGCGATCGCGTGGCCCTGCCATCCCAGCGCGACTGTCATGACATGAAGATCTCCCGATGATCAGCAAGAAATTCATGGAAAAGACTCCGAAAGCTATGATGAACCTACGTACGTGCAAAATGTGTTTTGTGGGTTTTGTTCCTGGATTTACACGGTAGGTGTTTGCAACGCTCGAATTCCGCACTCAATATAAAAATGGAACTGCATATCCCTCAAAGTTACGACGAAAGTTTTCCGTAAAGAGAATCACACTCCGCGATCACACGCTCCTCGTGGGAGCTGCTTCTTTAACCATTCGAAGATCTTTCATTTCCTGCAAAACCTTCTCGCCATCGAGAAACGGCTGGGGTACGCGTGAGGCATCGAACTCAATGACCCGCAACTCGCGATCCTGGTTACGTTTCGCGTTCGACCCGGCGGTTCCGGCGTCGTTGGAGCAGACTGGCATTTGGAGCTGGATTTCTGCAGCTTTAGAGGCGGGGTTCAGGAGGCGGGGTACTTGTTTGGACGGCTTCGGGAGCGGCTGTTTGGCAAGTAGATTGCGGCGTGGGGTGGTCTTTGGAGATTGCAGCGACATAATGGTCGGGCAGACTTAAGATCACTGGGCTTAGTATATGGAGTAAAGCGATGAGCACAAGAGGCAGATTGACACTCGGTGCTCCGTAACTGCGTGATGCTCCCCCACACACAAAATGCGACCTCCGCCTTTCTCGGCGCTGGGCGGAGACTTTGGGAGGCGAGCCTTGGCATAGATTTCACGTGATGCAAACCGATTAAATAATCAATCAATCACCTGATCTGACGTAAAGTCCACGTGACGCGCTAGTCCCGATACGGGAAGCGACGCCTCGAGAGAGTCGAGTCGATTTGCGATGCGGTGGATCGACCGCCCGACATCGGCCTGAGTCACAGCCAGAACTGCTTGTCAAACCAACCCGGCGGCACAGAAGGAGACTGCGCGCAATCAGGCCGGTCGATCTACGGCTTCATATCGCGATTGGACCGCCTGCCGAGGGGCCCTTTTTTTTTTTTTTTTCCCCTTCGGCGGGTGACGCAAACTGGGGGTGGGAAAGGCCCCATCGCCGTGGGCTCCCATCGGTGGAATCCTTGGAAGAAAAAAAAAAAAGAAATTCAACAGGCCCTTACCGATCTACGGAAAAGCTTCTCGCCTTTGGGACCTCCCCGCCGGCTTCGAGGGGCCCAGAGGGATCTTTTTTTATCGACTTAACTTACCCCGCGGTCCACAAACACGACGATCAGTGTGGCGGCTCGAGCAGCCAGCGACAGCCACAGAGCCCGTGGCATTGTCGCGGGCGGTCGTGATGGCAGCGGTGTCGGAGATGCTGCAGGGGAGGAGAGTCGAGGTCGAAACAAGGGGTTAACGCCGGCAGACATGCGACCCACTACGTCAGATAATGAGAACGATCTTGCCTCCAGCCCGATAAGAGGCCCTGCGAGCGTCCTGGGCGGTGCTAGCGGTGGTGTGACGACGGCCGGAATCAATCCTGGCAAACGGCGCCATGTGTCAGTTGGCGGGCAGAGTTGTTCACCAGGAAGTGCGAATGGAGGTGAGGAGGTCGAGGGGCAGGAAGAGAAGAGGAAGCATCCAGTCAAGAGAGCCTGCAACGAGTGCCGCCAGCAGAAGGTGAGCTTTTGCGATTTCCCGGCCCTTCCATTCTTACCCTTTCGCCTCGATGCCTGCAAGAGCATTGCTGACAGGCCCTTCTGCAGCTACGTTGCGACGTGATTCAGGAACCATTCACAACATGTACCAGATGTCGCCGTCTCAAGCTGGATTGCAAGATCGAATCGAACTTCAAACGGATTGGGAAACGGAGCAGGAATGCGGAGATGGAACGTGAGCTCATCGAGCTGAGGAAACAAATCGCCAATGCAAACGCAGCCGCCAATGCGCACCATTTTATATCGCAGCATCAGTCCCCGACCCAGGCATCACCACCACCGCTGTCAATGACTTACGGCCCTGCTATGCGGGCCGTCCCACAAAACTCGGCCCTGTTTTCGGCGGATGAATATATGAGGCCCCATGAAGCTGTTGCATCGCTTCTTGACCTAAGATCAGGTTTAGATTCCTCCAACTTCTTACGAAGTCCAAGCGGGCAAGTGGCAATGCAAAAAAGAATCGAGGATGTGTCTGTCTCTCAGGAAAAAGTCGGTGACTTATTTGGCCGGTTTGTTTCTCCACCTATACGATACCCCAGCATTACCCGTGTCTTCTAATTTCGCTGTAGATTCTTTACGTTTTACCATCCATTCCTCCCTTTCCTCGATCGAGATGAGCTACCCGAGGACTATTTTTCCACTTCTCCCTTACTCTTTTGGACTATCATTAGCGTAGGCGCTCGTCGATATCAAAGCGATGCGACTCTGTTAAACTCCCTCGCTGGACCTGTCATGAGATTGGTGTGGAGCACCCTGGCGGATGTCCCACAAAGCTATCACATTGTCAAAGCGTTGGCCTTGCTCTGCACCTGGCCTTTTCCAACGAGCAGCACGTCAACTGACCCGACTTTTATGCTATGTGGGATGATGATGCAGATGGCCTTGCAGATTGGATTGCATCGGCCGTCCCATGCACAAGATTTTACCAAGTTCAGAGTAGAATTCAGAGAAGGGGAATTGAAGGATAGGATAACCACGTGGGCGATCTGTAACATCGTGTCCCAAAGGTACTTCGTCCAATCTTACCCTGTAGTCATTTTGGATTGTAGGACTGACCTCTCTTTTCTAGGGTCGCAACCGGTTATGGGCAGCCGCCTTCAACATTATTCGACTGGACCCTGTCTTCTGGAGAGACCATAGACTCCACTTTTAGACTTCTCCCCGATATAAAATCAAGGCTGGACATAGAAAAGTTTTCCGACAAAGTTACAAAAGCGCTATACAGTAGCCATCGGGACCCCGTCGGCGTGGTTAACGACGAAGAAAGAACGGTGATGACATCAGTGTTATTAAGGGACTTCGAGGACTTAGAAACCCGGCTCCATTCTCAACAACAAGATCGTGCGTATCACAATTCCAAGGCAATCAGCACACAGCTAACCAAACTTTCACAGCACTTACAAACATGTATCTTCGAGCGGCTGGACTCCATTTGCATTTGTCAGTTTTCTTCGATGATCCAACGACTAAGAACTACCTCCAAGGGCTGTCGTCACTTTATGTTGCAACCACTGTCTTTCTCGAGGCCGCTTTAGGCCTGGATCACTCGGGAGGTCCCGGCCTTACATATAGCTCTAACTACATTTATCAAATGACCCTCGCCGCTGGATTCACCTTGCTTAAACTGTGCAAGAGCTTTTTTGCTGTTCACATCGATATGGACTACACCAAGTCGCTGTTTAATCGGACCATCTGGGCCCTCCGCAGTATGTCCGTTTCTAACAATGATCTGCCTGAGCGTTTGGCCGAAGTACTTGCACAGATGTGGAAGATGGGCAGCTTGCCCGCCCCTCAGCAATCCAGCAATAAGGGTTCCGGCCAGTCAGAGAAGGATGATACTCTGCGATTGAAAGTCCGTTGCCGAATGAGCATGTCGCTTGTCTACGACTCTGTGTGGCGTTGGAGGGAAGATTTTCAGGCACAAGGCAAGAATTTAGAAAGTAGGTATCCTTTCTATGAATGTCTTTTTTTTTTTTTTTTTTTTGGTTAAATGCAGAGGGAGTTGCCAAGGCAGTTAACATCATTTTCGCAGCCTATCTTAAAAACCCGACAAACCCCGATTCAGGCCCAGATTCCTCGTCCTCTTCAGTTTCGCACCTACGAGCTTCTACTTCTACTCCAGGCGCGGTTGGGACTGCGGATCCTAGTCTTGCACCGGCTCCGCTACCCCCATCAACGGCGATTGGAGGTCTTCCTCCAACGGGAGGAAATCTTCCCGCCGTTGGTGGCTTGCCAAGCGGGTACTTAGAGCCAATGTACGAAGTTTTCGATCCATTGAACTGGATCTTGGATGGTTTAGTAGATTTTCCAACCTCCTACAATTCGGTCCAGGGGATAGAAGCCCAGGGGGCTGCATAGATTTTTTTTTTTTTTTCCGGCTAATCTTTGCCGTATTTCGCACGTCTTGAGCATCGGAAAGTATAATTAACCTACTCCTAACGGCCGCCCTTTTGAACAAAGTGTAGTTCCTAATCCTATATAATAAAGGCTGGCGCACAGGTATTTTTGCTTGAGCGATAGCTATGATAACGATGTTATGAGCTTCCTTTATCAATTTCACAGCATTTCTACAGAGTACAGGTGTGCTGTTTGCTTTTTACCAGGAGTATCATCCGTGGCTGTGAATTGGAGCTCATTCGCAGGCAAATAAGGGGGTGACGGTCTCCAAGATAGTCCGAGCGACATATAACGATTCGGAGAATGAAATTAAAAAGAAAAGAAAAAACGGGGGGAAAGAAGGAAAGGAAAAGATAAAGAAGTATTTTGAATTACGAAGCATTAGATGAATCACTGGCAATGCCATGATTTCCGCGTGAAATAGTTCCGCTCCGCTCCGCTCCGCCCCGCCCGCTACTCTTAGCAGCCACCACCACCACAGCCTCCACCACCACCTCCCCCTCCGCAGCCTCCACCTCCACAACTGCTGCAACCGCCTCCATCGCAGCCGGCCTCACAAGCGCCCAAAACTACATCGAGCGCACAGGTCCCAGAGACACAGTCCGCATGCTCACCCTCTTCTATGGGGATACAGAGCGGGTTACACGAGTACATTTCGCAATTGATGGACGGATCCGGCCCATAAGGAAGGTAAAGCGGTACGAAGACAGGGCACCCGTATACCATTGCCATAGCACCGTATGCCCTACTTGCAGCTCCAGTATCATTGTCCGTGTTCAAGGATATCTTTTTCTTATTACGCTTCTCCCAGCGTCTTGTCGCTCGTTGATGGGCATATTGGAGTTTCAAAGCCGTCGGATCCAGTAGACTGATAGCCCTGGATCCTCGAAAACGCGTATCGATGGAATTATGTGCCGAGATATGTGGACTTTTGGTTGGGTCGGAAGGAATGTCTGGTTGATCGTGGAGGCCGATAGCATTCTCCCGGATGGAGGAAAAGCGCCCATTGGAACCGTTTGATTCACGGATTGCCTCGCAGTACCAGCAAGTACATTGGCTGTATACCTCGCCGTAAGCTGCCTCGTAAGCTTTGGCGGTCCGCTCAAAACCGTCAGATAATTTACTTGACTCGATTTTGTCATCATGATTAATAAATTTCCCTGCAGTCATAGTAACAGAGTAAGTGAAGTAGCGCTGGGGAGAGAGCTGGTGGGTGTGCCATGCCAGGTCGACATCGAGGGTTGGAACAGCTACGACCTCGGTATTGGAATGTAGGATCCGGAAGAACCGCCTATATTTTTCGATGATGCGCTCCATTGTAAAGTCAAGAGTTGGGGAGTGGAGCCAATCGATATCGTCCATCTTTCCAATAAAAACTCCTTGGCGAATAACGGCGCCAATGAGGTCAAGAGCGAAGGGCGAAGAATTATCCCAATATCGAGACATCATCCTCCGAACGGGAATTTTCTCTTCCCTAGTTAGCTGCCCTGAAATAGAACCGTTCGCGGTGGATCTGGTTCTAGGGGACTTCAAGGCCTGTTCAATCAAATCCCGAATATCTGATACCGAAGCACCAGGATTCTCTCGGAAATTCAGGGCCGCGCGGAGTTTGTTTTGGAGACAATTCAGGATTAATTTGCTGGGAAATAGGACAGAGTGCTTTGCGCGGACCGGTGTTTGCGGCACGCCTTTGAGCGATAAGATGGTCCCGGGCATTGGGATTTTTAAATTGGCAAGCTTCTCCATATCGTTTAGGAATTTCACCACACGAAGCCTTTCGTGGTCAAATTTAAAATAGCACCTGGGACATATAATTTGGAAGCCTCTATCGGCATAACCAGTGCAATTCTCGAATGGCGCTTTGATGGATCCAAGTTGAGGCCGCTCTTGCACCCAGGGAACTTGCAAATTGGTTCGGCATGCCGGGCAACCTACAATCTTATAAGGCGAATCGTGAAGATTATCCCACGAACATGACGTTTTCGATTCAAATCTCTCCCGTGCGCCGTCACCCGGCCTGTAATCGAAGGAAGAGCTGTCTATGGAAGAATTCACCACTTCCCATGGCATTCCGGCTACCCAGACACTCATCTTCCCGAGACGGAGACAATCTTCAAGGTAGTCCCTCGGATTAAGCATATATGCATGCCACACCATGAGCACGTCTGGGAAACGGCCTGATTAGCAAAGTGAATACACTCTATAGAAACAGCTGAAAAAAGAATAGAAAAGAAAAGAAAAGAAAAAAAAGAGAAGGGGGGGGGGAGGGGGGTTGTTTGCGACTTACCCAAAGGTGGCAAAACATCCATGGTCCAAATGACCATGTTCTTCCATTGTGGAGAATTCTTATACTCTGGGTTACTAGTAACATCGTCTATCGTCGTCGCGCCCTGACATCCACCAGGCCCATCCATTGGGAGGGTAAAAAACCACTTTTCAAATCGGCTGACCGCCCGAGCAACATATACCCCCCATCTCTTCTCCCTGACCAACGCAGTGATTTTCGTTTTCTGCTCTTCTGGTGTCTGAATATGAAAATGATCTGCTTCGTAGAGACCGAAAAGGCCATCTGACTGGGAAATAGTATCGCGAAGGTCTGCAAAGGCGGCCAGGAGCTTTAAATGCGCGATGCACTCATCCACTATGATTAGCGCAGAGGGCCGTCCTTGGACCCGGGGAAGCTCAAAATTGAGGGGCCGCATCCCCGGCAGCGGGATTTGCTCAGTGAATGGAGGTGGGTTATCCGAAGGCGCTCTCGGGGGTGATTGTGGCCTTTTGGTTGGACTCTCCTCTCTTCCTGAAAACAAGTCTTTGAACATGGCTGCGTACCCTGGGGCTCAATACAGCCAAAGTATCAAGGCTAGGGAGGCGGGAGAACCTGCCTGTCGAGCTGAGGCTTTCTTAAACCAGTGCAGAAAATCAATGCCAATCTTGATGTAGCAGTAGATGCACAAGCAGAGCGATCTAGATTTAAATGAAGCGGGATATCAGTATCACAAGTACGTATATAGCACCTTGCCAATGCGCCAGGGATGCACAGACCTGTGCCGGTTGATAGGTTGGGAAAAGGAACAGCCATAACCGCTGAAATCGCTATATATGATACTGATTCCGGAAACGGGCTTGCCGCTCACGAGACAAAACTGGCTATGAAGCCCCGGAGGGAGAGGCGGACTCCAAGGCACCACGACCCTAGAAATATCAGCCTTACATGGGGAGGCCCAGACAATTTTAGCTAGGGTGGAAGTTAGCGGGTCACCAGGCACTAGCTAACGAAACCAAGTTCTCGGACAGTTGGTTAGGCAATTCAGAACATGCATGCAGCTCCGCACTATTTTTAGCTGAATTAGATAGTCAACTGGGTAACGAACCAGGGCACCGCCCCATGATCCACCGAGGAAGGGTGACCAGCGCTAATGGGAAATCATGTTTGCGAACAAGGCAGCGTTGGTGTAACACGTTACTAAAACATCGGCATTGCACGGAGCATGCAAAAGACTGCACATGGAAGCAAGAAATTTGCTCATGTAAATCAGCCTCAAATTCGAGCGAATGTGGTGCCATTGCCTCCCTCTTATACGGAGTACTTGGGAAGCAGAAGCACCCGACAGAACCGTGAGCAGGGCAGCGTCGCTCACATATACCGACATGCTTTGTATGGGCACTTATTCAGCCATTATGCAAAGTATAGGGATATCCATAGCCCAAAAAACCAAAAAAAAAAAAAAAAAAAAAAAAAGGACAATAACTCTTCCCAAAGACGCATTCATATCGTCATCAATATCATATCAGAAGGCGCAACTAAAACTGACCATTTTCGCAAATAAAACGTCCGTGAGGCCTTAGCCTGGCCCCTTACATCCTTCTTCTCCAAACGCCTCTTTGAATCCCCAATTAAACTCGCAAGAAGCAAATACCAAATCAGTAAGACCATAAAAGTATATACATATGCGTACATCGCACCAAAGATTAAGTAATTGAAGGCAAAACTTGTAACTGGTGCCCCTGCGTCACATCACAGCGCATTTGCCGTCCCTCCTCCCACCTTGACTACCTCCCTCACTCAGCCAATCGCTCGACTGTGAACCCAAAACATTCCTTCCGGTACGTCTATCGCGAAGACCGTAGTTGGCCAGAGGCATGAGCCTCCCTGCGTCTTGCGAACGGGAGCGGGATCTCTGGACACCGTGGCTTCTGGCGGCTAACACATGGTCCGCGCTTAGGGCAAGATTGTTGCGCTGATGTACGCGCAAACTACTCGCCACCGGATTACCATGTGATGCCGGGCGAGGGTGAGGAGAGCCGTGATGCAAGTTATTGGCTTGTGGTCGAGTATTATACCAGCTTCTACGGGTTTCAGCCTCGACCGGAGTGGGTGGGAGGGACCGCATATTGAGAGCATTTCGGGTAAGCGGTGCGGTGTGAGGGGGGGGAGGTACAAGAGATGCGTTCTGATTTTGAATTCTGGCCTGCATGGGCCCTTGGTGACTTGTAGTGGAGGTAGAAGCCTGACCGGCAATCGTGTGCGAGGAAGGGCGGAACTGCGTGGTCTGTTGTGACGCGGGAGCACTCTGGCTATTCGCGTTATGTGGTTCTGATAGTAGAACTGGAGCGTTCTGTAATGGCGATGCTGTGTTGGGGCTACGTGCGGAATAATTTGACGCACGATAATTTGTGTTCAACATCGGGAGGGGCGGGCGGGGAGTTGGAGAAGTATCGGGAGGTTGCAAGAGAGTGTTCGAATTGCGATTTACTCTTGTCGAGGAACGATGGATAACCGACTGCGCCATAGATTCTAAGCGGGACGTCCTTGAGCGCCGCAGTTGATTGCGGCCTACATCGTTTCTGGGAGTCGGCTCGGTCGCAGCCGGCAAGAGGGTTCTTCGTAAGTGCTCTGGCAGCGGAGCTTCAGCATTCGGCGTATACGGCGGCGGTGGTGGCACCCAATTGTCTGCATCGCTCTCATGCGGAAGATATCGAAACCTTCGACCGTCCGATTGTACCTGCCGGGCATTACTGTATCGTGGATCAAGGCGATTTGTAGCAGCCGACGCTCTGTTTATCGTATCCCTAGACCGTGGCGATGAATTATTATAAGGGTTGTCTATCAGCGCAAAATCCTCGCCTTCGTTTGCAGGTGAAGTAGGTTGCAAGCGCTGGTTGCGCCACGGTCCGCGCGGCGGATTCATCGAGGACGGATCGCGACAGCCACCAAGCCCACGTCGACGGTTCATATGGGTCCTTCTCCTTTCAAGCTCGACCTGCTGGGCTAGATTCGAGCCTGGTTCTGGTAACTTGGTGGGCTCTACCTCTCCCAATTCGATCGTTATCTCGGTTTCCTTGCCGTTCGACGGAGAATATTCAAAGTCGTATATCAGGATTCTTCCGCCATCGATTGGTAGCATGTCTCCAGTTGCTGCACCCAACCATGAGCTGACCCCGCCAGGGGCTACGGCTGCTAGCCTGCAGAGTTTACGAGACATGGTATCTCCCGAGCCCTGGTCATGAACCCATTTGATGGCCGAAATACCGCCTAGAAGGCGCAAAGAGGTTCCATGGACGAAGGTTTTCGCCCCGTCGATGGTTTTCTTGAGACGATTGAAATTTGTTGCGACCGATCCCGATTTCCAAACCGGGACTTTTTCTTGGCCATCCGCAGCGTCCCCTAGCGATGAATCGGTTGATGCGTGGCTCTCCATATTCGGAATTCCATAGACCCACAGTTCGGATTCCCAGAATCCCACAGCCAGGAGCTCCCCGTTCCCGCTAGCAGCGGGGAAGATGTAGGGTTTCGGTTCATCCCTGTCAGAATCCGGTCCCGGTCCCACAAAATATATCGCCTCTGCATTCGGGCTATCGATCGGGGCTAGGCAAAACGCTTTCGACTCAATGTTGTACCCGGCAAACCACGGCGAGCCGTCACCTCCTTTTATGGATGGAATCAACACTGCATGGCTATAGCCTTCATGCACCTGTGGGAATAGAATTTGGGTGGTCCACAGTCGGCTCTCTAACTCTCGAACTGAGAGATCAACGTCAGGATCATTGCACAGTGGGGGGGAGATGGTGACGAAGCTGGAGTTCCGTAGATTATTGGAAGCTCCGAGCAGCATTGATCCGTCACAGCAAAAAGTTAGGAGATCCACGCCGACGCATCTGACGGCCCTGCGAGCAGTGGACAGAACGTCCTCTCCGATGGCGTAGACTTCGATGCCTCCATCATAAGCAACAGCGAGAATTGCTGCATCTGGTGAGAATGCAAGCGCACGGGGTACATCGCTCAATCCTATGCTTTGCACCAGACGTGCGGTGCCGCCGTCTGCGAGTGTATATATGTGTGCCTGGTGCTCCGAGGACACCATGGCCAAGACGGTCCCTTCGTCGGCGATGGTGGCTATGAGAGGGCGACGCATCGTCTTCAGCTCGTGACGTACTGAGATCGGGTCCATGGTCAGGTCGATCACAAAGATCCTTGAGGAACTAAGCGCGAGCAGCTGCCGGCCTTTCGCAGAAAACTCGAAGCGAAAAGCTTCCCCCTGTGGAAATGCAGACGACGAACTAGCTGACACCGAAATCAGATTTACTAACGTCCGCCTTGGCCGAAGGAACACATCAAAGGCATTCCTCCTTGCTTCGCGTGTAAATCTGCTTCTTACAGTTTTGATGTCATCCGACGCCGACAGGCTCGAAGCAGGGTCATGGCTAGCAGAGCCTGGGGTACGGCAGCCCAGGAGGTGATGATGGTAAAGCTTGGAGCAAGTGGAAATCTCTCTCCATTTCCTGTTGAGCAACGCGAGAGAGGCGAAGACATTTGCATCCACCGTGTAGAGGATCCTGATTTGACCAAATAAGCATACATAATCCACCACCACCACCACGACATCGAAGGAGTGGGGATTCAAACAGACCGTTCGATGACGTCTCTAGGAAGCCTGCTAAAGGCATTAAGCTGAGGATCCTTTTTCCCCTCTTCAGCATGCCACGCGGTAGAGCCGCAGCCAGCTACACGGCGAGGGCGAGTTCTGCGGGGACCCGGGCCACTTGCCCTGCGCTCTGGGCTGCACGCACGAGAGCATTGCTGCTCGCTATGATTCCCGTCTCTTGCTGGCAGCGTGACGGGGTCAGATTCCATAGTCCTGTCGAGCACGTCCGATCAACCATCATCCATAATAGCGGACTCGCGCAGCGATTCGCATCGGTCCGTGGCTCGAAGAAAATCAGAGAACTCCGATCCTTGAGCCAGACTTGGCGGCCCGGTCGTCGTCAGTCCGTCCGTCGGTCCGTCCGTCGGTCCGTTCGTTCGTTCGTCGCGGACACTCCCTTTTTTTTTTTTCACGGTGCCGGTTGATGGGGGTTGTTCACGAAGAGAGTGACAATCCACAGCGCAGCAGCCTGTGCTTCTGCCAGCGAGCGGGTTTCATAGTCGACGGCTCGACGGAGCAGGAGAATGGGATGCACACAGAGAGAGAGAGAGAGAGAGAGAGAGAAGGGGAGGGAGAAGAGAAAGAGAAGAGAGAAGAGAGAAGAGGACAGCGGCCGCTCCGCCTGTTCCCTCGTTTTGGCGCAAGGATTAAAAAAACGCGGCAGACTGGCAGCCAAAGACGGTTTAGCGTACTGAACAGCCACCGCTAGTCAGACCAATCACAACGCGCATCCAACAGCGGGTAATCGACGCTAGTCCCAACCAGGCATGGTTTATGATTACCTCATGTTGGCTCACGTGATATTCACAATTGGCCAATCGGAGGCGACGCAGCGGCAAAGATGTAACATCGGAATATCGTCAGACGAGCGAGAGAGCGAGAGGGAGAGGGAGAGAGAGACAGAGCGGCATCGCGTCATAAGGAAGCTGTGCTAGACAGACAGACAGACAGACATGGCAGCCCGGATCCCATCATAATGGATGTGTGTGCGCTGCCTCCCATCATAGCTGCTCTGCGTCCCCGTCCCAATCCAATCCCCCTCCCCTGGCACCCATGACTTTTTCTCCCGCTCAACTGATGATTCTCTGCACCGTTGGTCTGCCATCCCGCCGAATTCCACCAAGCATAGACGCTCCGAACCCGCTGATGGGCCCGGTTTGATACACCGGCACCCTTTCCCTTTCTTTTTTTTCCTTTTCTTTCTGTCTTTTTTTTATCTTTTTTTTGTTTTTTTTTTTACTTTTGTATATAGAATTATGTCATCTTCAACGACAACTTCTGCGCCCGCGCCCAAAAGCGCGCCGGCATATACAATCAGTACGGGTTCCAGGCCGTACCGATCTCACAAGGTGAGAGCTTGCGATCTATGCCGGAAAAGAAAATCCCGGTGCACCGTGGATCTGCCCGGCCAGTCATGTCTTCTATGCCGGATTCAGGGTGCCGATTGTCACTACAAGGAGGACCCGGCCACAACGGGATCTTCGCTGCACGGAAACAACAACGGCGAGACGAAGCGGTGGTCTCCCGCGCCAACTGCTCCTGTCCAGCGAAAGCTTAAAAGAAAATATGAAGACTCTTCCTTGGATCAGCCGCCCGCGCGGGACATCATGTCGATTCCCTCTGTGACCACCGCCTCACAGCCTCCGGTCACCCATCGGCACGACCAGAATCCCGAGCACCGCAAGCATAACGGGCTGGGCGGATCCATGAATGAATCTGTACACATCATTGGACCGGTTGCAGCCGAGGACGCGCAGGTCATAGAACGCTACATGCCTTCCGAAAGGTCCAAGAAAAGCCCCGACGATAAAACCCCATATAATGTTTACTCTAACGACCCACGAAAACCCATCCTCTACACGACTGTCGCCAGGCAAAGACAAGGGGTCCGCTGCAGCGGCGTTCCCGGAGAAAACCAGAAAGATATCATTGAGCAAATCTTAGGTCCCTTTAAGCACGACCTTGTCACAATGTACGTCCTTTTTTTCTTTTTTCTTTTTTTTTTATTTTTTAAACGAAACCCTATCCCAATCTAAGTACCCTCTCCTCCCACCTCCCGCCTTCTAACCTTGTATTTTTGATCAGATTTTTGGAGAAGATTAATGCCTCCTTTCCGCTCTTCGATGAATATGTTTTCATGGAAGCTTATAAGGCTGGGGACGGAAGTCTACCGCCGCCTCTAATGTGCCAGGTATATGCCATGTCTCTCATTTACTGGAATCAGTCGCCGGTTCTGGCTCCACACCCCAAACCCGACATCAGATATGCGGTGAATCTCGCCGTTGCTGCTCTTCATGAAGAGTTCTCGGCTCCTGGATTATCGACATTGAGTGCTGCATTGATTGATCTGACTGGACGACCAATCTTCTCCATGACCGGGAATGCCATCAATACGGGACGTACAGTTGCGCTTTCTCACTGCCTTGGTCTGAATCGCGACCCTAGCAGCTGGAAGCTCTCTCCCTCTGAGAAGAATAATCGCATCCGGCTATGGTGGGCTGTAGTTATCCACGATCGATGGTGAGTGGTCTCCACCCTCCCCAAAAAGAAAAATAAAAACAACCCGGTCCGTAGAAATGGGAGACCACCTGTCTGACATGGAGGATTTCAGGGCGAGTTACGGGCACGGAGTGCCTCCGCAGATCTGCCGAAATCAGTACGATGTCCCACTCCCCACGATAGACATGTTAGTCCCACAAACTGGCGCCAGCCAACAAAGGTTCCGGGCGGCACATGGATATATCTTCCTGTGTCGTCTCACCGAAATCCTCGGTGACCTACTCCCCTTGGTGTATGGTCTTCAACCGAAGAACGCCAAGGAGACATCGAAAACTGTAAGGCGGATGAGAACAGAGCTGGACAGGTGGGAGGATTCACTCCCCGAGTGGCTGAGATCTCCTCACAGTGAAAACGGCGTTCCAACATCCGGCTCGAGCAGCCTGCAGTTGGCATTTTTGGCAGTGAAAATGCTTGTCTGTCGAATAGAGCTCCAAGTATGGTTCAATTCTTTTCCCTCCCCCCCCCCGGCAGGGGGCCCATTTTCTCTTGAAGCCAAAGCTAATCTGTTTCTTCGCAAGGAAATTAACCACTCGGAGAACTCCAATCCTGAGGCTCGACGTTATTTCCAGACAGAATGTAGGAAAGCAGCTGAGGATATAGTGCAGTTCTTTCTTTCTCTCAAGAGACCCCATTTCCAAGAGTTTTGGATGTCATGTATGTCTACTCACCCGATCCTCCGTTCGTCGCGCGGTTCTCAATTGCTAACTGTCTCTCCGTAGACAGCGCATACCATCTTACGTCAACGGCCACGTTTCTTTTCCGCTGTGCGTTGGAGACCTCTGACCCTGATATCGCAAGATCTTGCCTAGCAAACGTCGACACATTCTTAAGCGTCCTCCGGAGAGCTCGGGCAGAGCATGAGTGGGATGTCGCAGATATGTGCCTTGATCACTGCGAGAGGATCTTGAGCAAGCACCCGGGAATCAACCATGACGATCCACAACCCTCTATCGCGCCTCCCTGTGATGTAACTGACACGCCCGTCTCGATGACCATGCCGATGCCGGAGACTCCTTGCCATAATGACATTGTTGGGGATATGATGTCCATATCGGGGACGTTTGGCGCGATGGACGGATTTCCGTTTGACATGACCGGGATCTGGGACGTTCCCGGGCTTCAGGACCAGGAGAGCCACTTCATGAATATACCAAGCACAATGTGATAGATAAATAGGGATACTTCTTTATTGATCTGTTTATTTTTTTTTCTGTCTCTTTCCCTGTACATGTATTTAGCTGACGTTCTTGCGTCCACTGCGTCTTTTCTTGTTTTGCTCCTTTTTAAGTGTACATACAGACAAGCTTTGTGATAATTCAAGACACCATACTCCGTACCCCGTACTCAGTTCTCCTCGCCGTCTCTAGATAGGAAAAAGGAAAAAAAGAAAACAAAAAAAAGGAAAGGTGGAAAAGTTTCCCACGGGGCCGCAGGCAAAAGCAGTGCGAGAGTGCACTAATGCCGGTCGAATCTCGTATCAAAGCTCAGGCCAACCGGCGATTCAGCGTTCTTCAACGCCGGTCGGCGTTAGCACAGACACGCATTCTCGGCAATAACCAGCGATTAACTCGGTTTCTTTCTGCGAGCGCTGGCCAGGCGAATGTCCCCCGAACTCGCAGCAACCATATGGCTCCAACTAACCCTCCACGGCAGCAAGAAAAGGATCGTAATGCCTCCCCGCTATGCGTCTCCGGTGGTCGCAGAGTTTCCCGATACCGTGTCTCAAGTTTTCCGCCTCTGTTTTCCGTAGTTCTGGAGGAGACAAAAGATGAATGCTGATCGACCTGGCTCATGGCTTATTCCTTAACTACACTTATCTAAAGAATTGGGTGCTAGTTATCTGCTGTATGCAAAGAGTAGTAGTTACCAACCCCGGTATGAATAGTAGAAAGGCGATTCCCATCCGGTCGTGGAAAATCATGACGAGCATCGCGGCCGTGGGAGTTGGCTCTGTGCCAGCCATAGTGACAGGCCTATAACTCGGGGATAGGGAACCTGTACTGGTGTTGGCCGGCGGTTGGACAACGCCGAAGGTCGTATAAACGGCTTATCCAATATTTTTGCTGTATCAGGGTTAGCACCGTAACCTGCTACCGGCCGGGGATGAACGATTGACCCCAGGGCAGTGTATCTTCACTCGGATCTTCCCCCAGAAAGCGTGCAGATTTCCGTTTTGCAGCCAGCAGACCAGATTCCCGCGCACCTATCCAAAACAAGCTGGCTATCCCGCACTCTCTCTGCTGCCTTCCCCCACACTAAAACGCAAACCCCACGGGGAAGCTTGACGGGGTCTTGCAGTCTCTGTTGCTCTGGACAATGGGAAAACCAAGGCCTATATAAAGAATCAATTCCCCTTTCCTCGGGCTCCAGAACCCCCCTTGGAAAGGAAGCGGCGGGAAAGGCCAATCGCTGAGTTGCATATCAATTCATCCCCTGGAACGGTTTCCACGGGCACTTAACACATACTGCACACAATCCCTGTCGCAATCTTTCTTGACCCCATTATCCTTGTTAACTCTGACACGTCTGACCAACGACCTCACCCTTGGTTCACATTTTCCTGATACCAGATACTCTAGATATCGATAAGCTCTTTTGCTCCGGACGCAGTCGTCCAGTACCGACCATGGCGCCCACCGTCGCCCAAGTGGCATCAAACGGACATAGCGCGGGAAATGACGGGGGTTCTGGCTCGAAGTGTCTCTACTCCGCGCAGACCAACTTGCTCGCTGCGCAAAAAAAAGCTTCACATGATTTCCGCTCGGATGTCGTCACGACACCGACGGAGAATATGATGCAGGTAATTATGAAAAGAAATCAATTCCTTGGGAAACACAGAGCCGGGCAAGTGAAAGCCCCGGAGTATGTACCTTGCTCGTGGCCAATTACATCCTGCGGGAGCTCTTGCGGGGTCATTTTTGATTCTGCATTGCATGTATTGTCAATATTGGGAGTTTGCTTCTGCAGCTGGCTATTTGCTTTTTTTTGCTTACGTCCCTGTGCGGTTAATAGTGCAAATTCGTCTCTCTTTTGATATATTTTTTATTTCTCGGCTCACCGATAATTCCCAGGCCATCATCGATGCAACGTTCGCAGACGATGTGTTCGACGAAGGCGGTGATCCCTCCGTCACGGCCCTTGAGCAGAAGCTCGTGGAGCTCACGGGCAAAGAAGCCGCCCTCTGGGTGCTCTCTGGGACCATGGGCAATCAGATCTGTCTACGTACACACCTGACACAACCTCCACATTCGGTTCTGCTGGACCATCGAGCACACATTTATACGTGGGAAAGCGGCGCGCTGCCGGTGATGTCACAGGCGAGCGTGACTCCAGTTCACCCGGCAAACGGAATCCATTTGACGTTGGAGGATGTGAAGAAGAATATGATTCCCGAGGAGAACTGTATGTGATCCACTCCCAGTGCCCCTGGCTCGTGAAACTTGTCTGATTCAGATTTCCAGTCCATTTCCCACCCACCCGGGTCGTGGCTTTAGAGAACACCCTCAATGGAACCGTGTTGCCTCTGAAACATGCAAAGGAAATCTCCGACTACGTCCGCAGCTATCCTGTCCCTCCGGGCCAGAAGCCCGTCGCCATGCATCTCGATGGAGCACGGGTTTTCGACGCTGCGGCCGGAGAAGGAATCGATATAAAAGATTACTGCGCCTGCTTTGACAGCATTAGCGTATGTCTTGCAAAGGGTGTTGGTGCGCCAATCGGTAGTGTAATCCTTGGCTCCAAACCATTTATTGCGCGAGCAAAATGGTTCAAAAAGATGTTTGGTGGTGGAACAAGACAGGTATGGGCTCTCCATTTTCCCCATTTCCCCAAACTTTCAACCAAATCGATAAAAGGGGGGAAACAAGAGAATGAATGGAAAAAATATGAAAACAATACGAAAAATGAAAAAAGAGAGAACTAGGCTGAATAAAACAAATTTAACAGCCTGGAATGATGGCCGCGGCTGCTCACGCGGCCCTGACAAATTCCATTCCTCAACTGCCCCGCGTCCACTCACTCACCAAATCCACCGCCGCCCGCCTCTCCGCGCTGGGCTACACATTCTCGTCCCCGGTGCAAACAAACATGATCCTTCTTGACCTTGAAGCCGCGGGAATCCCCGTCGCGGCGTTCGTGGACTACTTGACCGAGGCTGGTGTGCAGGTGTTCCCCACACCAAGATTGGTGTTTCACTATCAGACAGCCCAAGAAGCGGCGGACAAACTTGTCGATGGGCTGGGGCTGTTGATACAGGATAAGAAAGCTGGGAAGGACCTGGTTGCGAGGAAGATGACGGGTGGCTATGCCAAGGGTGGTTCAGAGTAGGTGAACCTGGGGCGTGTATCCTCTGTGAGACTCCAGCAGAGGGTTTTAACTTAATGAACATGCATGGTGAATGAGTATGAATTGTCTTTTTAGTCGTACAACTTTTGTTGTTCAGACAGTACAGCAGAGTTGGGTTGATGATATTGGGATAGCTGCTAGACTAAACATAGAATGAGGCCCATCTGTTTATCTTTGGCAGGCAATTCAAATAGGCAGATATGAATTGAAAAATGGTGGATATTATAAAGTGTGTTTTCATTTCAAAATATGGTACATAGAATTTCCAGTTGTATGGGCTAGACCAGGTGTCTTGCTAAGAGAACATGAAGGGAAAATGTGTCAATATGAACTCTAATGAGCAAAGGGCTAGTAAAAATGGACGGTGGGAAACTGAAAAAATAACGATGATGACTCCAGGTCCAAACCCACATTAAGGCTTAGAGAGGAGAATAGGACAAACACCCAAAAGACGGAGTAACCTAACCGCCAGCATGCACGCGAGACCCCAAGACAAGATAAGCAGGGTGTATGTGACCCCCCAAAAAAAAGAACTTCCTTTTATACAAATGGCAGCCGGTAGGAACATTAGTCTTCACATCATCATTTGTCCCCTCTCATGATCACCGGGGAGGCACTTCAAGGGTTCATTTCTTCTCCTGGCCGCCACCTCCAAAGAAACTTGTGAAGCTATTTTTCATCCCTTTCATCTGCTCATCTCTCATCTTCTCTTCCTCTGCAGCCATCTCGGCAAGCCATTTCTCTCCATTTTCTTGGATCTCCTTCTCAATCAACTGGTATTGCTTTTGGCCGCGTTCTCGGATCTGGTCCCAGAGCATCTTGCCCTGCTCCAAGCCCTCAGTGGTACTATGATCCAACCCATCGATAGCCGTTCCCATTGGCTTGATACCGAAGAGTGACGCGATGCTGCCGATGCTGTGCTTTGGTCTCTTGGCGCGTTCTTCGGCTAATTGTTGTTCAAACTTCTCACGCATGATCTTTTCCCGTCGAGCGAATTCGGCGGGGATGTACGTGCCCTCGAAGGATTTCAATACAGTTCTGACGTCATCCATACCCATTCCCGCGACGTATTCAAGGAAAGGAATCAGAGCAACAAGGGATCTATCTTTCGGATCACCGTTCCATTTAGGAAGGATGATGGCATTCTCGGGTTGGCGTTTAGCGTGGGGCTCATGGGTGTCGATCAAAATGACCTTGGAGAGGTCACGGTTGAGGTAAGAGAGATCCTATCCAAGGTTAGAGAAAACGGTCGAGTGCGCAGGAATACAAAGGACAAAAAGATACCTTAACATATTCACCATCCTCGTATTTCGTGGCTTCTCTGAATAGCGGCCAGCGGATGATTCGATAGGGATCCAGCTTGCGAAGCACTTGGTCGGCCATCATGCTAGGAACGGTGGTGAAGAGGACGAGCTCGTAGTACTGATTAAGATACCGGAGGAAGTAGTCAACTCCTGGGCGTTTAGCAACTCGCCATCCGTGTTCCCGAGTCCATTCGCTGTGAACAAGAAGATCTTCCAAACTGAGCACCAGTGTGTATGGCTGCCTCAGCGCGGGATCCTCTTCGGGCAAAAGCTTCTCAAAAGCTGGGTCTTTGTAGTAGCTTGTCAAATCATCGAAACGTGCCTTGATACGGTTAAAGAACAGGCCGGATCCCCAGCCCGAAGGGGCATCTGGATGGGCTTTCTCCTCTTCCTCTGTAGCCCAGTCTCGACCAAGATATATCGTCCCAGCGAGGCCAACGCTGAGCATAATGGCATACGTCAGGTTTGCAAGTCGGGTGCGACGGCGGTCAAGAGAAGATACATAGGCATTCTTTGGAATATCACCACCGCCGCCGCTCTCATCTCCAGCGCCACCCCTTTCGGGATCTTCTGTGAGGTTCAGGCCGGTGGGACCACGGCGTCTTGATTTGGCAGCCAACTCCTCGGCTATCGTAGACGGGATACCTCGTGTAAGATCGGGAAGAGGCTGCTGCGGTTGCTGCGCAGACTCCGACTCCGAGGCATCTTTCGTGGGACGGCTCTCTGTCTCGAATTCGGTCTGGTTATTTGAAAACTCCGGGGATTTTGCACCGGCACCGGATGGCCCCATTTGGGCGTGGCTCACACCAGCGCCAGCACCGGTAGACTGTGGAGCTTCATTCTGTTGCGATTCGGGGTTTGATTCAAATTCCGTCTGTTCTTCGGAGAAGTCCTTTGGTTTCGAGGGATTTGGTGGTTGGGAGACGACTCGTGGTTTTTGAGAGGGATTGACATGAGAGCTAGATGAAGGGGCAGACGAAGGGATATCGTAGCCATGGGGTTTGTGGTTTTTGGCATAATACCTTGACTGGAGCGTTGTGTAGGATAATCTGATAGAGGTGGGAATCGCTCTGTGCCTCATCAGAGGCAGAGCAGCACGGCTGAGCATCTCGGCGGAGTGCTATTCACATCAATTAAAAAGTAGAAACAAGCTCTGTGCTCATGTTCTGGAACCACAGAGCATTGATTGAGAAACGGTGGGAGGACTGGGGCTGGATGGCTGAGGGCTGCCTCTCCGCGGTCAAAAATTTGGAAATGTTCTTTGAGCTCCAACCTGGCTGGCTACGGCTCTCTCCAGCGGCCAAGCGTGCAATCCCGTGATGCTCTGTTTTTGGTTTAGTTAACTTTAGTGGAGTCGAACTACAAAAAGGCATATCACAAAAACTTTCAGTCTTTTTCTTTTTTCTTCTTTCTTTTTTTTTCTTCTTAACCAAAATGAAAGTTGAACAACCCAGACAATTGAAATTTGACACCTTGCATGAGAAAAGTTAGTTTCTCAATTGGTATGCATTGTGTTGTATTAGCTGGGGAGACCGAGGTCTAGTTTACTGGCCGTCTTACCCCCAAGAACGACAAGTGAGATTCCAATCACCATGTCGTCCCGTTGGTTTCGATACATGCACTTTAACAATAATGATAATGATTTGTCTCTTGAGTCTCTCGGAATCTGATGGCTATTCGGAATTCCACTACGCCCCTGTGACAAACTTTAGCTCTATGCAGCCGTGACATGGCTCGTGGCTATGGTTTAAGGACCGCCCGGCAATCGATCACATGATTCTCTAAGATTCCGTCAATGGTAGCACCTCACAGCAGATGCTTTTTTTTCATTGCTTTTCATACTTTTAGTCACAATTTTGATTTGTACCCTGACCGGACCAGAATAACAGGCTGACTAGTCGTTCTGTGGCTGAACCCTGATGGAAGAAGCCCGTGGATCATGATGCATCTCAGTTTTAGGCGGAGATTGTTGTCATACCATTGTAGATGAATCACCTTGTTATCCCAGCTCACTGGTTGTACACTCACAGCGCTTCTATTAAATGGAAAAGAAAATCAATGCCAAAAAAAAAAAATTCACCACCTTGACCTATATCATAGCTCTTCATCAGTTTCCATCTTGTCAACCTGCTGCTCTGCCTTATTTGCTTCCCGAGCTAGAGAGGCTTCTTTATCAATCATTTGCCGCGATATGGCCACAATGTTGTCTTCGATGAGCTGTTGACCGACGTCTTGAATGTCTGTGTGTATATAAATTGAGAAACAGGGTCCGGACTCAACAGGGATTAAAGAATTACTTACGCTTCTTCGGGTCCACCTTTCCGACATATCTCGTCTTAAGCTGATCCTTTGTGAGCTCGGTCTCCTCTTTCACTCGCTTCTCGTATCCTTCTGCAAGGCCAACAAGTTTCTGTAGTCTCTCGACATTCTGCTCTCCATCTTCACGGAAATTCTTCATCTGCAGGGCGTCCGTCCAAACATGCTTGTGTAGATTCATCAACATATTTTCCTCTAGCCCAGTCTTTCGATAATTGATAGCGATGCTATAGTAATGTCGGTTCAGACCGTGGATGAGAGCTTGGATCGACGGCTTGTTGAGGTGGCCCAAATTGGAAGTGGTTTGACGAGGCTCTTGGCCCATTACAAGAGTTTGTGGCGCGATCAACCGGAATGCATCGATGACAACTTTTCCTTTAACAGATTGAATCGGGTCAATGACGACAGCGACGGCGCGCGGAGTAAGTTGTTCGAAGGACTGTTGGGTGTTGATATCGACCGAGGAGAGCCAGCATCCAAAACCAGGATGGGAGTGATACCATCCAACCACTGTCTCTGGTCTACATGTAGGTTAATAACGTTCTGTCACGCTTGGGAGGGGGAAGAAACTAGATCTATCCGGCCGTCAACGAACCTTCCTGTTTGTCGGAGCATGTCCATCATGTTTGTCTGAAATACGGGGTCGACTGCCTCAACGCTGACACCGGTACCACTCTGCGGCATAGCAAATACGTCGACGACTCTAACAGTATATTCGTCCACGAAGTCTCCGAGCATCAAGCCCATGACCTCCATTGGCACACCGGCACGACCATGCCGCAGCATCTTTAAGAGGGCGAGCGAAGAAATGTGGACAGTCTCTGAATTGTCTATGAGGTTCGGGGTATCCTGGAACGGGCAATTTGTCAGTTCCGACATGGAGTAAAGTCATGCCCCAGGGTCGAGGCTTAAAAGACAACTTTCGACCAGCTGCCACAGTCGAAGAGCAGGCAAACGTACCCCACTGGGAGCAGCATTCATACCCATCCCCTGGGCAGCTTGGAGCATTCGACTCAGGCGCTCCATTTTGAATATGAGACCTGTCTAGCCTTGCGAGCAGTAGGGAGAGAGGAAAACGGGACGGGATGCAATATCCACGCCCAAAGGGCAAGCTAAAGGGAAGCTGTTGGAACAAAAGAGCGGAGTGGCGCGGGTGCTAGAGAAAGAGAGGCGGCGAGATAAAATGGACAGGGAGCCCAGAACGGTCTGCTGCCCTAGACGGAGTTAAGATGGAGGTTTTGGATGTCGTCGTGCAGGTGTGGTTTCTGACTGAGCAGATGGAGCAGCGCGAGTTCGTCCGTTCTCTCCGTCCGCTGCGCTGTCCAGGTTGCCTGTCTGGATCGCAGCCACAGCAGGCGAGGCGCGAGAGCTGTCGACGGGCCAATCAGAACGAGGATACTCATTAGTCAGCAGAGGCCAAACCTTAAGCTTGTGGCTCCGTCAGTCAGGTGCCCGGCGGCCAATCAGCGGGCGGTGCCGTACTTTGTGCTTGTTCCCCCCATGAAATCATCCGCGCAGCAGGTCTTCCTCTCTCTCGGCCCCCCGTAGTAATTCTCTGCCTTTCTCACTCCGTTCTCCTCGCATTCACTGCTGGCTAATGTGCCTGTGCCATTCTCTTCTATTCAGCGCTCTGTTCCAGTCAGTCAATCCTAGACTCTGGCACTTCACTGCTTGCTCCCACTTTGTTCAAATTTCACTCCGCCCCCGTTGCCCTCGTCGCACGCACGTTTGATAGCAACTAAGCGCTCCCGATTTGGCCGATTGCAGCCATGGCTGGTCTCGGTCCCATTGATCTTTCTATGACGAATGGAGCTGCTGAGAAGAAACGAGTTGCTTATTTCTACGATTCCGACGTGGGCAACTATGCTTACGTTGCTGGGCATCCGATGAAGCCTCATCGGATTCGAATGACCCATAGCTTGGTCATGAATTATAGCTTGTACAAGAAGATGGAAATCTACGTAAGTTGCGTCTGTACACATCCCTTTAACTTTTCTTCCTTTCTTTTTCTTTTTCTTTTTTTTTTTTTTTTTTTTTTGGTTGCCCCTTTGGGGTCCTTTGCGTACGTGCTGCTGGCCCGGTTTTGGGTAAATTTTACTGACGAGGCTTCCCCTTCAGCGCGCCAAACCGGCCACCAGGCTAGAAATGACACAGTTTCACACTGATGAATATATTGACTTTTTGTCCAAAGTAACCCCCGACAACATGGAAAGCTTTCAGAAAGAGCAGCAGCGATACAACGTGGGTGATGATTGCCCCGTATTCGACGGGCTCTTCGAATTTTGCGGCATCAGCGCCGGCGGCTCCATGGAGGGCGCGGCGCGCCTTAACCGGGGCAAATGCGACATCGCCGTGAACTGGGCCGGTGGTCTTCACCACGCAAAGAAGAGCGAAGCCAGTGGCTTTTGCTACGTTAACGGTAAGTTGTTTCCTTGTTTTGTATGCCCTAACTTCCTTGTTGACGTGCTCAAAAGACATCGTTCTCGGAATCCTCGAGCTGCTTCGTTTCAAACAGCGCGTTCTCTATGTCGATATTGACGTACACCACGGTGACGGTGTCGAAGAGGCCTTCTACACGACCGATCGCGTTATGACCGTCTCATTTCACAAGTACGGTGAGTACTTCCCGGGCACGGGCGAACTCCGCGATATTGGTGTCGGTGCCGGGAGGTATTATGCAGTGAACGTTCCGCTGCGCGATGGTATAAACGACATCTCATACAAAGGAATTTTCGAACCGGTGATCAAGAACGTCATGGAGTGGTATCGACCTGAGGCCGTCGTCCTCCAGTGTGGCGGTGATAGTTTATCGGGTGACCGTCTTGGTTGCTTTAACCTCAGTATGAGAGGCCATGCCAACTGCGTGAAATACGTCAAGAGCTTTGGACTCCCGACCATGATCTTGGGTGGCGGCGGTTACACCATGAGAAACGTTGCCCGTACGTGGGCATTTGAAACTGGTCTGCTTGTCGGGGAGCAGCTGCCCACGGAATTGCCCTACAATGATTACTATGAAGTAAGCTCCCCACATCCTTTAATAACCACGCTTTGCTAACGTGTTGTTGAAAAGTATTTTTCGCCCGATTACGAACTGGATGTTCGGCCATCCAATATGGATAATAATAACTCTAGAGAATATATCGATAGAATCCGGAAGCAGGTCATTGAGAACCTGAAGCGTTCCGCCCACGCGCCTTCCGTGCAGATGACGGATGTTCCCCGTGACGCTTTGGTCGATGGCATGGATGACGAGGCCGACGCTATCCTTGACGATCTGGATGAGGACGAAAACAAGGATACGCGATTCACAAAGAGACGATTCGATCAATATATTGAAAAAGAAGGTGAACTAAGCGAAAGTGAAGATGAGGAGATGGCAGCCGAGAATGGTGTCCGCCGCCAACCCAATGGCACAAAGCGGCGCAATCAAGTCAATTACCGAAACTTAGAACCTGAATCTGGAATGAACAGTGGTATTGCCACTCCTCGCGATGCGTCTTCCGTCGCTGATGAGGAGGTTTCTGATACGAAGATGGACGATGTTGGAGATATTGATATCCCGGATAAGCGCTCACCTACCCCCACTGCGGAACCTTCAACTCGACCTGAATCAAGGATAGAGACGGAGGAGCCCTCCGTTCCAGAGCAACAAACAGCCCCCACGACTGAAAATGAAGACAAAATACCGGTAGCATCTCCTCCAGTGTCGCCACAGGGGTCGGCACAACCGAATGGTGACGAGGATACCAATATGGAGGACGCAATCGTCGAGCCAGAGCCATCCGAGCCGCCAACGGCCCCCAGCGAACCTTTGGTCGCCACTCCCCCCAAATCACCTCAACCTGAAGCTTCGGCCCAATCAGCCACATCTCCTCACCCCGCAGAACCTGAGGAGGGTCCTGCGAATGCTGAGTGACGGATGCGTCTACTTTACGACAATATGTAGCTCCAAGACATGTACTCATGCGGCATTTGATTTTCAAGGTCTGGCGCCAGGAGAAATACTAGGCGAGGTTTCATCATATGAGAGTTCTAGCAAGGCGTGGAAAAGCGGCTTGGGGTGGTGGGTAATCGACTTTACTTCGGCAATGGGGTTTTCTCTTCATGTTCTTGTCATATATCTACTCCGTATAGTGTCTATGTTATTTTTAGTTTCTACGGCAATGTAAAGCGTTGTGTCAGCCCATTTCACTGCTCTTCCAGCGCTCGGCCACCCGATAAGCTTTGCGATTAGGGTTTAGGGCTACTCACGTGGTCAAGACAGAGCCCCGTGACTCCGCAACACGCGCCAAGATTTTTGGAGCCCACACTAAGCGAGCACCGAAGCTGAGGAAATTGAATATCGCCAGCGAGGGAATCGAAGCCAACACCCTGTCCTCGATACCGCGACCTCTCCAATCCCCCGACTTCGAGTATCCGCCGACCGTATATTTTCCCTTGTCTGTTGGGTCGTCCAGTTAATAATTCGCCAAAATGTCTAAGAGAGGGTGAGAATTGATGGTCCCACTTGTTCGTTTTTACTAGATGGTTAGGTGAAAGAGGAGGTTACAATTCGTTATGAAAGAGAAAAAGTCGACACGAGGCCGATTGATGGAGATGGGAACTTTATCCAGTTTTTACCAGCTGGATTTAAATATGAGAACGAGAAAATGCTGACATTTGGGGGTTTACTTAGTCGTGGCGGTGCCCAAGGCAACAAACTCAAGATGACTCTCGGTCTGCCAGTGTATGTTCCCTCTCTTTTTGCGAATTCCCAGATGTATTGGTCCTCCGAAGATATTCAGGCGTGCGAAATTTGCGAAGAAAAATGGGGGGGTGAATCGCATGGCGCGTTTTGAAAGATACAACGGGGGAAGCCCGCGAACAGTGAAGTGTGATGGGACAGAAGACTGATTCTCTACGAACAGTGGCGCCGTGATGAACTGCTGCGATAACTCCGGCGCTCGAAACCTTTACATCATCTCCGTGAAGGCCTGGGGTGCTCGCCTCAACCGTCTTCCCGCTGCTGGTGTCGGTGACATGGTTATGGCGACCGTGAAGAAGGGAAAGCCCGAGTTGAGAAAGAAGGTCATGCCCGCTGTTGTTGTCAGACAGAGCAAGCCATGGAGACGTCCCGACGGCATTTACTTGTACTTCGAGGATAACGCTGGTGTGGTGAGTGCTTCCTGGACTGGTGATATTCGATCGCTCCTGCGTTGCTATTACACGAATCGCGCAGGGTTTACTAACTATACCTTTTTGTTGCAATGCAGATCGTCAACGCAAAGGGTGAAATGAAGGGTTCGGCTATCACAGGTCCTGTTGGAAAAGAAGCTGCCGAAATGTGGCCTGTAAGTTGAAGCTCCACGACATTTTCTATACCGTTGTTTTGAAATACAGTATCCGGCTAACCTCCCTAATAGCGTATTGCTAGTAACTCCGGCGTTGTGATGTAAATTGGGATTCTCAAAATAAAATCATGAATACAAATTCTAGGCGTTTGATGTGATACGCAAATTCAATATTCCAATTCTCAAATTTCCAGGATCTTACCGTGTGTTTATTCCATCTACATGCTCCTACGGCCTCCTTTTGCCTGTGCTCAAATCACTCGCTATACCGTTCGCGCCCGACAAAAGGAGACTAAGGGACAACGCCATCGAGTAAGTCGAGTCGACGTCCTACATTCATTGTAGGCGGTGCCGTACGTGAACGTTGCCGATGGTTACAGATGCGCTCCAACGATTATTGCTCTGCCAATGCTCTCGAATGCCAGGATGTTTATGCTGATTTGTTTTTTAATCGTATCTCAATACACCTCCGCAATAGAGACACTTTAGGCACTCATCCGAGCCTCGTCATGCCATGCTTCAGAAGGGCTTCAAAACGCAAAAAAAACGCTTTTAGAATTGACCATTAAATTTCTCGGCCGAAGAGCTGTAATTACGTGACATAGGTCAAGTATCGTATGTACCCAAGTCATTATATATATATATCCAATTACTACCCAACGTTTGCTCCAGTCGCCGTTCCCTTCTCAGTATTGACAACCATCCCATTCTGCTTTAGCATTGGTCTGGTCACTGAACCCGGGACTCGAGATGCCTTTGGGGGAGAATCGCTCTCTCCAGACGGAGTGCTGGCTCCATCTGCCAAACACAAGATCAGCCAAGCCATTAACATGCCCAACGTTATCACGGCAGCAATGTGCACTATCCACCAGATATGCTGTACCCCCAACTGGCAAGTAATGATGTCATATTTCCATTCCATGACCGAAGGATCGGCGTCAAACCAGAGGGATAGAAGGCCTGCGTTACCGCCAAACTCGCCCATCATAGAGCGAAGGGTGACTTCCCTAACCGAGGGCGTAGATGGTGAAAGGTGATCACTAATGAGTTCCGGTGTATACCGTTGCGCGTCCCATGACCAGCCCGCCTCAACGTCACTGCTTGAATTCTCCGTATCGCCAGATGTGTGATTGACAAAGTGGACAACGTCGCATCCAGTATGGTCATGGCCAGTCAAGATCAACCCTTTTCTCCCTCTGCCTCCGGCGGGAGCGTGAGCATCTCCGCTCATTCCGAAGATGCCTTGGAGAATTCCCACGCGACTCAGATTGTCGCTGATATGGTTCTGCTCCCGCAGTCCTCCTTTTTTGAACCGCAGCTCGCCTTCGACTGGCCACTCATCGTCCTGGGCGAAAAAGTCAAAATGTGGAGCATCGGTGCAGACGCCTGCTTTTTTATGGAGGGGTAGATGAGTGAGAAGGAGAGTGAAGGTGCTTCGGTCCTCTACCGGACGGGAGCGATAAGAGATCACGTCGTTTAGAAAGGTATAAGTTTTGTCTTGTAGTGATTGCCTGAGAGCCGGGGTGTCGAGAAGAAGGCTGTCAAGAACGATGAGGTGCAAGGATGGCGTAGGTCGTGCATTTTTGGCGGAAGAGTCATTCATTACAGGCAGAAGATACTCAAATCGCATATCCCAATTATGTCTTCCAAACTCCCTCTCGAAACGCTCAATGCGTTTCTCCGAAATATCTCCCGCATAGCCAACGTCATGATTCCCAGCAATGCTGATAATGCGGCTTGACCAACTCGTCTCTTTGCCGGAACGGGGGTCTGGAAGTCTCTCTATCCTCTCATCCCCTGCACCGTACCCATCGCTCCCCGTAATAGTGATCTCATCATCAACCCTCACGCCCCCCTTAAACACCCGATTCCAATACCTTCTCGTCCGCAGACCAAATTCTGTATCAGACACCCACTGGCTCCCAATCAGATCTCCCAAAACCGTAACGTGCGTCGGCCTCGTCCACCAGGATAGCGTTCGATAAATATGCGCAAGGTAGTAATCATTGCCAAACAGATCTAGTCGTTTTCGCGCGGCGTCTAGAGAACGAGGGATATCCACGACGACTATGTCCTTCGCAGCCTTGCTGAGCGTAGCTCCACGCTCACTCCACGTTGATGCAGAGACAACTCGCGTCCAGTGTCTTTCAAGATGGTTCGTAAACCCATCATTGGGCCCGGGGAGCGAGCTATCCCCTTCGATCTGCGGGTCGGCTAGAACCAGGAGCCGAAACGGCGCTGGAGGAATCACCCCCTCCACAAAGTTATTACCACCATTTCCACTGTCGCCGTCGTCATGTCTGTAGCCAAAATGTTCTTTTAAAATATTCGTAAATGCGGTCGGCGCGGGAGCGGAGTCGGCAAGACTAAGGTTGGGTACGGGGAATGCGCAGCCGTGGAATACGGGATACAGATATAGGTAGACGAGTGATGCTATTGATAAGGGTAGCAGAACGGAGAGAACTCGCTGGAGCACATGGCGGAGTAACATAGATATACACGCATGGACGCTGCGAGCAGTTGTGTGCCATGCGTTGATTCCGAAGGAGCAGGAATTTTTTTTTTTTTTTTTTCAAGGGGCAGTTTGGCAATGGCGCTCTTAGCCAGGGTTGTCCTTGGCTCAACGAAAAAAGACAACCCCAGTGCAAACTCGTTATCGGCCACCCGCCAAAAAGATTCTACGACGCAACGGTCGAGGGCCAAGCATTCCACGACAGCTACTCTAACTTTATGTTTAAACAAGTCAATCTATAAAAATATCACATTATCAGGATATTGAGAATACAGTTAAAAAAATAGCTTGATTAACTATCATACATCTGCCGATCATAAAAGGGTTTCTTGACATTGAAAGAAAAATTTCTCACCAACTTATCTCAACGCAAATATTAAAATAACCTACAATATCGTTAAAAAAAAAGGAAAAAGAAAAAGAAGAATGAGGTAGCATCCTAGCCTAGGAACTCCATTTAAAGAACAAGAATATCTCCTTGTCTTCTGAAATATTGAATAAATTCAAGTTCATGGCCACACGCATCATAACTTAAAAAAAAAAAAAAAAAATTTCGAAGGTATCGGGTATATCTCAGTCTCACATGGCGCCGGGTAAGTATCCCAACGCCAGTTTGCACATAGTAATCGAGGAAATAAAGCGGAATTTAACAAGAATTAAAAAAAAAAAAAAAAAAAAAAAAAAGAAAGAAAAATTGAACTAAACAGGCGGCATACGAGGACAAATATTTCGAGTCGCTCCGCACACACAGGATAGAACAATATCGAAGTTCAAACTAGGTTGAATAAGAACGGGATGGAGGCGATTCGGCGTGCAAATTAGAGCTTTCCGTCTCAATGGCCTCTTTATTAAGCTCATCTAGATCTTTGCGGCTATCAGACGAGAGTACTTTATCACCATTGGATGGGGGACTCTTTTCTTTAGATTCCGACTTTAAGTTTTGTTTGCTCTTCTGGTTCATTAATGCTGGCGGACGCTGATTCATCTGGCGAGCCTGCCTCAAGCTAACTGTTTTCTGTTTGTTTGTGGTTTTCACAGGCAGGTTGAGGTCTCGCTCAATGGTGGCCTTCATCAGAGCCGCCATCCATAACCGTCCTTGTTGAATATTGTCAACTTGGAAATAGTGAACTGCTGGCTTTGTGAATTGTACAGCACGAGAGAGCCCGGCTTTCGGTGGAACGAGTTTGAAAATAAATGGCTGATCGTCTGGATTTGCCTTTGGTCGGGGGCTCTCAGAAGTTGGATCGGAATCAGTTGGCACAACTTGCGAACCGTTCGAGTTGGTTGGCGATGTTGGCGAAGCCTTCGCTCCAGTGAGAGTTGCATGAAGAGAAGTTATCGTATCATTATCTGCACGGAAAACGCGGTGAGACGATATGTCGATCAGTCCTCGCTCTTCAGTATCGTCTTCTGAATAGTAATAGGAGAGCCGGCGTCCACGAAGGATAAACAATCGTGGCTTCCAAGCAGCCATCAAATTCGACGACTTCTTCTTCATCCATCCATAATAATCACAGCCTATCATCTGTTCTTGCGGAGTTTTCTTTTCTAAGCCACGTATATACGCGCTTGTGTCTCTCTTCGTTTTTGTCCTCTGGGAAGGAGTCTTAGGCCCAAGGGCCAAGCTTATACCCGTATCTGAAACTTTCGACGAGGCATCGGTTCCCTCCATATCAAAGCTTTTAGAAGTACCGGATGGTGTGGTGGAATTGGTGCGGGCCGGTGATTTGGGGAGGTCCTTTATAGGGGAAGATGACGTCGAGCCCAGCTGAGCCTTTTCGTTGCCTGTCACTGCATCCGAGATGGCACGGAGACCGATAGCCCGGCGAAATTTAGGGGCCATACCCTTACTTTGAGAAGCTATCGGAGATGAGCGGCCTGAATCATTGTGGGGTTTCGAATGAAATGACGACAAAGAAGAAAGGATCCCACCACCTGAACTACTGTCCTCCAAATTGGTAACAGTTGGAGAATGGGAGTCATCGTCAACTAGTACCCGACGTGAATTGGCCTCTGCGGAAGAACCTCCAGTATTACCGAGTTTTCCAAAGGCTGAAAAGTATGGGGCAAACTCCCTAAAGGAATCCACACTGCTAAACCTCGAGTGTCGCTTGTTATTACGGCCCTTTGCATCCTCGGTTGCGCTGGATTGTCTTGAGTGACTCAAACTTCGACCTTCTGAATCTCGTTTTCGCAGAACATTCCGGGATTTCCTAGCATCGATTTCACCACCAGAAAAGTACCCTCTGTCTAGGTCAGGAGAATCATCAGTTGCAATCTCTTCAGTTGTTGCATGGCGACCATATCCATGGCTTTGGTTTCGGTCCTGAGCAGTGGTGGTCCCCAATGCAGTTCCTGGTCGCGAATCCGTGCCCGCTTTTATCGTCCATCCCCGATCAAATGAAGATTTCTTTTCGTGAGGGTTGCTTGCCATTCTAGAAGACGCACTTGTTAGAGGTCTCGTGGTGCGGGCGGATGACCTAGAGGCCTCCTCTGTCGATGAGTGCCGACGGTGGTAATTACTCTGCCTGATAAAATCCGGCGAAGGTCGCGACGCACTGTCACGAGTCCTCGGGCGGCTAAATCCAGCAGGGGGGACGGGAGACGGCGCCGCCCGACTCTGATAGCTTGAGAAAGTAGAACCCCTGGACTGTCTAGTCACAGGACGATGCGCTTCACTAACACTGGGGATCCGCGGCAGGAAAGAGGACGCTGTCCCGGAACGGCTTTGAGAGCGATCGTACTCCGCCGGCGAAGCCCCGCGTCCAGAGTACGTGGATATCGATTGTCTAGGATGTCCAATACCCTTGACCTCTTCCTGGAAAGCCTTAACTATGTGCCAAGTTTTGAGCCGTCGACCCATAACACCGAAATCAAAATCCTTCATGTATATGAATTCTTGGTCCATCTCAAGTAGGACGTCTCCCGTTATCTCTTGCTCCTTGAATATTTCGCAGTGTTTTGGGTCTGCACCAAGCTCCCGGAGGCGTTCAGCGACCTCTTCGTGACCCCAACGCCTGACGTCTGCCTCAGTGAACCCGCTGTCTTCCTCTTCATCTGTTTCAGCTCCGTGAATATAGGAAAGACGGTGATCCACATGGCTGCTGTATTCACTGCTGGAATCATTGAGGCCTCGGTGGGGTTCTTGTGCAACAACACTCTGCCGTGGTGTACTAAAATTCGTAATGTGCTCGTCGATTACGCTTAAAGTTTCATTGAGCACTGGGCTGTCCTCGCCATTAAGGTGTGTAACAATTGTCTCGCTGATCGTTCTTTGAATGTCCGGAGTCCTTGAGGAGGAAGTCGGGTTCGACGGGGTTCTTGATAGTGCTTGCGAATCCATCCCGCTGTCCGTTTCAACTCCGGTTGGGGCTTTGGTTTCGATTGCACTGGTATGTCTTGACACCTGAGGGGTGTCATTGTCATTTGAAACAGGCGACTCCAGCTCGGAATCGTAGTCCGGCTGTCCAGATGCATCTGTCGCTGAGGTGGTCGTGGCGCCCGGCGGGGCCGGTTTGCTTTGGGTCTTAACACCGATGTTTGGAGCAGTGGTGGTGTACACTGTATTATCAACTTTGTCAGAAAGCACAGCACAGTAGATGATTGGGAAAAAGCCTCGTACCGCCGGGAAAGAGACCCGTTTCATTATTTGTTACATGCCGCCCGAGAAACCAGCCATCACCAAAGCCGTCGTCCAGCTCCAACAGTTCCACTTTATCTCCTCGTCGAAGGGTGAGTTCATCGGCTCCACGGGAGTCAAAGTTATCTAACCATCGCACTGCTTGTTAGCAAGAAACGGTGCAATAAAAATGAGTGTCGGATTCTACTGACGGACGACTAGAAGGATATCGCCAGGTTGCACTCCACGGGGCGGTTGTGCACTCTGAGACATGGTATTTGGAACGGGAACAAGTGAACTGCTAAGGCAACCTTAAACCGATATCTTTACGGACACCAGGGTGGGAAAGAGTTCACTTCCAAAGCAGCATTTCGAAGGCGGATAATGATTCAGGAGGAGGAGGGGAGCAATGCAACAATTCGGAGAGTTCCCGTGATATCAAAAAGGGTTCTTTAGGCGGCAACACGCGCTAACGAAAAGCTTCTGCTGCTTGAGAGGACCATATAAACACGCGGAGTCCAACCCGACCCGGCTATCAATTGCAAGGTTTCCGAAATGTAAGTCCCCCTCCGGGAGGTGAAAGAGGAGATGATATATTCCAAGCGTATCAACAAATGAGTGGCACAACGTATAAAGGAGACAATTAAGCACGGAGCGACGGCACAAGGCTGCGCAACACAGCTTATCAAATGGGGTGCGCTTCAGGTCCGTGGGCAGGCCAAAGAACGGAGGCGGAGTTGCACGCGGGTCAAATCTCAGTCGGAGCTTCGAACGGGCTCAACGTAGAAGCAAACGTCGACGAGATCAGGGGTCCGGAGACAATTGGGAGATGCGAGACAGAGGGAGAGGAGGAGGGACAGATGGCCCACGAATTTCGAATTTTTAAACAACGGAACCGCCAGCCAGAGCAACGTGGGACGACAAGACGTCGGCGTTCGATGGTCGGCTTATATAATACAAACTTGCGGCGGAAGATCAGCTTATGTAATATAGACCATTTTAGTGCGGTGAAATTTACCCCACTGGACGGTACTAGCGCGTGACAGTTGCGGGCGCCACGCTAGAGGTATTTGGAATTGGCCAATGGAAGGCGGTTGTCTATTACCTGACCCACCCGCTAGTATGGCAGCTCACGCGCCAAGGCCAACCGCCGCAGTTGACATATCAGATTGCGAGAGGAACACTGTTGAGTTGAGAGCCTGCTCGCTTGCTCCAGAATAAATCCTGGTGCTGCAATCCCACCAGCCTCAATGGAGGAGGGAGGGGAAAGCCTGAGACCAAAGCAGTCAGGTTGCTGACCACCTGTGCCTCTGAAAAGGGGAGAAAAGATCCCCTTCTTTGATGAGATGCACAGTAAAAGCTCCAACACACAAAGTTGCTCAACTTCAATGCTATCACTTCACTCTCGCACCCACGTCAGGTAAATAAGCAGTTCGTGAATTGAGCGTGTTGCTATGAATTCCATCTTCACTTCGCCTCCTCACATTCGCTTTTCTGAAAAGTACAGTTTACCTGGCCCCTCCAGCACATCTACCTACTTATACCCTGGTCAGCCCTGTTCTCCATAAGAAAGAGATTTCGCTAACACCACCTGAATTACACGGCTAGGCTGCTGGTGTTTTCTACACCCGTGTCCACTGTCCCTTGCACAATACTATGAACTCATGATCACTCGAACCAAGATCAAAAATGTCAGACCAATCATTGCTGAGAAGATCAAAGGTTACGCGCCGTCCACCAGGCAACTGTCCGACGGGATCTCAGTCCACCGATGTGTCGATGTCACTTGCAAATGCAACAGCCAGTACGTTCCTCGGTGGCCACCAGAGGTCTTGGATGCAAGGTCCCTCTGCAACAGCTCCAAATCACACCTCCCAGACTCCTCTGAGTCCCGTAATATCAAAATCTCCCAAAAAATCCAACGATAAAGGTGCTGAGGGAACGAATTCTGATATAGCCCAGCTGCTATCGCCACGATCCCCTCCCAATGAGGAGCCGTTATTACCCGTCCCCGCAACAGAACCACAGCCCCCGACTTACTCTCCAACTCAAATGCCGTTGCGTCCCGAAGCTATGGCTGCGTCGCATTCCTCGGTCGTGATTGTGTCGCGGTCCCCAGAGTACTCCGGACTTCCTACTCCGCGTGATTTCCAGACAGCTCCTTCGCCAGCTCCTCCGCGAAATAAACCTGGAGCTGGAGCCACAATCAATGATTCTCTCCTGGAGTCCAATGTCACCAATGACAAGTCAGCAAATCCCCGACCAGACTCGACCAATTTGCACCGTAGCACGCCCAATAACGATCCAGTGCCTGCTACAGCCACGACCCAAAGTCCACCTCTAGGTCACGTATCCCACGGGAATAAGCGCATGCGGACCGGTGAGACCATTTCGTCCAACGCAACAGCCCCTGTCCAGCCCGCAGAATTCACCCAATCAGGCATCCGGGTGCCTGCCAATCAGCCTCCGGTTCATAGTCAGTCTGTGGAGGACCGTCCAGTTTTCTCGGTACGAGCGGGACCAGAGTCCCATCTGATAACAGGTTATGTCGATCAGGGTATCTCTCGCAACATAGAGTTTTTGAAATCTAAAGCCACACCTCATGAGCGTGGCCGCGTGGAAACACTACAACAGGCTTGCAACACACATGACCTTTTCTTCCTTGCTCTTCACCAGATACTTTGCCTGTATCTTGTGTCCCCAGACTTTCTTCATGGTCTTCCAGGCTTTGGACCGGATCAACTTGCTGGATTGTTATCAATTAAAGACGACTGGTTTGCACAGGGTCGATATTTTACTCCTTTCTTGACCTTATGCTGCAAGTTTCCTAGAGCCTTCCTGGAGCTCATGCATAACAGCCGAGCATACATGCAATCAATAGAGTCAGTTTTTTACTGTCTCCCCCTCTTGGCAAAGGGGTGGTCAGCTTTTGTGAATACTATTATTCAGCGCCGATATCCTCCGCTCATTGATGAGCTAGTGTCCAAATTCGGAGTACCATCGACCCTTATTCAGCACTCGCTATTCATTAAATGCTGTAAGCTCATAAGCTCAAATCGTGTTACGGAATGGTCGCGCAGGGTTGAAACTATTTTTAGACAAGACAGAGCTTATTATGATGCACGGCTTGCCAATTCACTGGCTGGGAAGCCTGTACCAGCGCAGCAGGCTCATAAGGAAAACGAGGGTATTGTGCGCGAGTATCAAAAGGCTTCCTCGCTCCTCGAGAAGCCCGCCGGACCTGGTGCTTCAGAAACTACGAATCTTACGTCCATTTCCACTACTTCAACCCCTGCAAATGTCCATTTCCAGAGTGCGGCGCCCCCTACACAGGCTCAGTTCCCTCAAACATCCTATCAACACCGTCAAACTATCCCTTCCACCCAGCCTCAGGCTCCACAGCAAGCCGAGATGCGAATACCGCAAGGTCAGAACCTTCAATATTCTTACATTGTGCACCCGCGTAATGGAGTACGGTTCCAATATATTCCCAATGCTGCCTTCCAACAAAAGCGTACAATCGGACTCAGACAGCATTCAACCCGTGTTGCGCCCGGGCATACGATTCCAGCCCAACCTCAGATCCAGCATCCACCCAGTGGCTCCATAAGGGCTAATTCTGGAGTGGCGGTGGAACAGCACCTACAGCATGCACCCCAAATCGCGCCTCAACATGGACATTCGAACCAATGCCAGTGTACAATCAGCGGCATCAGGCAAGGCAGTTTCAGGGCAGGGGCTCAGCCAGCTCTGGCACTCCAGAGTTTGACAGTTCCCCAACCCGCAAATGTGACACAGTATTCCCACGGACTTAGTTCTGCCTCCCCGCAGTTTGTCCTATCAAGCTCTCCCATGCCGGTAGCTCCGAATATGCCTATTGTGGTTCAAGCTCCTCAGCGTGTCCCCGTCACCACGCATTCGCGCTCTTTCCCCAACCCGCCTCCTGTGAGGCCCACGCCGTTGCTTCCTCCCCAAGGAGCTATCACAGCAGAGTTATCAAATCCACATCCTTACTTAGTCGGGCTACACCAGATGCACTTGAGGGTGAATACCCGGGAGTTAGTCGACAATCAAAGTGCTGATCCTTCGAAACTTCTCTTGACCTACATCCACTCTTTTGCCCTTCCTCCTTTCCGCCTTGGAAGTCGAAGGATTAATTTCTCCGGCAACATAAAATTAACCTCAGAAGATTTTCAGAGACTTCCGGTCCGAAAATCGTCACCGGAACAAGGCTCTCCTGTGGAATTTCATACGTCGGGAACCCGTTCTTACCAGCTGAAATGTGTCAGGATTAAATCAGCCGCAGAGGGGATATCCGGTGGAGAGTGGGCGTCGATGGACTGCTGCTGGCCCAATGCGATATACATTCATGTTAATGACACGGAGCACTTTGTCTGTCGCAAGTTCCACAATGGCAAGGATTTGCCTGTTAACATCTCCTGCTCTCTGAGACCGGGTGATAACAAGATCGCTCTAACAATTTTGCGCAAACCGGAGGAATGCACCTCGATTTCCTACGCTGCTGCTATAGAGGTCCTTGAAACCAAGGAGCGTGGTTCGTTACGAAACGCTATTGAGGTTCTCCCGAAAGCCACCGCTCTCAACCGTATCATCAAAAAGCTTCAAGATGCGATTGCCAATGACGATGAAGTCGTTATTGTTGACGATTATATTGCAATTGATTTGGTTGACCCTTTTATGGCCCGTATTTTTGAAACTCCTGTTCGTGGCAAGCTCTGTTCGCACTGGGAATGCTTCGATCTTGACACTTTCCTCGCCACTCGTCCTACAGGTACTGGACACAGTATGGCGGAAAATTGGAAGTGTCCAATATGCCGCAAAGATGCACGGCCTCAGTCATTGCTAATAGATGAATTCCTTCTTGACATCCGTTCTCAGCTGGTTCAGAAAAATCAGCTTGATGAAGTAAAGGCCATTCTGGTCAAGCTGGATGGTACTTGGATTCCGAAAACCGAATCAGACCAGCAATCGCCGGTAACACACAAGAAGGAGACCAGCATTCCTGGGATCGCCGCCCCTGAATTTAGGAACCCCCAAACGTCAATGAAAAGGCCAGCACCGGAGATTATCGAAATCGATTAAATATCCGATTTGCTTGTATGATTGTTCTCAAACTTATGATACCCCAAGATCCTACAGCGCTGCGTATCTTGTTTTCCCAGTCTGAGACGCATTGGGCTCACCTTGCTCTAGAACCGCATCACCGTGAAAAGATTTTTTTTTTTTTTCTTATAGTCACGTTCCTTTCTGCCTTATTCCTTCTTAATTCATTTGGGTTGGATGCGTCATAAAACTGGGTATAAGCGTGTTTGTGGCAGGAAAAGCTAGACACCGGCGCCCTCTGCTATTTTGAAATCTGTTTTGCGCTTCTTTTGCTGACTTTTCTGCATGTGCTTTTGTAATGATGCTTTTCTTCAATACGCATGCGCTTTGTGCCTGTCTTCCTGAGTCAAGCCGGCACCTAGCGGTGCTTGAAATGATACTCGGTGCAATCTTGGCAGGCGACACCGCGATGCATGGACGTACATACGAAAGTCGGGGCATAAAACATTACTCTCAGATGAGAAATATTATTGCCAGACGACTATAAAATCCAGAAATAAGGAATCAGAAAATAATGGTACTGTAGTATAGATTAAAGAGTACATATCGAACGATATAAGGGCTGAAGATAAGGATCAAAAGGAAGGATCCAGCCTTCCTCCGCTCATATTTGATTAGGAGGGGATTTTATACATGTTAAATCCGAAATGGCGAACCGCATGATTAGATGAGAATTGTTTCTCCATCTTCGTTGCTCCATTTCTGCGCTCCCAAATCTCAACTTCTCACCTGTCTCGCGTGTTTCACCAGATTTTCGATAACGCCGTTATACGCCTCCTTCTCGCCGACCTGACCATCTCTCTTCTTCAACCAGTATTCCAGCACCCCACTCGCCCGGACCGTCATTTCTTCGAGGATCTTAATATGCTGCTGCATCTCCTCGTCCGTGAACCCGTCCAGCGCGGCATCTGTGGTTGCACATAATCGTCGCACGGCGGATAGATCCAATTCCGGTGCCGACGGCTGCCCACGGCGACGACGCGAGGGACGGTTGCGCGATCCAGAGCGCCTAGTGTCGGTAGATGTGGATGAGCGGGCTGTTCGATCACTGCCCTCATGTGATTTCTTGGGGTTGCTTCGCAGTCGCCTAGATGCATCGTGGGAGTTGCGGGTTGTTTCGTCGATTGTAATTGAGGGAAGGACTAACTTCTTTTGTTTGGATGCGGGAAGGATTTCGTCGAGGTCAACGGGTACACCAAGGGAGACAAGGAAGAGGCGACGGATGCGGGATTTCGTCCAATTTGGAGGTTGGAGTGGTGGTGGAGCGACTAGTTGTGACCAAAGTGATAAGGAGCGTTCTGTGCTGAATATTGCGGAAGAATCGGGGATAGGGTCAACTGGAGGTAGTGTGAAGAGGCTTGCCGATTTGGGGAAGAGATCATCAAGGTGATCCGACGTAACTTCCAGGAGGTTCGATAGCGAGTCAATAGAGTTAAGGTCTAAAAGAGCAGGCTGCATCTAAATATGTCAGCGGCAGTGCTTTAAGATTTATGACCACGGGAGGCATTCAGGGCAGATATGGACAGTCTAAATAAGGCCACTCACAGCCGACGTAGGAGAGGTCTCCATTGGCGTAAAGCCGCCCTCTGTATGCTCGATGTCGATAGCAGCATCTGAAGGTGCTTCCTGAAACTCATTATCGAAATCACCAAAGTCATCGTGTTCCGCGTCGTCATCGCCCTCTTTAAAATCGTCGAAGTCCTCCCCAAGTGGTGCATTTTCTTCATCATGAGCAAGACCATTCCCAAATCCACCGGCTATCGGGCTAGAATTCTGGTCGAGTTCTTGTGAAGAGGCTCTACCTCCGGGCAAAGCGGTTGAACCTGGTTTCGTCAATCGTCCTTCTCAAGTCTGGCAGGAGGATATGAAAAACAGGCTGGCTTACCATCGATATCTTGCACATCTTCCACGACATCGGCAAGTGCATCACTTGGCCTCCGTTTATGGGCAGAAAACGATGATGGCGAGGATATCCTTTCCGGTGGAGAATCCACACGGGACAGCTTTGTCTCAGGAAGAGGAGAGGTAGAAGGACTCTGTGACAGGGTTTGTGAAGCTTTAGCAGATAGTTCGGGGTCCCATTCACCCATTTTATAAACCAGATCGAGAACTGCATCCATTTTCCGAGCTTTATATGCCGGAGTCCCGGGTTCGTCGCTGTATCTTGTGTCGTCGTCTGGATCCACCTTCTCGACGACAGTGAGTGGTATGGGAGTGCCGCCAGGGCTAAGGGGCACGTTCACGCAAAGGCTTTTCACCTCTTGAGGCTGAGGAATGTCAAGTCGTGGAAGTCCAGTGTTGTTCCGGCCTTCGGATGCATCGGAGAAATGTTCATCATCACTTTCGACAGCTAAGGACGGAGGAAATGAGCAACAGTAGATATGCCAATCCGTGGGAGACTTACCGGATTCCTGGGCTCCGGGGTCCTCCAACTCCACACCCTTTGGAGGAGGTTCCAGCAGGACACTTGGAAGGCGGGAAGTGGTGGGTTCTGTCATTGGTGGTGGTGAGAGCCGTCCGGTGACGGAGAAGGGGGGGTATAGCTATGGACGTCGAAGGGGTCAGGAGACGGGGTAGACAGTCAGACAGAAAATTCTGCAAATCATCGGAGGGTGGAACGCGGGAAACATGCCATCCTAGAGGAGAGGAGAACAGAATAAGAATGAACAAGACCAAGAAGAAGAACCAAGGACAGGATGAGAGGAGCGAAACGGCTGTTTTCTGGCATTTCCAAGTTCGGCTCTGCCGTTGCGGAGAGCGATCTAGACCGCAGGTACGGGCAGTACAGGGCAGCGCAATCTTACCGCCCACAATCCGCACCGCTACCGGTAACGCTGCGTATCAAAATTACATCTCACTTCGTCGCTCTTCGAAGAACGCCTGAACAAACGAAGGACTGGACTGCAGCTCGACAGCGCCAGAGAGACCATCTTGACCTGCGCAGACCGCCGTGCCCGCAGCCGAGCCAGTCACTCGAGTCTATCACATCATCGCGCAACCGCCTTCTTTCTACACCCTGAGCCTCTCCTTCAGCTATGAATGTTTCGCAGTTTTAGCTAGCCAGCTGTTGTTTTCATTATTTATCCATCCCCAGTGCGCGAAGGTACGTGCTTAACTACACACTCTCTCTCGCTGGTGACACTTGCTCAACAGACTACTCAAACTGCTACACAGACGCGTGCCTCTCGAGAACAATGTCGAATCCATTCCAGTTCGGTAAACCCGCGACGACCAGCGGCGAGTCGACCGCTCCCAGCACTTCTCCCTTCGGCCAAAACGCTTCCGGTTCTTCTGGAGGAAGTGGGATTTTTGGCCACATTGGTTCAGCTTTGACGACTGGGCCAGCCCAATCACCCATGTTTGGAGGAGCTGCTACTACTCAACCTAGCTCTCTCTTTGGACAGGGCTCGTCGAGCTCCCCGGCCTTCTCATTAAAACCAGCGGATCAGAAACGGCCGTCAGCTCCTATTTTTGGAGCCACCCCCAACAAGCCTGCCGAGTCTGGGCAGCAACAAGGCGGAAACCTGTTTGGAGAGGTTGGCAAACAGAGCTCTGCCCCTTCAATGTTAGGTAGCGCCACTCCTGCTCCCGCGAGTGGAGGATTGTTTGGGGGTTTATCGACCACTCCGGCCGGTCCACCTCCCACTTCTACCGGACAGCCTGCCTTCGGCCAAGCTCCTCAAAGCGCCGCCGGAGCATCTACTCTCTTTGGCGCCAAATCTGCCACGCCTTCGACAACAACAGCGTCGACACAGCCTACTGCCGCTGCCGGCGGAGGATTATTCGGCGGAGCCGCTAAGAGTGATTCCACTCCAGCATTCGGCTCGGGAGGGCTTTTTGGGAACATTGGTGGTGATAAGCAAGCTGCGACGAATCAAGCAGTAAAAGGAGATGGGAAACCAAATTTATTTGCTGGCCCCGCGTCAACACCGACTACTACCACGCAGGCGACCGGATCTTTGTTCTCGACTCCCGCAACGTCAGCGGAGAAACCCGCACCACCAGCCTTTAGTTTCCCATCCGCTACTACGTCGTCAGGTACACCAACCACTACTACCACTCCCACGGCCCCCGCGACCGGAGGACTATTTGGCGCACTCGGCACCCCGAAAACCTCTGCCCCAACCGATGCGTCGAAGACAGCCATCACACAAGCACCGCCCCCTTCTCTATTTTCACTCACTAAGCCTTCGGAAACTACATCGGCTGCACCCACACTAGGAACTACCGCTACAACTCCTGCAACCACCTCCGGCGCTACGACTACAGCCACTACAACTGCAACTTCTGCCCCCACAACTGGTGCCCCAACCACTACTGCTACCACTACAGGCACCACTACAGCTCCAGCTACTACCACTGCAGGCGCTACCACTCTAGGCGCATCCACAGTCGGCCCTGCGCCCCCCGCACAGTCACGTCTAAAGAATAAGACCATGGATGAAATCATCACACGTTGGGCAACAGATCTGGCGAAATATCAAAAGCAATTTCAAGAGCAAGCCGAACAAGTTGCGGACTGGGACCGCATGTTGGTAGAAAACATCACTAGAGCACAAAAATTGTACGCAAGCACAGTCGATGCAGACCGGGCTACACAGGAAGTTGAACGGCAGTTGGCAGCTGTTGAAGGTCAGCAGGACGAGTTGAGCTCCTGGCTCGATAGATATGAGCAGGAGGTTGAGGCATTGCTATCCAAGCAAGTCGGTGCTGGAGATACACTGCAGGGACCAGATCAGGAGCGTGAGAGGACGTAAGTTGCTACCTAATTGCGAAATAGAGGTATGCTGCAGTGCTAATTTCTTATCCACAGCTACAAACTCGCCGAACGTCTCTCTGAGCGTCTCAATGACATGGGTCAAGACCTTACCAGTATGATCGAAGAGGTCAACTCTGCATCCGCAAATTTAAGCAAGACCACGAAGGCAGATGAACCTGTGCGTAGCATAGCTCTTACCACCCTTATCTCTTCCATGACATCAACGTATGATACTAACACATCATGTAGATCTCCCAAATCGTTCGCATCCTCAATTCACATCTCTCCCAACTTCAGCTCATCGACCAAGGAACCGCAGCTCTGCGTGCAAAAATAAACACTGCCCAGAAGGCCGGCAGCTCATTCAATGGGCTCCAGAGTCAATATGGTGGGTATCGAAGTGGAACGCCTGGGAGCATAAGTGGAAGTGCTGCCGAGGACTTTTACCGAGCGTATATGGGCCGGCGGTAATTTTTTTTTTTTTTCTTTTTTAACTTCTGGGTGAAATTTCAATTGGATTCTTTCTCTCACTCACATTCTTCACTTCTTTTCCCCCCCCCCCCCTCTCCTTGATATCCAAATTTTGTGCTCAAAGGAATATGGATGGATTGTTTGTAACAAGATTGTGGTTACTAGGTATGGAAATTCTTTTTAAACTGCTTTATGAATTTTTTTTTTTTTTAAAGATATAGGTTAAAAATGAGCCTGGACCATTTGCATATGGGTTTCTAGAGATATGTCAAATCAACAAAAAAGAACAAGTTACAAAAGGAAGTAAAAAGCATTGCATGTGATATCCAGATAAATATCTTTTGCTAGAATGCAGCGGCATCCCCATGGGTCCACGATCTACAGAGTATACCTTTGCCCAAAGGCCATCCATAAACCCGCTACTAAACAGGATGCTAGATTTATATCTGTTCTGGCTGTATTTAGACAAGATGCACATAGGCTATATACACATCGCCCTGGAAAATCCAAGCAATTAATTTTTCTTTGTCTCTTCTTAGCGTTACGCTTTATACCATAACAAACATTCATCAATGGCTAAGAGTGGAGATGCATGAAAAGTAGCCACCAAGGTTTTATACCAACTCGATTTCGAGGCTCATTGCTAAAAATGGAGCATGGTCTATCTTAGTGATGTTCACCGCCTTGCTGCTTGGTGAGCTCGTCACTGTATATTTGGGACAAAAGCAATCGGTTAGTGGATTTCGTAAGATAATGCAAACTTTAACTGGGGAGCAAGCTTCTAAGAAAGTAGGGAGGAGAAACGTACATGTGGGCATCAAGCTCGTCAAGGTGCTTGCGCTGCTGCTTCAACTTCTCCTTGAGGGCACGGAGCCTGTGAAGAGCCTGGTTAGTACTCTACTTCCTTTATAATGATGATAGTAGCCGGCTTCGCGGGATATGAGAACATCCCAGGGACATCTTTCTTTTCTTGAGAGCAAACGTACTTTTCAATCTCCTGTTGCCTGATGAACATGTTCTCCTGTGCGGACTCCTTCTTGGTCCAGGCGTCACTGTGGAATTGCAAATACTGTCAGCGTTTTATTTTTTTAATTTTTGTTCAGTGGCTTCTCTATAATTTCTGTACGAACCCAGATTGGACGCCGCCTGGGCGGACAGCACCGGTATCACCTTCGCCCATTCTGGCAGCAGCAATGGAGAAGGATCTGTAAGCAGGAAGTCTGCTAGCTTGAGCGGCTCTGGCGATGGAGAGGCGGAGCATGGCTTTGAATGTCAAGAGGGTGTAGGTGAGATGGATGTGATTATATGGCGGTGGCAACTGTGAATTCGGATTGCAACGGGTTATTGTTAGCTCGAAGGATCAGGTAGTGGTCTAGTTACAAATGTCTGGCCACGTAGAGGACAATTGACATGAGAGCAGAGGTCTCTTCCTTACCTCGAGCTTGGGTTGGGGGGATTGCAGGCAGTTATGGGTAGTTCGCAGTGGCTCTGGCCGGAGTGACGTTTCCCGCCTTGATGTGCAGCTCAGTTGGCCAGCTGGGTGGCTTTCGAATGGAGCTAGGCCCAGATAGGCTTAGCGGCTATTCGCCCCGTCTGCCGCCGACGTCATGTGACGGGCCATTGGGGACGACGACATCATCAAATCTCAGCAGCCGGTGACTGGTTGGGGCCCTTGGACCAGCTTGATATGTGTCCGAGATTGCTCTGCCAGGGGTTATGGTGTCAGTGTCAAGTCCGGAGAATATCGTAAATTCTCCCCCCTGGGCCATCAATATTTTCAACACAAGATGCCTGTTAAGGAGTTGAGATTTATATTGTAATTTCGTACAGAGTAACAACTATATTACAATGCAGTGGATACGGTGGGTGGTCATTATTGCCGCCGAACTATTTATGGCCAGGTGTCAATAGTGTGCACCCGACGGTCTCCTACTCCGTTCGAGGAGCTGAGGGATACATGTGGCAAAATCGTGAGCCACGCTGCAAAGGGCTTCTCTTTGATACTGGGAGGGTTTCAAAAAAAGAGCGTAGGGTCTACCGGGCATTTATAACCAAATAAGACGTTTTGACGCTCTTAAAAGCAAAGCAGGAGAAAAGACGGCCCCCAATTCCGGAGATAAAGCGGCAAACAAGCCAATGTTAAGCTCTTGATTGACTACAATAATCTCAGGGCGTCCCGGGACTCCTTTTTTTTTTTATTTCAGGTTCCACCGGGGCGGGCTTGGAGCATTCCACAGCGTTGGCACTTCAACCAAAAGGTGAATGCACTTGCGCATGGCCGGGCCAGCAAGCCCCGGGGTCGTGGTTCCCAAGGGGCCCCCAACTTGCCCGAGCTCCCTCCCATCGACCCTAACGAGCGTTCAAGGGGCGTCGCTCCGTAACCTGGTAGTGGGCGCTGGGCTGCATTACCTCATTGCGAGCCACCCTGCGGCGCGTGTGATTGGCCGGCCCGCGGGCTGCATATGTAAGCGGCCGGTGCTGACTGTACACGCAGACGGCGCTAGGCCCAAAGCGGACGGCCACCCAAAACATCTCCACCTCCCCTTTGGCGTATTACTCCCAGTCAACCTCGTCCAACAAAACCTCACTTGCTTCCACCATCTTCCATTGCTCTTCTTCTTCATCTCCATCATCAACCAACGCCCTCTCCGTCTCCTTTGCTGATTCCGCGATTCTTGATCCCCCTTCCCTTACCATAGCCCAGCTTGCCTTCGCCTCTGGTCGTTTGCTCTTTTTCTCGGTAAGCCACTTTCCTGTCGACATGTGCGCTGCCCACGAACGGGGTCACCCTTTCTCACAAGCCTCCTGCCTGCACCCTGTTCCTGACGCACAATGCCCGCCCATGAACGCCTCTGCTGCCTGAGTCGCCTTCATTCCCTCCTGGCTCTTCTGTTTGTCTGCCCCAAATTTGACCTCATCGTCACCCTGTGCGATGGCGACGAGGCTCCATCTTGCTCCTTGGTGCTTCGCCCTCGACCACCCGCTGCAACCCGCCCATATCAAACCACGACCACCACCTCAGCCTCTGTTGAACGCCTACACATTTATCCTTGTTGCGTGTTTCGTGTTCCTCGTGATTCTACCTATTTTTTATTTTATTTTTTAATGTCGCGTTTTTCTCCCTTTTTTTTTTTTTTTTCTTTTTTCTCCAGGAACTTCCCCTTTACTTCAATTACCCCTCCTTGAGTTGCTTCCTTTCAGCACCGGCCGCAGTCCACGCTTGAACACCCCCATCAAAACGCGTATAACCCGTTCATATACTGACTCCATCTGACTTAGTAATCTCGATTCATCATGGGTATTGAAGATGCGGTGTACCTCGCCAAGCTCGCCGAGCAGGCTGAGCGCTACGAAGGTCCGTACAGGCACCGCGTCCTCTGCGATCTGCTCTTCCAGAATCATTGACATGGTGCCACAGAAATGGTTCAAAATATGAAGGTCGTCGCTTCTGCGGATAAGGAACTGTCGGTTGAGGAACGCAATCTTCTATCTGTCGCCTACAAGAACGTCATTGGCGCCCGCCGTGCTTCCTGGAGAATTGTCACTTCCATTGAGCAGAAAGAGGAGTCAAAAGGAAACGAGGCACAAGTGACTCTCATTAAAGAATATCGCCAGAAGATTGAGTCCGAGTTGGCAGAGATTTGCGAAGATATCTTGGACGTTCTCGATAAGCATTTGATTCCATCTGCCCAAAGCGGCGAATCCAAGGTTTTCTATCACAAGATGTAAGGCGTTCCCCCCTTCCCTGTCGCCCACGATATGCGCCTGGGTATTTGAACCCGGACTAACTACGTCACTGCTTACAGGAAGGGTGACTATCACCGTTATCTTGCCGAATTTGCTTTGGGTGACCGCCGCAAGAAGTCTGCCGATAACTCTCTCGAGGCCTACAAGAATGCCACTGAGGTTGCCCAGACTGACTTGGCCCCAACCCACCCCATCCGTTTGGGTTTGGCCCTGAACTTCTCCGTCTTCTACTATGAAATCCTCAACTCTCCCGACCAGGCTTGCCATCTCGCCAAGCAGGCTTTTGATGACGCCATCGCTGGTACGTATTTATGTCTCATATTCTGGAGTCTTGATTAAAAACTAACCCCGGCTAACGCTTTCTTACAGAACTTGACACCTTGAGCGAGGAGAGCTACAAGGACTCCACTCTCATCATGCAGCTCCTCAGAGACAACTTGGTAAGCTGCCCACACTTGACCCAGACGTTCATGCGCATAAGAAAGCTAATTTTTGTGCTCTTCTTTTCTATCAAAAGACCCTCTGGACTTCCTCTGAAGCTGAGCCGGCCCCTGAGTCTGCTGCTGCACCCCCTGCTCCCGCCGAGCAGCCCAAGGAGGGCGCCCCTGCCGAAGAGCCCAAGGCTGCCGAGTAAAGTGTAAAGTTGGAGGGATTTTTCTAGATCGGACGGTATACAGGGAGCACTGGTTCCGTTTATCACTTTGTTTGCTTGAACTGTTTTACTCCCTTGCTTTTCCCGGTCTTTTGCTCGAGATGTTTATTCGCAGCTGATGGAGTCCGACGGGATATTTGGTGGTTGTCATTAAGACGCGTCTACAAAAAGAGACAAAAATTAGTTTTTAACAGTGGTAGAAACTCAAGTTCACGCTCATACTCGAAAACAAAAAAGAAGCTTGTTGAACATGTAATACTTTTACCCCATGTTGGCTGCTCCAGGATTTTCTTTTTGGTGTCTGGATGTAGTTATTTCGATGAACAATTGATATTGATGCTTACCTGCATCGCCAGTCAGCGTCTACCACCCAATGAACTCCTCATACCTGCGATAGTAGCTTTCGCCTCGAATTCCCATTCCTTGGGGCAGGCATCGCGGGGATAAACTCTCGCGAGGATGTAGTCCTGGCAAAGGTGATACCAACATCAACAGCCCCATTGACCGTCGTTAGCTTTTCGTCCGCATTTTCGTAAGATTAGTAGATACTAACAGACCCTCGAACGCCAGACCCCCTACCGATTAATTAAACGGACCAGAAGAAAGAACGCCCGTCGAACCCGAGAGCCTATCAATTACATAGCAAGACAATGTGAACTTAACTACTCCGAATCCGACGGTCTCATTTCAGCGCTATGCGCAGCCGCTTTGGTTCCTAGCCAGCGACACTTTTAAGGCATAATACAAGCTTTTAATGGCGACAGGGACCATGCCATGTGCGCACGAACGCGTGTTGAGGGCTATTTTTTTAACCAGCAAATCCTAAGCCCTGCATGGAATGGACCTGTGTCTTTGCGTATTTGGTCAGTGGGATAGACGTCGTTCTCCCGCTTTTCCCTGCCTCGTTGGACCCGCTGTGCATGGGATTTTCCCTTTCTTCATCTCATTCTCTCTTTCTCGCTCCTTTCACCAACCCCCCAACCCCTGTCCGTCAGCTGGAGCGATGTCTTGTGCAGCCTCGCCGCGGTTTTCTTCAGGCAAACAACCCCCCCCCCCCCCCCAAAACTATGTAACTACGTCATGATATGGTCCAATATAACTCAGCATCACCAGTTTTCCCCCTCGAAGAAAAAAAAAAAAAAAAAAGCCTCTCCACTTGCAGAAGGATTCAGAAGTGGCACATGACACTCCAGGGGGACGTTATTCGATCGGGTGTCTCAGGCGAGGAGAACAAACGAGAAGTGACGATAAGGAGCGAGAGAATTAAAAACGCAAAATCCCTACTCCGTACCAGCCATCTAACCGCCCGCCCATGACATCACTCCTAGCCGTACTCCGTCATCAGATCACGGGCAGCTGTTTGAACAAGCCCAGCGATACGCAGTCCAAAACACACCCCCAGTGGGCTTTTCCTTTTTTTTTTTTTTTTTTTTTTCCTTCAACTTATTCCCAGCGCCGAGAGAGGCAAGTTTCAGCCTCGCCAGGGGTTGCGTGGGATCAGGATCAGATCACACAGCCGCGTTTGGCGGATATGTCCCATTTGCCTGCATGTCATCGGCCGATTTCCAGGGCCGTTTTTGTTGTTGCCGCCGGCACAGGTGCGGCGGGTTTGGATGTCAAATCGGACAAAAAGACCTGCAGGCTGCAGAAACATCCCAGGCACACAGTCACTCCTTGGCTATGATAAGTATGGCAATTGGATGGCTTCAAAAACACCCCCCCGTTGGATGACATCAGAACCCAACACGATTGCAATTCAACTCGCTCCCGTGCTGGTTACGGAGCGCGTACTCAGCTGGGGGGGTTAGAGGAAGGGTTGGATCTGGGGTTTGTTTGCATCGTCGCCCGCCGCCTCAAAACTCCCTCCCCCAAGTTGAGTCTCCGCTTAGTCACGAGTTTGTTCTAGTTACGGCTCTTCTCCAAGACATTCTCGATCTCTCAAGCAAAGCTGGACGTAGTTCTTAACGCTGCTTTTCTTTTTTCTTTTCTTTTTTTTTTTTTTTGGGGTTTTCTCCCATCCCCGATATCAACATTGGCAGCACGAACTACACTACTCCGTACTCCCGTATGTCCATGCGTATTCCCTTATCCATCCCCTCCGTAGCGTAGTCCCATACCCAAACCCAATATCTCACAAATCCCGCCTCCCGCCCCCCGAAAAGCAAAAGCAAGCAAAAAAAAAAAAAAAAAAAAAAAAAAAAAAGAAAGAAAGAAAGAAAAAGGGAAGCAAACAGAAAAGAGTTCATCAAACCACGCCAACCCCCCCTCCGAGGAATTTCAAAACAGCCCACTTTTTCGCAAGATCAAACCGAAAAAATCCACGTACGTTAATCTCCTTCACCCCGCTCTTCTCATGATTCCCTCCCTCCTTTACTCCGTACAACGCTTGGACCAATTCGCCGTCCGTTCTTCCCAAGGAAGTATCTAGCGCAACAATAACTCCCGATCCATGGTTGAACGACCGTCGGGGTATGACGTAGCCGTTGGGATATCATCATCGCCGGGGAGAGGGGAGCGAAAATACTATATGGCGGCGCGGCTGCGATCAGGCTGAATGGAATGGGCCCGGTAACGTTTTTCCTCCTCTTCCTCTTTGCCGTTTTTGCCGCCGCCGCCACCCAGCTAGCAATCAAGACTGGCGGGGGGTGTTTGGAAGAGTTGCCAAACAAAAACAAAAAGCGAAGCGGAAAAAGAAAAAAAAAGTGACTCCCAGGAACCACCAAGGTCCGAAGTCTCCAAAGATGTCATCTATCAGCTGACGGGATTCTCTGGTTGTAGAAACACAGGTACGTTTACAACGGCGGGCTGAAAGTGAATGGACTAGGTAATTTCCTATTGTTTCTCTTCTCTCCTTTTTTTTTTCTTTTTTTATTTTTAATCAAATAATAATGCATTGCGCTCTTGCTTTCTAATAGATACCTTTGGCTAAAAATAGGCACTTTGTTGAGAATCGATATCAAAAGCTCGCAGCCAGAGCAAAAAGAAAACAGCCAGCCAGGAAGGTCAAAGCGGTAAAAGTAAGCCAAAAGAAAACCAGCTATAAGAACATATCTGAGTTATCAAGCAGATAAAAAAGCTGCAACAGATATAAGCAGGATAAATAGCAATTTTGTCAGTAGAACGTAGGTTAAAAAAAAAAGGGGTGGAACCCTAAATCATAATCTTCAAACAGCTGTCACCGGGTGAGAAGCGAAGAGATAAACGGGGGAGGGAGAAGGGGGGAAAAAAAGGGCCATCGAAACTCAGCAAGAAAAAAAAGGAAAAATGCCAAACAAGACAAAACAAAAGAAGGAAAAAAAAAAAAAGAGGAACAACTCCATCTGCTCATTCCAGAAAGTGACCCGAATCTCTGCTTCGAAACACGGCGAGTAACAAAACCGGGCTTTGCTACCCCATGAAAAAGGACCTCTAAGACTTGGTAGACCAAAAAAATAGAAAGCAAACCAAAAAAAACAACACCACAGCGCAGAGTAAACAAATGTCAAGTGGTACACAAAGAGACGCAATGCAGCCCACGTGTGGAAGCGCGAGAGGTTCTGCATGTCGTTGGTGGTCCATCCACAGAGGCCAGTGGAGCCGGGCGCGTACAGACGAAGCGGCTGAACATGACTCACAAAAGATGGGGTTTTGCTGGCCGGCTGGCTGGCTTCCAACATGCCAAATCAAACCAGAAGGGGAAACAGATGGAGACCCAACAGCCAAGCACAGAGTGCCACCATCCCAGTTCACACGCACACAGACACCCCGGTGTAATCCATTTGCCGAACGCAGGCCATACCTTATTTCACCTCCGGCTGGCAGTTTTTTAGGGTGAAGGATGATGAATCCCCTTCGGTCATATGATAAAAAAGGAGTTGTCCAATATGGAATTTTTTTTTTAGCACATGGGATATACCATTGGAATTACACGGCAAGACAACATTCGTACCCGAGTTTGCTTATGAAAACAAAGGAGGAAAAAAAAAGGACACCCGACTCCCGCATAGGAACGATGACAAACGTAGAAATGGATGCAAGGATCAGAAAGCGGAAACATGGCCATCTATCATTGTGGGCTGAAGATAAAGCTTTCCGCCGTGATTCGCCGAGAGATGGTGACGGGAGGCTGCGTCGTCACATGGAACACGAATTTCCTTGTCGTTGGGGAAGGGGATGTGGCAAGAAGACGGGCGGGGGGAAGAAAAATTAACCCAGACTGTCCTTGCGTGGTTTGCTACTCGAATGGGGACTGCAGTGGCGAGGAATGACACAAGGGTTCCGTGTCGGACAAATAGAGAGGGAAGATCGTTGCTGATGCCGAACCGGATTGGATATCTTTCGCTCAAATAGGGTGAATCCGGCTATAATGGTGTTTCCATTGCAAGGTCATCAGGCAACCGGGTCCAATGACGAAAACGCAGAGCCTCCACTGGAAGAAATACACTGACGGAAACGGATGGCGATCGAAACGTTCGGGTATCATCAAGGACTGGCCGATGGAGAAAAACAGAAGCTTTTATCCGCGAGCGCAACGGCTTCATGAAATTAGGAGATTAGGGTGGCGTATAAGCTGAGAGAGAATTGAAAAAGGAGCTCGCTAAATGCGATCGGAAGGTCATAACGCGTAATAACGTCATAAAAGAAAAGGCCCAGAAAAGGGAAGAAAGAAATGGAATAAAAAAAGGACAATAAAAAAAGTGGTCAACCCTGGTTTCAAAGTCCTCTTATCACCATGGCCGTTTCATTCCCCCGGAAGGTTTGGTGTGTGTGGTACGAAGGAAACAACACGACCTTGGAAAAGGTGCGACAGGTGGTCCACCTGCCAGTTGTTGCAGCGTGCGAAAAGCGTACTACTTGTGATGCTTTCTCCCCTTTGTGTGACCGGACGTGGAGGTCAACTCAGCCCTTGCCGACATTGTGCGCGTCAGCCCTCCAATGTAATCCTGTAGAAACCTGTTTTCGCTCTCGAGGCGATCATGATCAGATTTGACTTCATCGATACGTTCAGCCAAAGCCTGTAAGGAGGACTGTAATGTCTTTGCTTGTCTAGATTGCAGGGAGAGAAGTGAAAATAGGAGTTAGCCGACAGCTTGTCACGCCTTATGAGTGAGAGAGAGACCCAGGATGGGGCTTCGAAGTCGGGCACTCACTGTTTGAGAGTCTCTCTCGCCTCTCTGCTCAGTCTCTCAACATCGGCGGAGTTCCTGCGAGGACTCATGGCACGAGCATCATCTGGCGGAAATTCTTCCTCCTCAATTTCAATCTCGGGGTGGTCACGGGGCACGAGGATGGAGGCACTTGGTTTACGCGCCAGGCGAGGGCGATCGGCTCTCGTCTTCCGCTCGTTTTCGCCGTCGGAGCAGGACGACGAGGGAGAGAGGGAGGAGGAGGTGTGGACGGAATTATCATTGAGGTTATTTGTGGTGGTGGTCGCATCGCCAGTTGCTGTGTTGAGGGTGGGAGATGGCATTGTGGGAACGGGGCGAGAGGCACTTTGGTTCAAGACTTCCGTTCCAGCTGCCATACTCGGCGGAAAACTCGCTTGACGTAGGAACCCCTTGAGACGGACGTCTGAATCCCGACTGCTTCTTTTTATTTTTATTTTTTAGTTTTCTTTTTTTCTTCTCTTTGTTTTTTTTCTGATGAACAGGGAGCCGGAAGAGACAGAGGGGTGTCGATGAGGGTTAGAGGGGGCAGGACAGATCAGAGCGAGAGACAGTAGTGGATAGTTGAAAGAGGAAGAAATGAGACCTGTCAGGAAATGCTTTGTAAGAGAGGATGAGGTTGGAAATGGGTTATTGATTATCAGCGGGGAGGGGGGGAAGTCGGGGATGAGTGTGAGTGAGTGAGTGTGAGTGAGAGAAGCGAGAGGTGCAGTGTTGGTGTCAGTTGGCGAGAGTGCGAGGAGAGGAAGAAGAAGAAGAAGAACGACAGCAGAGGCCGAGCGAGAAGAGGCGCATTTCTCTGGGAGGGTAGGTGAGGGCCAGTAGCGTGATTTTTCGTCCAGGGCTCTTAGTGTTCAGGATTATGGGTCGAGGGATGGAGGAAGGAGAGGAGAGGTTGGCTAGGGGAGTGAGGGCGGCGAAGAAGAAAGACGATCACCATAAGAGAGGTTTAATATCGACGGCGCTGGGGCGGGAAAGCGTCTGGCAGTGGTGGCAGTGGCAGTGGCAGGCGGGTGTCCTTGTAGCGGCGGGTGCGTGGGCGTTAAGTGGAGGCCGCCGGTGGTGCTAATCAATAGCCTAACAGAGGGCCTGCTGGGTAAAGTTCCAACTCGCCCACCCGCCGCCACCTGTGCTTCCGACACATCTGCAAGCCAGCTGTGAGACAGGAGCCAGCCTACGTTGAGTTATACTCCCCTCTCTCTTATTCTTTTTTTATTTTTATTTTTATTTTTACTTTTTTTTTGGGACAGATATTTACAATGCGAACAACTCTGCGACAATGTCGTCTTACAGCGCAAATTATGCGCTGCGTGTGTCCATCCACACGGTGGTGCTCTGCGTGCGCCAACCCACTTCCCGTTCCTCACCGCCGCCGAATCATCAAATCAAAAATCCCCGCGACTCAAGTCCACCTTTTCTTTCTTACACTTCTCCCCCCCCCCCCCCCTTCTTTTACAAGGCTGATGAGCTTTCGTGTTCACTACAGAGTGCCTGCAGATTGGAGAGCAGCTTGAACTGTATCCGACTTTCCTTTTTTTTTTTTTTTTTGGGGGATGTTTTTGGTTCTTGTGTGACTTTTCTTTACTCTCTCTCATCAAAGTAACTTCCTGGTTGTCCATGTCGTGCGTCAATGTCAGACAGCTGACCAGTGAACGCTTGCGCCGCCGTTCTCCGGGTTTTGATCTGCTGCCGGTTATGGTTTAGCTAAGAGGGGTTGCAGAACCGCCGAAACAAGTATGGAATAATATAGGGAGGGCATGATAAGAGAGCTGCTATAATAGCACAAGTTGATGGGTGGGAGACAAACAGAAAGAAAGACCTTGGGTGGGACGGCGACCTCCAGCGATCCCGACATACACACACTACCACATAGTTAACTGTATGTAGGTCCACGAATGTAGCGTTGCAGAATCCGCGTTCCCAACGGCCTCTCGCAGCCGGACGGGAGGGTGATGTTATCTGGGACTACCCACAGCAACGAGGCGCGGAATCAGCCATTATTGGACTCTATTCTCCACGTTGGGCTGCGTGTACGCCTCCATGCACAGCTCACGAAGATAGACCCGCCACAAACATGGGACATATTACTGCCACCGATTCCCTCAAAAAGGACCAAAAGGCCAAATAAACAATAAGAAAAAAATATATAAAAAAATAAAAAATAAAAGAGAGACAACTGCAAAAAGAAGGTGAGAGACAGGATGGCTTGTGGTTCCAAACTATCGAAAACTGTATTTTGACTTGCTTCCCAGCGAAACCCGGTACCGGATCCTGGACGGAACTTAAGCATGTACAGAGTTTGTACTCCGTACAGGGCAATACATACATGTGTCAACATATGTACACTTCTCATCTCCTCAGCTCCCGGATCAATTAGCCGGAATAACAAAGTCTGAGTACGAAGCACTGAGGACATAAAAAAGAATAACAAAAGAAAATAAATTAACAAAACCAAAAAAAGAAAAAAGAAAAAAGAAAAGGGTGAGCTCAGAAGAAGGGGGGGAAAAAAAAAAAAAAGAAAAGTGTCGTCGTCGTCACGTCAACTCTATGGGCGTGGCAGGGCGTGCGTCCATCCATACGCTGGACAACAGCATGCCGAAAAGAAAAAGAAAAGAAAAAGAAAAAAAAAAGACGCTCAGCGGGTACATCCAGCCGAACATCGCACCTTTTAGCCTCATCCGAACTTTCTTTCGATTTTATTTTCGCGTGGAATCGGGTAGTATCGCCGCCTCTCAGTGGCTCCAAAGCGCGTCTTTTTTTTTTTTAAGTTTAATCTTTTCCTGTTAAAAAACAAAAAAATCCGTTCTTGACGATGGGGCAGATTCGAGCAGGGAGGGGACCCCCTGGAAACGCCCGTGTGGATGGCATCATTGGGCCTGCACAGAGTGGGGAGAGCAAGGGAAGCCCCAAGGGCAGCCACCACGAGGCCAATCGACGGCGAAAGTTTGCTCGCTGTCCTCTCACTTAAACACGCACGCTTTCTTTGACATCTTGAAGCAAGTCTCTTGAACGGCGTTCCGGCCCAATATGCCTTTGGTAAGGCACAAAAAAAAAAAAAAAAAGAAAAAGAAAAAGAATGTCACACATCGATCTGATAGCTGACAGCTGTCAATCCATGTGATGACTGGTTTGGTGTCATTTTCCCCAGAGACAAAGAGACAGATTTTGCATGGATTCCCCTTCTTTTTTTTTTTTTTTCTGCGTGTCGTTAATCGGATATCGCCAGCCATGACCTTGGGTCTGCCCACCGTAAACCTTGTTATCTCTATCTCTCTCCTTTTTTTTGTCCCGGACTATTTGACATTGTGGTCCGGCAAGACAATGGTGTCGCGGGGCCTCATGGCCCATTGGAATACCTTCAAGCATGAACATTGATTAATAGTGTGAGGCCGGTAAAGCCCGGATACTTTACCTCGTTGATTATCGAGCCCTGAGCGTTTCTACAGACAAGATGTTGAGCCGATGCTTTTCCGAGAAGGAAAAAAAAAAGGATAATAATTTGGATCAGTCGATTTTCGTCCCATTCCGAAAGGGGGACCGCGCATCATCCATCCTGTCAACTCCCGGTCGTCTTCCAACACACGCACACAAGGCTCTGAGCAGAGTTGGGGCCTGAGCCCCGCTTAGATCACCGGAGCCCTCTTTCGCCCAGGATTATCTGAGGTGAGTTACGTATCCGTACTTCGTACCAGATATTGTGTGCAGAGAACGGAGTATAGGTGGATGTACTGTACACTCCTCGAGACTGGCCACTGTCAAATAACTTTACAACAAAATATCATCGAAAATGCCACAACTGTATGTTACATATACATTCTCTGTACGGAGTTCATACCGTCATCTTCTCCAGGATTTACAGGGATGCCACCAGAATCCAGCACCAAAACCAGGTCTAAAGGACCCTTATCTCGTTTACCAAATTTAATAAAACACGAAAATCTGTCAGCTCGACTAGCGAGGTCGTTTTCCCTTCCATTTTTCCTCCTCCAGATCTGGAAGTCGGGGGGGTTTCTTTGTTAAGACAGAATCCTTGTGCAGATCCACTGTCGAAGACGCAAGCTGTTTCACCCAGATGTCCATACCACGGGACTTTCCGTATGTGATTTGCAGGAATGAGGTGCGCCGTACTTTGTACTCTGTATACATTTTATTCACGTTTCAAATCTGTATGATTTTATATCTCTCGCAGACCGAGGACACTCGCCGTGTGTACGACGGTGATGGACCTCGGGAATTTGAGCGATGATCCAGAAACCCAAGGACATCATGAGATGTTATGTATAGTGGGGATGGGTATCGATCCGAACCTACCAGATTATATTGGACTTAAATCTTCTTTGTGGTCACGCACCCTGAATGTTTCCCCTGACCATAACCGGCCGAATCACAGCTAAGTCTACCAGTATACAAATATGCAGTGTTGCCCATGACTTCTGCTGGCCACGAGCGGAGCTTGGCCAGGTCCACGGGCCGTGCAGCTGGGACGGCTTCGCGGTGCTTCGGGGGGGTTGTCCCTGGGCGGGGGTGGACTCGGCTCGGGGAACTTGGCTTTGGTCAACTCAACGACGATATTATTTTGAAATTTTGGTGATTTGGATTGGTTATACGAGATTTGTAGTGAGGCAAACCTGGCAATCGAAGCTTAACTGATCCTTTGGCGTGTGAAGATCATAGAGGAAAAGCTTTTGCCGGTAACTTTCCGGGCACATGCCGCACAAAAATGAGGTGTTCAAAAGGGTAAGTAAGTTACATTCGTACTTTGTCATTGTACGGACGGCAAAACACGTAGAAACGGGAAGAGAAAAATGGTTGTTCCCATGTCGAGAGCATGCAAAAAAAAAGGCTGCTGAAGCTACGGCGGTGGGGGAAAACTTCTTCCTGAGACGGGACAGAAAGTGATAGCCCGCGCAAGACTTTCTTTTTAAGTTGCTATGTATTCGACTTCCAGGATTCTTCGAGAAACACGGTAACCGTGTGGAGGGGGGGCGGGGGGGTGTTCCGCGAAAAGAAAACGTCCGATTCACGATGATAGGCGGGATCGACGATGCGGACTCTGAAATGCGGCGGAGCGTGTCGCCTCAAGGGAAGAAAGAGGGAAAAGGAGCCAATTGATCCGGACGGATTCCACGGCGACGCTTGATGTAACAAGTTGCCGATCAATTCTTGTCAATCACTGATCGTGTGGAGGGCTCGAGCGACGAGCAGTGACTTTGCCAAGGATGTAGTGCCAACATCGGTCAAGCTGGACACGAAACCAGCTTTGCCAGACGAGATGTAAAGTATCTCTTCCGTACAGAAGTAAATCAAAGCCAAGGCATCATCGCGTTCTTGGTGATGCGACTCCAGTCAACGCACCTGTATTGCGACCTGGCTCTTGACAAAATTCTCCATTGTCCTCGACGCTTAAGCGCGTTGGAAAAAAAAAAAAAAAAAAAAAAAGGATATTAGTGCTATATATAACTTTGTTTCTGGAAAGAAAAATTCTCAGGGGGCTGCCGGCAATCATGGAATCATCGGTGGAGGCCGTGATTGGGATACAGACAGAACTGAACCGGCAACGGCCGCCTTTCTTCCCCCTCCAACAGACCGTTTTTGGCAAGGAGTCTTGCAGGAAAACTATTCTGTGATTGGAAGACAGCGTCTTCTTGTGTGAATTCTAAGCTCCCCAAGTTAAGTTGAAGTCTTGGAAGTAACTTGGCTCTTGTGCGAGTTGATATTAGTTTTGAACCCACCGCCGTGTGCGCATTCCAGCCAAAAGTGCGTGGAGAAAGGTTGCCGGCCGCCGCGACTCGTGCTCTAAGCCAGAAGGAGCAGCTCCTGGCACTCGGCAACACTTCCTCCCGGCCAAGGACTGGTGCCAAGCCCCGCTAGCCCCCGTATTGGCTCCGCTCCCACGCAACACGTGGACAATTAGGCCTGTCGACTGCTTCTCCAGGTGATCTTCCGTCTCTTTCATTGTGGAAGAGGGCTTCAGGATTGTCACCATTTTCCAGTGGGCTGACAGCGGAGGCATTGACTCGTTTGTCACTCTGCTGCTGAAAGAAGAGGACAAGCACAGATCGATAGTCAATCCTGAGATGCACACTTGCTTCTCTGCTTCTGACGCCCTTGTTATATGTGGGATCAAACGGGCGCAATGCAGTGCACGGAATCACCCGCTGGCGACGGCATTCTCCTTCTGTGGCTTGTCACTTGCTTTTGGACGGGGTAACTCCGACTTAACCTCTTGATATCTTTAACTTGCATGGGCGGACAAAACTAGTCCACCCAATTGCTGGCCTTGGAACTCCCTTCCCGGCCCCGTTCTTAATCCACCAATGGGTTGCTGTGGAAGCCGAGCGATTGTTCGTGCAAGGCCAAACGGAAATCACACCCTCCAACACTGCTCATTTGCCTGCATGTATGTATGTCCCAGACTTCGACCAGACATATGTACGTAAGTACGTAAGTCCGGACGTTCATACAAGATATCCGGTCACAATGTGTTCCACGTTGATGGAATGCTCATTGACTGGCCGCGAATGCCGAACCTCCAGCCTTCGTCCTCCGTTGACGAAGTACATTTTATCAAACAACCGTTGTCGCACTCCGCTGGTTCTTCATCTTCATTGATTCTCCTTTTCCCTTCAGGAGATGAGTGCCATATTGCTGGGCGGTGAGGCTGGTACCAAGGTCGCCTGAGACTTCCTGGGACGAGTGCTGAACCAGTCCCCGGGCATTCGGCTCTTCATAGAGTATTCCAGAATTCATTTCCTAGATCACACGTAGGTCACGCATGTCTGCTTCGCACGCGGTTTCCCCGTACAGCGCCCAGGCGTTCACGGTTTGTTTGAAAGCTGCTGGCAGCTATCCACAGTGCAAGTCCGTTTTTCGAAAGAAGGCCGGCAGGTACTAATCATCAAGAAATGGAGAAATCCATCCAACTGTCATTGACGATTTCGTGGGGAGGGACACGTCGGCTTGCACCTTGTCCTCGAAAAATATAGGAGCGGTGAGCAGTGCGACCTGAATGGTTTATCATCGGTACAGGGCTCAAGTCTGCAGACATTATGGGTCACCTGGCACTTCTTCGCGTCTAGAGACACTCGTTCGACGACGACAATAACTCAAAGTATGGACTTCGTATGTACACCCAATATCGTCAAGCAATCGCCGTGCATTGTTCTGCTCATTCAGAGCCCGTGATACAAGTCTCTTTTGTCGATCAGCCCCGAAACGAACGTACGCCAACTGTGGGGCCCACTGCATGATGCTGCTTTTTCAGCTGCATGCATCATCTCTCCGTCATTTTTTTTTTTTTTTTTTCAAGCTTAAAACCGACGTTTTACAACCATTGCATTGGCCCCTTTGACGCCCAAGACATCGTGCCCCAGCTGATTGAAGAGGGACTGGAACTGATGGTCTTTTTCTCAAGTCGAGATAACCTGGTCTGGTTACGATCTGGCTTTGGAAAATTATTATCGACCGATCAATGATGACTGGGGAACGCAACTCGTCAGACCAAGCTGCAATAGAGATATGCATGGTTTGGAATAACCGAGTCATGAACAAAACATCTCCCCTGGCTAGGCCTGTCGTCGAGTCTCCTCCGTATGGGCCCTATTTTCGCCAATTATTCATAGCGGCTGTGAGACTGGCCTAACACGATTGCTTTCGACAGGGAATGATAGCCGGCGGCTTGCTTAACGGTCTGCAGTGAGTGACGTTGTCCCACACTGGGGAACAGTGGGTACGACCCCCGCGAGAATGACGCTCGGGTAACAGATAATTATTTTGAGACTCTACAGAATGGAAATCGGGCCTCTTGATAGGAAAGACGCCAAATGAACCTGCTTTAAAAAGGTGTCATTTTCAAAATTTGCGTTAACTTTGATGTCTAGAATTTTGGAACATTCCACACATACCTTTTAATCAAACGCTGACAGAGGCTCTATGAGGTAGCCTTGGATGTGAGTGATCGTTGTTCGGGAATCCAGTGATATCATTCTCAAAGATCTCGAGACTTGGAACAGCTCATACATGAGGAGCGTACCATCGGATGTTTCGATCATACTGGATAGTAATAAAAATACACTATAGACCATAGATCATACTGCTGCTCTATGGGATATGCGGCCGGCATTAATTCACAGATGATTATAACTTCAAGTTGACATCACGATCAGGCCAGATGGCACCGACGATTGTGGTATGTTGCGCTCCCAAAACCAGCTGCGTCCCCGTTCTTCAGACGAGGAAAACTCCAGCGAGGTCCTCAGATACAGTGCACCGCAGAACCAAGTCGGAGGTGGTGACGTGCAGAAGAAGGAGAATCCCCCTTTTGGGCGACGTCTTGCCGGGGCTAAGAAAATTTGCCGAATGCCGACCAATGGACACCACGTCTACCTTCAGACCACGAAGGGCAAAAGCTCATCTCATCGCTTGCAAAGATATCATGCTGGAGGAAGTTCAGGACACTCGGACGCTGCTAACTCAAGAGTACCTATCGGAGCGCATCTCCTGATAACGGTCCTGGCCTGCCTGCCTCGAATCTACGTATGTATTTAGGACTTGTCTTGCCTCATCAAGGCTCATCTCCTTGATGTGAATAGTAATAGAGAACAGGGTAAGTTCTATTCATGGATTCGTAATTCATTAACGGCTATATACGAGAACGAATGGACATGCACGCAGCACTTTCAAGAATGCGCTAGTCCAAGCACGAAGCAGCCGGCATCCACCAGGGGTAAGCATACGCATACGCACTTTTTAAAGGCTATATACAGGAATAGCACCATGACCATGGGCGGCAGTGTGTTTAGGATAGCGTGCGGCTTGCAGGGTGCATATCAATAATGTAATAGGAAAAGGAAACCAACTCTATTTCCAAATACCCCGGTTATAAAAGTATAGAAGGATTAAATCTAGAGAGAATCACCTCTATCAGACTCCTTGATCGTGAGCAACAAGATATGAACACTCTCCTTAAGCGTTATGTCCTTGAAAGGATAGAGAAGGTGTGGTTTCCCATTGGTACAAGGCTCGGAACACCGCCATTGCGCCAGCTTGTGTTTCGACTGTCCGACCGCGACCACGGTCGTTTACATCGCGGACGTCCGCTTGATGTGCCTTGGTATCCATCGATGACATAGGCTCGTTGACTTCGTTTCTCTTCAGTAAGTCTCGGATCCTGTCACTACCAAGGACATCAGGGCCCGGACGTCGCGGGCTCAGAAAATCAGAATCGGATTCTGTGCTGTTTAGGTCGAGGTAATCGACCGCACCGAGAGGCAGCACAGACGTCTCTATAGGGTTGGGCTCCTGATCAGGATACTTCCTCCCCCACCACATTCCAAACTTGCCCTCTTCGTTTCGAGTCATGTATGCGGCATCGGCGTTGTGCTTGAGCCATTTCCCATAAGAAGCACACCGTTTTTGATGTAATTTGAAGGTTTCTTCCCAGCCTTCACCGTCGTGAGCGTCGTCAACGTTGTGGCTGACAACTTTTTCAAGGAAAAGTTTCTCCTGGGGCCTTAATGGGCGACAAAACTCCGCAAAATGCAGGAAGAAGATGCCCTTGAACGTTTGGCTATCCTGGCTACAGGTGCCTAAACTGTCGCATGCATCCTCGAGGACCCCTCCTCTCCCTAATCCTTGCCATTGACGGCCATGAGTGTCGGGCCAGCCTGTTGACTTCATGACTTTGGCGATGAGATCATGCCCATCATCCAAGTAGGCCACGGATCCAGTGGCGAGCCAGAGGCCCCTCAATCCGCTGAGAATGATGCCTTGGTTGTAGGTATAGAGCATCGTGTTCAAAACATCGCATCTGCCAGTGCCGGGGCTATGCTCGCTCCAACCACTGATGTGGAAACCATCTGCATACAACCCATTCTGACCGATCATGTTCGAATTTTTCAGCCAGGTGTACGCTGTGGTGGCGGCTTTGAGGTGGGCCGGGTTGCGTGGAATGGACACCCAATCATCGTCAAAAGTTGTCTTGGTTGAAACAGGTTCACGGATAGTATCGCCAGGGAAGTAAAGATACATCCCAATGCTTGCCGAAACGAAAAGTTCATTCGTGACTGCGTTTTTATACGGAACCAGCCACGGGCTCCAGATCATTCCACCGCCGCAGAGGGTGGTGTCCCACCCTTTAGAGGCAAGGTCGTAGAACACGCGAGATCTATGTGCTGCCGGGATTTTGAACTGGTTCCCATGCCAGGATCCAAGCAGAGGATCTTTGTGATTAGAGGGTGATGGGTAATGCAAATCTGAATGCAAGTTTTGGAACTTGATATTTTCCAGCCATTCGAGCACGACCCAGAGCATGTCGTCATTAGCTTGCAATCGTAGGCCGAAGAAGTTTTCTCCATACCAGAACGCAGTAGCTTGGTGAAAATAATAATTGATAAGATTCTCGTATTCCAATACTTTAAGGGATCCCGGACCAGAATCATCAACCCCGCCAGCCTCTGTGGATCCAGGAGTACAGCTCAGCAAGTAGTTAATGGAAGAAGAGATTGCAGAGAGAGTCGCAGAAATCTGCGTTCCCATGACGGCGGCGGTCCAGTCATTAGCCGATGGCCATTTTGCTTGCCATATCACAAAGTACTCCGTCTGCATCACACTCATGGCATTCAGCACCCAGCTCAAGGTGCCCGTGGTCTCGCCGGGATCCTCAGGAAGGGGTTTCTGGGATCCGTCATCGGAAAATAGACCATCTATCGGACCCGCTAATTGCTGCCTAGCCAAAGGACGTTGCTGTCCCTCTAGAAATAAATGATCATCCTGACCTCCAACGGCGTGGTGTAGCGGCTTTGCCAGCGTGATGCCATCGCAAAGGAAAAAAGTGACCGAGAAGAATGCACAGAGAAAGAGTGGAAAGGAGCCTCTCCATAGACGCGGATTGGAGAGGAGACCCATCCTGCTTTAGGAAACGAGGGAATACTGTAGGTAGGGGATGAATATTCTCTGATAATTGCCACGAGAAGACCGAGTCACAGTGGCTTGACAGGGGCCGAAGCAGCCTGGACAACCGGATGGCCAGCCAGCAGCGAAACTCATCGAAAAGGATCAGGAGGGGCCGGCCGTGCGAACAGCATTGTTAAGGAGCAGGGACGGATATCCGTGGCCGTGGGAGTGTTTCTCTTTCGCCCCATCATGCCATCTCTGACGAAAAGCACGATCCCCTCCCTCCCTCACTCCCCCCGGCCGCTTTCTGCGTCTCAACCTGGCGTTGCGGGGAAAGACCCCGGCCTCGGTGGCTTGGAAGCTGGAACCCTGCCACTCATTCGCTGCGGGCGTGGCGGTGGGTTTCAGCAGATTAGTCATCCCACTCGCTGCTTTCATCGCGTTCCAAAACCCGAAACGACGGCGCAAGAAGCTCACCCAAAAAAAAAAAAAAAAAAAAAAAAAAGGCCTGCTGGAGGGTAAGGGAGTAGCAGGTAAGCATGCGTTATGGTGGTCTAGATGGCCCCAAATTTATGGGAAGCCGCACCTGGGTTCTGTTTGGTTCAACGCAGCTGGGGCGTATACTTCCAACCCCTTACCATTTGTGCCTAACCATTCCCTTTTACACACTACGGCAACGAGGGATGAACGCTGCCGATTGCTAGAGGATTGGACAGGAGGGCCTTTCCGTTGCATACCCTCTTGGATGGATTTGCTACTGGTTGCAAGGTGAAGCGGTCATTGCTATCCTAAGTGGCGGACAGGCATTGTTGGGATGGTGTATACACAGATATGTGCTTGTTGAACCGAAAAAAGTGATGTGCCTATTCCAAACTAAGCATCATTAAAGATTTCATTTAAATTTGGAAATCATAAATTGTTTCTACAACTGAACTATTAGCTTTGAAACTGGTAGTATTCCGTTGGCCAATTATTAACATACCTAATCATTTTATTCATCAAGCGCCGACCTGTCTTCCTCACCACAACGCGCGAAAACACAGCACGGTGCAGTGATTAAGGAAGACAGAGCCGGCCCAAGAACAGGTGCGCCAACGCTATGCTCAGAATCGTGCCAACCACGCTTGGTGAGAAGAATCTCGGACCACATCACAGACGTAGCTTTCTTTACGCGCGTTCCCATGCGGCATGTCCAGACAAGTAGAAAGATCCCGTATCTCCTGCAATGTAAACGTCATTTTGCGTCCTCTGGCAATCATTTTACTTTATTCCTCGGTTCTCTTTCAAAAGGCCCTGTTGCTTATATAGCGAGCGTGCTTAGTTCCACCGTCACTCATTAAGCCTTGTCTGCCTCGGGGCTGCGACTTCGCTCTCGGCTTCGACTTCTTCCCCGGGTGCCCCGGCCGCGATTTCCGTTGCCACCGGCCCATTTGCCCTTATTAGACGCCGGCGCTCGCACAAAAGCAAAATCAACTTCGATGGTCTGGTCGAGCAGCTTTGTGCCGTTGAGAGCTTTGATAGCGGCCTCCGCTTCGGGGAGAGTCGTGTATTCGATCAGCGCGTAGCCCTGTGGTAGTCAGATGGTCAGATCGACGCCAGGAACCAGTTTTAATTTTTGCTTGAATCTTCATAGGGACGCATTGGGTAAATCTTCCTTCCCCCACCTTCACATAACCCGTCCTACGATCCAGATTCAAGTTGAAATTCTTGATCTCTCCATAGTCGGCGAATAAGTCGGTAACGTCTTCCTCTGTAGCTTCCTCGTGAATATTGGTCGCTAGAACGATCCATCCCTCTATGCTTCTAACGGCGACTGCACCGGCGCGGGTGCGTGTCTCCTTGCCCGTGAAGGACGGTCCGCGGTCGTCCGAGGCGGGCTGGTCGATATCCATCTCAGAAGCCATCTTTATGGATAGTAGGCAGCAAACTTCGATGCAAAGAGTATCTCTAGGAACGTGGTAGGTCTCAAGAAGTCAAGTCACGCTGCGGCAGATGAAGCCTTCTTAGCAAGAGATCCGGTGCTGGAAACATCATCACAGCGAGCAAGGTCATGATGAGTCAGCATTCTGGTTCTGAAGCCCCCCTGAGGAGCACTGGCTCATTATCCTGGCATCCGCAGCTCTTCCTTGGTATATCTCCTCCAATTCCGGAGAATTGTAAACTAAGTGCCTTTTGTTTCAAGAACGCAAGTGATGGATACACGACGGTAGAATGAGGCCAGCCTGCTGCTCCGCTAAATCTGGATCACTGCTATACTGATGTATTCCACACAGAGCACAATAGTTCACATTCATCTGGATTTTATTCTTGAGATGATGCCTACATTGGGATACCCCTCTTCTCGATTTTAAGAATTAATTCACATACTGCTTCGGACATGGTTCCTCTTAACAATTCGCATCCGCTCCAGGCACATATACACAACTCGGAAGCTATGAGCCGGAGTGATAGCACTACGCGAAAGCTCCCACTGTCGAGGCGCTTGAATGGCCACAGGACGAGTGCCTACGGGTGCCCTCCAATGCTACCCGTATATGGCGGGCTCGGAAGGCTGCGACGGGACGGTGAAGCCTTTCCCCGTCTGCCCAATTGCCGCTTCCTCATTTCAATGCTGTTTGATATCTAACTCTGGCAGCTGCGCCATCTGAGGTCGTTGTGCACCCTGAAGTTTGCAAGATTCTACCCGTCTCTGCTTACGGCTTCTGACTCTTCCTAATGTCTCGTGTATATTTGCCACTCGTTTAATATTCGTCTTTCAGCAGCCTTTATGAATTTTTCTTATTATTATACAAACCCAACACTTTGCTAATGTATTTCTTACCAATCCTAAGATCAGTGATACTCCTGATCACACTTACCTGCCTCCTGGGATCTCACTGTTCCTTTGCAGCCAACACCGGAGACTGGAAACCCAGGTCAATATATCAGGTTTTTACTGACAGGTTTGCTAGGACAGACGGGTCCTCAGCAGCGCTATGCGACCCAAAGGAAGGCGTAACGTGTGGTGGGACATGGGGAGGAATAATCAACCACTTGGACTATATCCAGGGCATGGGATTTGATGCGATCATGATTTCGCCTGTTACTCAGAATATAGATGGTAGTGTTGAGTATGGAGATGCCTATCACGGCTACTGGCCCAAGAACATCTATGAACTGAACGATAATTTTGGAACCCGCCAGGATCTTCTCGATCTGAGCAAGGCCCTTCATGATCGAGGAATGTTCTTGATGGTTGATGTCGTCATCAATAATATGGCATACATTACGAACGGTGGCAACCCAGACAAGGCCATCGATTATTCAATCTTCGTCCCTTTCAATAGCGAAGAGTATTTCCATCCCTACTGCGAAATTACTGACTACGACAATTACGACATTGCGCAAAAGTGCTGGACTGGGGACAAAATTGTGCCATTACCCGACCTGAAAACCGAGGACGACACCGTCACCCAGATAATGAAGACATGGGTCGAGGCCCTCATTACTAACTACTCGATTGATGGTCTTCGGATAGATGCTGCGAAGCATGTGGATACGAGGTACCTGAATGAAGTCGTGAGCGCATCAGGTGTCTTTGCGACGGGGGAGGTTTATGAGAGAGATTTGGAGACCGCTTGTGGGTATCAGAGACACATCCAAAGTGTCCCAAACTACCCTATCTACTACGCCATGATCCAAGCGTTTGGCAACGGAAATATGACGGCGCTTGTAAGACAGGTAGAAGACGCAATGCTGACATGCAACGATACCTTCGCTTTGGGTGCTTTCGCGGAAAACCACGACCTGCTGCGGTTTCCATCCTTCAACAAGGACCTTTCGGTAAGTGCCGCTTATCAAGAATGAGGATCGTGCACCAACAGCTGAATGTATTACAGCTGGCTAAAAATATCATCGCATTTACTATCCTTTCAGATGGAATTCCAATGTTCTACCAGGGCCAAGAACAGCATCTCTCAGGCGATGGGACTCCTGCAAATCGTGAGGCTCTTTGGCTTTCAAACTATGACACGGATGCCCCTTTATATAAATTTACGGCCTTGGTCAACAAGATACGTAAACAGGCCATCCGCGTGGACCCCGATTACCTTGGGCACCAAGTCTATCCATTGGCCGACATGAACGGAATTTCCTCGTTTCGTAAGGGAAACGAAGGCCGCCATATCATAGCCATTTACTCAAGCCACGGTGAAGATGGATTTAGCCACCAGTTGAGGATCCCGAGAAGTGGTCATCAACGCCTAGAGTTAACTGAAATTACCACTTGTGAGAACTATACCCTTGATCACTGGGGTGCGCTGCAGGTGAAAGTGGAGAATGGCTTGCCTAAGATATTTTTCCCTGCGAATCAGATGGGAGGCAGCGGGCTATGTGGATTTGGGGATTGGCCTATTCGCGGTTCAAGAACGAAAGGAAACGGCGTGTCGCCCAGTGAGGAAACGTCCTGGGTGACCGAAGTCCACGAAAATCCTAAATGGGGGAGGAGACCGGGTAGGCTGGGATCAAGGCCGCCCGATAAGCAGCAGAAGTCTAGGTCCAGAAGGGCGTGGAGCGACCCATTGGGGTGTTTGTTTTTATTTGCGTTGGTAGCATTCCATTTGACCTGCGGATGAAGCCACAGTGTCGTACGGATTGCGGATACTCCTGGCGGTTTCATGGTGTTTTTGGGGGTAACAATCGGATTTTTATTTACTTGGTTTTGGGTTCATTAGGGGAGAAGAAACGCTCTATTATTAGAGTATGATGCACTTTCTGCGTTTGGGATAGTATTTTAGTTTTGGAACTTGATGGACTGAGCGGAGATTGGTTTAATTCCTCGTCTTTAAGGCCAATTCCTCGAAGCTGGCCAGGTATTAAAACATGTCTATAAAAACTGCGCCACCAAACGAACAAAGTCGAAAAGGCAGAAGGGCACAAACAACAATCGCTGGGAGCCCCGGAAATCAGAAATGGCTTCAGATGCAAATTAACCATTGGACGTTCCCCGCTCAGACCGAATGAGTTTGTCCAGCCCGAGGGAAGCCTCCCCATTGAAATGACTCATCTCAAATAAATGCTCCGTAATAAATACACGTATTTATCTTTCTTCAAAATTCGGCGTTAAGTCCCTTATCTCCGGTTGTTATTTCCTCTCATTCCCAAAATCTGAACCATCCGAATGAAGATGTTCAAGAAATCCAATTCGAGACTGATGCTCTCGTTGACCACATCCCTCTTTACAAGTCCGCGTTCGGCCATACGAGCATGGTAGAGAATCTTCTGGATATCGTAGAGTGTAAAGCCGCCGAAGACCGCAAGACCACCGTACAGCCAGATGCGCTCAGACCACATGAGTGTTCGGGTGGCCGTGGCCGGGAGGACTAAGGGAGCGAAGCCGGAGAGGGCAACGACGCAGACACCGGCGAGCAGAGGAGCTCCGAGATATAGGTACTTCTCCTGCTTGGCGGTGGCACCGACAAAAGCGATGGAACCCATCATGCCGACGGTGTATAGGCCAGCGCGGGCAAGAAGGGCGGGCTGGAGGAACATTAATGGGGAGAGCACGGCGGCTTGTGCGAGGTTAAAACCGGCCCAGAGGGCATATTTCTGGACGTAGCTGTGCAACGATCGATGTTAGTACTGATGGCGGTTTCCTCTAACGGAGGAGAGCTCGAACAAGAAAGAGAGTACTTACTTCTCAGGGCTGGTATAGAAAGTGCCGTACATAGTTCCAATGCTGGCCGCCAAACTCAAGCCGATAACCGCCCACGGGTTGGCTTGCATGAGCCTATACGACCATCCACTTGTATGTAGGGCGCGTGCCGCAATACCAATAATACCCACCCCCAAACCCGTGTGCATAAACGTATCGTTCAAATAACTGCGCTCATACTGCGGCATCCCGCCATCTTCCCGTGTTTCTCGGTTGAATATCAGATTCGTTGCCACGATTGTCCCGCCTACGATGGCGGCACCGTAGAGGAGCTTCTGAGTTAGATTTCCCCGATCTTGTACCTGGTACGACTGTTGCATATACGTGCGGCGGAAAGCATCTCCGAAATTCTGTCGGGCTTTGGCGAAGGAGGAGGGGAGAAACGGGGTGGAGGAAGCCTTCGCGGATTGCTTGGGCCCATTGTGAATGAAGCGAATTCCGGCTGTGGAGTTGTTGATGGACTTGGGGATTTGGCGGAAGGCCGCTGACACGGCAAAGGGGCGCCGGAGGACAAAAGCCATGATTGTGAGCGACGTTGTCGAGAATAGCTGCGGTGAACAAGGCTGCAGAAGCCGGCGAAGAGGAAGTTATAAAGCGAACCGGAATTGGAAGGAAATCCAGAGCTGGTGACGTCGAGGTACTATTAGTCAGCGGCTGCGGTGCCCCGAATGTTCTGGTAACTAAGAGGAGGAATATACGGAGTAGTTAATGTACAGCTCAAAGTGTGTTGAGCTTGTTAGGTAATCCAACTACTCCGTAAGTTATTACCAGAAGATGCAAAAAAAGGGCAGGGTAGGGCTTCATGGGGCGTTTTTAGACCTGATAAATCGCGGCTACAGTACTCCGTATAGTGGCTTTTGAATTTGGCTATTGATACTAGGGTTTGCTCAGGGTACTCCGTACAGTCATAAAGAGTGATAATAAGAACCGCAAGCCGCAACCCCGCTAATCCCATTGCCCCCGTCTCTCTTCCGCTCTGTAAGGATGTCCCTTATCGAGACTCACCACCTCTCCTACCTCCCTGAATCCCATCCGGTACATGTCGCGCTGTATCGCGATCTGCAGAATGCATCCTTTCTCCGGGAACAGCTTCTAGCTGGAAACACTGAATTTGAGTATGCATTCATTGATGCCAGCATGGTATGCCCCCTCGAATATTTCTCCTCCTTGTCGCGGAACTTAAACGGTTGTTTGCTGGATGTATATATCTATATCGGCTTTACATGGTTCATGTCTAATTGCATCGGCGGGTAGATCTTCTCCCGAAATCATATTTTTGCAGCAATATTCAGAGCAGTTCGCGATTACATCAATAACCGTCTGAAATCGAAAAATGTTCACTCGGAAATAGTATTCTCGCTAGGAGGTAGCAACAATGTATGCAATAGCCCCCTCCTTTCTTTTATTTATTTCTAGGGTGGGATCTCGCCGGATGCTAATTTCGAGGGGTCGAAAAAACAAAGATTGCCGATGCATTTCGCAGATTCGGCATATCAGAGAGCACGCGAGATCTTCTCGTGGTAAAAGTTTCAACCGCACCAGAGATCACTCACGAGAGTGTATCCAAACATCTGGAGCACAACATCAAAGCTCTCCCTTGCCCTTTTACAGAGGAGTCCTTGGCTTCAATGACCGATAGGGCGAGGCTAAGGAAAGTATACAAGTTTGGCTCGGTCGGAGCTGACACGTTTAAAAGGCTGGACGAGGTTGAGCAAGGCAAGAACGGAAGTGAAACAACAAAGGAGGCCGCCAGGAAACACATTGATATGCTTCTGATGGGGGCAATAGCTATAAGAGGTGCGACATGATCGCCTTGGATATTCGGGAGCGTTCAATTGGTTTCCAAGTCATAACGCCATTAGCGACAAATGGTATAGTGCGCTTCTATCATTAATCGTCAACTTCCTGGACAATGAAGAATCATCGTCGAGCACAACCAAGATCCAACGCCTAACCATCGCCGTAAATCCCGCAGTAACCAATCTCCAAGAGCCTAAGAAATGAGTTTATATCGCAGGTTGTCATCATAATGGTTTACTTAAAAAGAAAAGGTATTCCGACTAAGTTGGCTTTTTCCAAGTGCAACATATACCCTTGCTCTCACACCATTCTCTCACGGTGAGTCTGCTAACTTCCCTGTCTTCCCCAACCCGATCTAATCCTTCGGTGTTGAGCCAAACGGTTAAGTCTTCCAGCCAGATCGGATCGTACATGAGAATCTTTTCGAGCCAGGTCGGTCGCTTCATTCCATTAATAGCGGTCATTCGTGGTTGTGCTTTTATGGCTCTGGTTATTTGTTGGTTTATATCAGAAGGGTCGGACGTCTTTTCTTCAGTACTAGCTTGAGAGATCGTTCTTAGAAATAGGGGACTCCCGTCAGGAATGGAATTGGCGGATAGTGGATGATAATTGGTGGAGGATGTGCGATTAAGTGACCCTAGATAAGTATCTTGAAAGTCATCACCACTTTCTTCGCTATCCGGAATCACAATAACAGGCTGGGATGAGGCTTGGGTACTATCATGTGGGAGATAAGCGTGGTTAGGTCTTTCCTGACTGCAATCGACTTGTTTTGGCCCAGCTTTAGCACTGTGAGATGTAGACGAAGTCGACTGTTTCTTTTGAGGCGCTTTTGAGGCGCGTTTAGTTGTATGCGAAGCGTTGCTTCCTCCAGTATCGCATCTAACTACGTTCTTCTGTCCGCTAGCATGAGAGTCAGGAGGGTTCGCGTTGTTTGCTGGCAGTGATGTTGGAGCTGAGTTTTTGTGCTGGCTTTGCCAGCATTTTTCCAACAGCGATATCATTTTCTCACGGCTCTTTATCGGCTTGAATCCAAATGCAGCTACCTTTTGAGCCAGCTCTGCTGTGGTGAATCCTCGAAAACTCGGCATGGTTTCAATGTAGGCAGATTCACTGCTGGCAATTTCTCTGGAAGATAGAGTTTCCCTTTCCGGCACAGCGGGATAACCTGCCTTCTCTGAAAGGTCTTCGCACAAACTAGGAACAACTAATTGCCCCGACTCCACGCCAGTTGATTCAGTAGTTGTAGATGTTGTTTGAGACGGTTTGCTTCTATCATTGATCGTGTTTTGGCTAGAAAACCCTTGATTAGAGGCGTTGGTAGAGGTGGACGGAAGTGTAAGTGTGGACGATTCATGGGATTTTGGAGTATCGATGTTAACCATATCCACGATCTCAATATCGGCAACTGATCCATCTAAGTCTCTCCAACCGGCAGCCCATAGGTTCCTTGAAACTTTATATTTGGAAAGTGTAGAGACAGAGGTTCTATCACGAGCAGATTGCCGGGAAGATGCCGGGGCTGAAGGCACCCCAAGCTTATCCTCGTCTGAAGAGACTCGCTCCAGCTGGCTTGAGGTTCCGAAAAGGTACACCTGGTCCTCTAAAGATTTGAGGGCATCTGTGGTCGGCGCAACTTTGAAGTCCGATACCCCTGCGGGCTTCTTGTTCCCGCCTTTCTTGGTCTGGGACTTTGACCGTTTCCCGGAGGGTCTTTCCGTTGTGTCAACTGATGGAAAGGATTCTACAGGGGAATCTTTAAGTCCGTATTGTGCTGTAGAAAGTGATGTGATCGTTGTAACTTTACGAGAACGCCTGCCCTTTGTGCCGTTGACTTTTAAAGGGCATTTTCCTGAGGATTTATTTGAACTTCCCTCAGATGAGGAGCTGTTCGTAGTCCCTTGGAGGAGCTAGAAACTGTATCAGCAAGCCATTAAAGCACATCATGCAGCTTATCACCTTACATCCAACTGCCGTTTCCTCGTGGGGAAATCTTCGGGAAATTCATTTTTCATGGCCAAAGGCGAGGTTTCTGCGAAACCGTAACGAGATACCAAAGAAGTAAACTTTTGGGCTTCACGCCCGGGTATACTAGGTGGCGATGAGCCGGAATTTGCGGTGAGGTCGATAATAGATAAATTCGTGTCCTTTACTGGCGTCCAGCTATACTTTCTCTTCGTTGCAGGTTCAAGTTGTAGTCCCTCGTCCTCCCAATCCGCCTCTCCCGGGTTGGCTTCCTTAACCAAGGTTGGGATTCCCTTCCTTTGTGGTTGTGGCAAGTCCGAGGATTTCGAGGCCGCTGTTGCTGAGGCCTTAATTGACCGACCAGTCAAGATCCTGTCAACGAGATCACAGCCTTTAGTTCGCTTCTGAGCGCCAACTCCCTTCCTCCTAGTTTGCTTTGCCAGTAATTTCGGAGACAATCTCTCAGCTAGTGGCCTGGGCCCCCCGCAGGGAGTCAACTGCCCATCACCAGAGAAATTATCCCCTTCTGCATCCTTTGAGCTTTGCAGAGTTCTCACGGGCACATTTTCTCTTCCCGGACTTGAAGCTCGGACAGCGGGTGTCTTATGAACGCGCTTGACAGGACAGCGTATTGGATCAGCCCCACTAACATCAGGCCTTTTAGGATCTGCATATTCTCCCAAAATCGATCTTAAAATCGACGATGCCGACGGCTCTGAGTGCGTCGAATTAGTGGCGACCGGGGTGGTCGAAGAGCCGAAAATTTGGCTTGGCGAGGGTGATCGGGTTCGATGGCGGGTCAAGTCGAGATGGGACATTATTTAGTACTGAAAATTGGATAATTCAATCCAGCATAGGAGCCGGATAGATCATTTGCCTGGCTCTGACCAGGTACTCTCGGCTCGTTTCGTCGAGCGTTGTGGTTGAGCTGCTGGTCTTGGCGGAAGTTGAGATTCTGCCAGATGCGGAAAAGCGGCGCTGTCGTCGAGGCAACAGGCAGCCTCGTGAAGTCACAACCTCCCTCCATCATCATCTGCGCACATCCGGGATCAGAAACGCAGGGGCATGCACTCTCGTGTCTTACTCTTTTGGCACTTGAGTTCGCGCAACAAATATTTCTAATTCTAGCGAATGCCTATGCTTAACTACATTATTGTTCTCGTCGACTTGATATAGAGAGCCATTTCTCAAGCGAATATCGCGCGTACCCTGTCCAATAGTTATACGCCGCCATACTCCCTATCCTTCGCCAACGCCGAGAACAAGACGCAGAAGATTTTAGTTGATTAAACAGAAAAGAAGGGAATGGAAGCCAGCGTCGAGACCCAACCACCAATGTAGCCGGAACTCCATTCAAGTCGACCGGGGATAGCGAGAAGGCCGAAAAAGCACTGGAAACTTTTCTCTATGCCTGTCACCGTAGCAAGGGAAGTTTTACTGATAACGCTTCTTTCAGTTCGGAGCCGTTTAAACTAGTGGCGCCGTGAATCGCCATTCCCAAAGGGACTTGGACTCGGGGGTTCTTCTTTGGTTTCGGGCGTGCGATTCGTCTGGGCAGCAGGCTGCATTTGACCCCGATATGGGGGCGGCGTGAAACCTGGCTGTGGTGGCATTACGACGTTTGGTCCACTCGGAGCTCTCATAACGGGCGTCATGGGTGCTTGTGTCGGAACTAGAATCGGGAACCCGTTGTTTCTACCATTGGCTTCCATCGGGTTATACCCGTGTGACAACGTGCGCCTCATCACCGGTGCAATGGATGCGTAGGGAGCTCCGTTTGTAAAGCTCCGGCTTTGGTTGCTCGCAAATGGATCTTGGGAACCAGGAACCTGAAAGCCGTGTGTCGGAGTGTTGGTTTGAGCCATTGGCCCAAACTGGCTTTGACCATTCCCTCCGCCACTTAAAGATGGACCTGCTGCGTTTGTCAGCGATTTTCCTTCAGAATACATCCTACGATGTTCGATAGAGTTGGACTAACGTCGTGGAGTCGCATAAATGCTCTCCGTTCCTGGATACACCGGAGTATTTTGTCTCAGGAGCTGAGGTCCCAAGCCTTGCAAAGAAGAGTATCCCACCGTACCAGTCTGGAAGGTACATGTCCAATTAGCAAGTGAGAAAAATTAGGATTATTTCTTGCCAAGGCCCTTTACCGTTCCATATACCCCGGGCTGAGCGACGGGCCTTTGACCTGTGATGCCGCCCATTGGCGGCCGCATCCGTTCAAGTTCTTGTCTGAGCTGTTGATTTTCTTGTCGTAATCGTTGATTGTCAGCTCTCAAACGCTCAAACTCCCCGCGAGTGTATGATTCTCGCGTAATCGGATCTGTCTGAGTGCAAGCGGAGTTACTGGCACTACAGTTGGCACAACCCGTTGGGTTGGAGTCACACTTCATTTTCCGAGCCTAGCAAAGTGGTAATATCAGCCTTTGCGACATTTAGTTGCTATTGCTGGGGGACTCGTGCTATCCAGTAGCAGGAAGCTAAAGGCACAAGCAGCCGCTTTACAACACATTCGCATTGTTCAGAAGCACAGGATGCCGTATGCCAACATTTCCTTGACTAAAGGCTTTCTGTTGGTCATTGAAAGGGATTAGGGGCCATAATGGCTTTTTATAAATTCTCTTCCACATGTTCAACGCCCCGATGAGGATGCTCTTGACAACACCTGTTGCTGTTTAAAGCAATGCAACGTGAGAGACAATGACATACCTTGCAACGATCGCATGCCTGCCCAGTTCTATGAGTTCCTGCCATCTGTCCTTGGACCATAGCAGAGTAATCAGGTTCCGGACTGTTCTTGCTTCGCCGTGGCTTTTTAGTAGGACGACGACGTGTGGTAGAAGATGGAGCTGGAGCCTCTTGGGCTTCGGGTTGCTTCTCTTCTTCCCCGTTCATCGCCTCTTCGGCTGTCTGGTCGCTGCCTTCGAGGTTGATGAATGCTTCCCAATCTTCTTTCTTTTGTTGCTGTCGCCCGTTAGGAGATTCCTGTGCCTCGCGTTTGTTAGATGAAGTCATTCTCTTTTTTAGGTATGTTGTTGATCCAAGGCGTTAGATGACGCGAAGTGATATCTTGGAATGAGAAGGAATCCTTGGAGACACTGCTGTGTATGTTGTTGTTACAAGGTGCTAGATGACGCGAAGTGATATCTTGGAATGAAAAGGAGGCCCTGGAAACGCTACTGTTGACAGCTCCCAGGAAGAGAAAGGCTCAGTGAATTTCCACAAGCGGCTGTGGAATGAAGTGAGAAACCTTTCAGCTGAATGTCTTGCTAAAGTGAGAAAAAGGTGGAGACTGGCAAAAGCAGATTGTTGTTATGTTCTGGAGCAATTATATATTCTCTTCACTGAAGAAGGAAGAGCACGTGAGGCATGTTGTGTGAAAGCTCGCGGAGCTTCCCGCCCTGAACAGAACTGGCATGCTGCTTAGCGCGAAAAAGAGGAGGCAGAATGGACATTCTGTTCCTCAAAAGGGCCAACAGGTGAAGTCCTTTGATGTGCTTTGTGCACACCAGGAACTAGAAAGAATGATGATTGTTCAGGGGCCCTGAAAGATGCCCAGGCTCTGTCTATACCCCTTTTGGAGCAGAAGCACTATATCAAGGCCAAAACCACAGGAGAGAGTGAGTATAATCTGAGAACTTCTTTGATATATAGAAGGAGCACACTAACGCTTGACCAGTGATTATTTCATCCTTCATAAATTTCTTCACCCTTTGCTTTGAAAGCACAATCTGCATTGTTCATACGATAAGTGGTTGACTATGAAGACAATGCCCTGTTCATCGTATATATGAACAATGAACAGGCCTACAGATAGATAGAGGAACTCCCCACAGCATGCCTTATGATGTCTTTTAGATATGTGAAGATGAGAACCATAGGAACTGCATGCTGTTATAGGGATGCCGCCTCACCCTTACCTACAGCTTGAGTTTTTATGAAATCCAATGGCTTACAAAGTGAGTGAGGGCCAGCATGACGCTTTGGGCATACAGTCAGGGCGTCTTGATACGGTGAAGCCCACAAGTTCCCTAAGCATCGAATTCCCCTCAGGTGGATTAGGCGGAAATGAAAACAATTATGTACATCCACCTCTCGTATGGAACTGGATGATAAGCATGTATTATTCCACCTTTGCGTGAAGGTAGATGGCGCACTGGCAAGGGTGAAGACGACGGTTTTTGGATGCATGAGCCCATATCCCGATAGTTGTGTCCAAGCTGGGGGAACTGATTCAGTCTGATATATCTACGGTCTGGGACTAAAACAACACACTTTCTTCAACGAGGTTCCTAGCAATAAAGTAGCTTCGGATGACTCCTTTTCAAAAGCTCGGCCTACATGGACCGAGTCTAGGTTTAGTCCTCGTGATTCTCCTCATTCGAGTGTACTCCGGGCAGATGAGAACAGATTGATCAAAAAAAGGAAACACCGTAAATGCATGCTGGGCGCCATTGACTGCGTAACATAGTATCTACTAGATACCTAAGTTAGGAGACTTAAGCATTTTTTGGCCTGACTCACTCGACTCCTGCTCCTCGGATTTTTCTAACCAACGCCGATACAGACACGAATGTATGCAAAAGAATGAACCCAAATGAACTTTGTAACAGGCTTAGCGGTGGCCAACAGTGAATGTGAAATCAAATATAGAGGGATGGGGTCCATATCGCTTTAATATGCGTGATGCAGCAAAGAAATGTGCCATTGCCAAACCATCTAATCAGGATGTGAAATGTCAAGATAAGTCTTGTACATAAATGTCGGAAGATACAAGGAGGAGGTATACAGAAGTGAAAAATGCTCATGTCTCCAACGTTTGATGGTCGTCTCAGTCGTTAAATTCATGGGTAAATCGTGTTGAGGGATGGATATAGATCCAAAACGGGTGTTGTACGTCCAAAAATCCAAATCCTGGGATAGCCACTTAACCATCGAGTGCCTGGCTCTGGAAACACAGTCAAATCATGATGGCTCCGCAAATGTCGTACTGGAAAAGCGGTCTCTCCAAAAAAATAAACTAAAATAAAATAAAATCGGGAGTCAGGCTTGCCGCAGGTAAACACGGTTTTGCACAAGCTGGAAAGAAGGGGGTTTGAGCCCCAGAAAAAAAACGATATCGTTATCTGAGCAGCTTTTCGTTGTGCGCAACGGTCACAAAACGTATTCTATCGCTGAACCTTTGGTGGCAGCCAAATTCGAGCCACGGAGTTAAGTTCTTACACTGGCTCACGTCGAAAACCCGAAGCATAGTGCAACCATCTACTACTGACTCCACGCCTGTGCCGGTTACTCGGACGCATCCTCGAACAGATAGCTCGCGGAGAAGCAGGAGGTGTAAGCCAATGGAGCGGAGTGAAGCATCAGAAACTGCTGAGCCGCAAAAGGAGAGATTAAGATGAGTAAGCTGCGGACAGCCAAGAGCAATGACTTCAGTTGCGGTGTCTGATAATGCGCAGCAAAAAGACTAAGGCTTGTTGTCAGCTTTAACCGAATGGAGGGTCATTATTGAACGGTGGACATTACCAAATCGAGTTCCTGCAGTCCTTTCGCAGCATTAGTAAGGTACACAATAGCATTGTCAGTCAAATACGTGCAATCTGCAAGGCAAAGTTTTCTTAAGCGGAAGAATTGCGTATTGCCCCAATACTGAAATCCTTGATCAGTAATGGTTGTGCATCGTGTCAGGTCAACTTCCTCGAGGCGAGAAGCAGCATGGGCGGCAATATGATGCATAGAACGGTCCGTAACGTGCTTGCAATAAGATAACGTGAGCCTTTTCAGATTAGGGCAGCCATACACTGCACCAGCCGATGTTTGAATAGGAGTTTGCATCGGACCCTTATGTGCTCCCTTTCCATTCGGCTGCTGTGGCGCCTGGGAGCCGGGGACAAACCACCCAATTACCCGTGCCAACAACGTATCACTAACTTTCCTGCAGTTACTAAGATCGATTTCTTGCAACTCCTTGGCTTTGTTTGCCATGTCAAGAATCGCTGGAGCGGTGACATCCCACACACTTTTCATCCTTAATGCTCGAAGGTTGGCTCCACATGCGTTCGCCAAGGCATTGAATCCTTCGTCAGTCATATGGAAGCAATTGTTGATGTCAACAACACGAGGTCTGTCACCAATGAATGGGCAAATGAAATCCGTGATAACCTCGTCTGTAATTTTTCGATTATAAATGCTGAGATCAAGGAAATGGAGCAGATGCGGGGATTTTGTAATGAGATTAGACCAGTGACGGGAAACTGAGCGGAGACGGAGGAGATGATGAAGTTCAAGGTGCTGGAGAATTGTAATGAGAATATCATCATTGAAAATTCCGCGACTGTTTCCAAAGCTAGGCCTAAATATCGGTTTGAATGGGCTTAGGGATGACTGTGGGAGTGCGTTCGTTTGCTTAGAAGGTGATAGGCTGCGCGGAGAGCGATTTAAACCAGGAGCTTGAGTGTGCTGATCTGCTGCGGTACCGTCTTCGGGAACAATTGGAGCAAGAGATCCCCGACGTGATCTTGCCCGCATGTTATCTAAATCGACGCTCAGATATGGGTCAGGATCTGATGGTCTCAAAACAGACGCATCCTCTAATCGGCTTGGTTTGTGAAAGCTGTCTAGGTCACTTTCTGTTAAGGTAAGGAGAGGCATTGATTGTCTCCGGGCAGCCGGCATAACCGGCTCTTGAGAATCAAATGTAGAAACTTGCGGCGCATCTTCCATGACAACGTCGCCGCCCGATGCAGCTTCCAGTCTCTTCTTGGCTGTGTGCTCGACCTGCTCCTTGATATGCCTAGGGCAACGCGCCCAGAACTCAGAAAGGACCTCTCCGCTTATCATTAAGCATTCTACTGCGGTTACAGAGCGGACAGTAGCAGTTCGCCGCGGCGCCAATGACAGACTGACGACCTCTCCAAAGTACTGCCCTTGTCTCAGCCTTGCTTTTACTTGGACACCACGATGGCTTTCCGCGTCTGCTCCTCGACGGGCGGCGCGAGAGTCTGGCCGTTCGTTAATGACCTCGACTTCTCCCCGCACTATAAAATAGATCTCTCGGCCCTGAGAGTCTTGCCGGATAATATCTGTAAAGGGAGGAAACGTTCGCGGCTGCACGTTCAAGCCGAGAAAGTGAAGAATATCTGGGGGAAGTTGGGAAAATAAAGGTAGTTCCTTTAGAAGCATTCGAACATTCACGAGCCCATTTGCTAGAGCACTCGACGTGGACCCTTCCGCTAAGCCGGGACTGGGAGATTTCCGTTTCTTGCTTATGATATCGAGACGGCGCTCATCGTCCAAGCTCATATCCCCGGTGAAGGCTTCATGGAGCCGTTTAGATCCACGGCGCTCACCGGCGAGGCGCTCGGGTCGAATAGGTAAAGGCTGGGCCTGAGTTTTCTTCTTCTCCAGAATCTGCAGTCTTTCTTCAGCTTCTTCTCTTATTGCTCGTTCAACTTCAGGAAAACGTGGAAGGATATTCTTGAAGTCCTCTTTGGTCAGCACCACGAGCAAGCATCGGGTGCGCGCGATGATTGTCGCCGTCCGGGGCCGATCCATAAGTATGCCTATTTCTCCAAAGAAAGCGCCCGGCTTCAATTCTGCGTATACACTCTCTCCGTCGCGGGAGGTGACGGCCACCGCACCCCGAACGAGCCAGTACATGGCCTTGGCTTCATCTCCCTCCGTCAATATATAGTCGTTCGGTGAGTTTAGTTGCGGCCGCAAATGCAGGCCAATCTCCGCGAGGAAGGATTCTGGGGTGGACTGGAACAGAGGAAAGGAGCGTAATCGGTCGATCAAATCCAGAGGCATGCCCCGGATCTGCGAGGCGGCCAGAGGGGATGGGTGGAGGGGGCGGGAAGGGTTAGTTTCCGAGTTGAAGGTCCTGATCAGAGACATGGGGTCGGCGCCCGCTGTGGCGGACTTGCCAGCGAGAGGAGAGGCGCTGGCGCCTCTGGTCATGCGCCTCATCATTCCTGGCATTCCAAACCCAGAAATCAAATCTCAAGCTGTCTGGGGTAAACTGCTCGGCATGGCGATTGGGCTAATCGACGGCCCGGGGAGGGGGAATCTGTGCTAGGTGGAGGCGGGATGCGAGTAAAGGTGGGAGGGAGATTCTGCTGATAAGTTGCACGAGGGAAAAGGTCAGCTCGAGGAAGAAAAAAAAGGATTGAGTGGACGAGAATGCGAGAGGTCGAGGAATGGATCCTCTTGGAGATGTCTGACACGGAGAGGTCTCCACTCGCCAGGCCCAATGGATGTGGTTGATGTGCATCTGGGCTTACCGTTGCACTTGCGGATGGCGACCTTGGTAACTTTGCCAGAAGTCTGTGACGCAGCAGGATGAAACAACCCCAAGGATGATGGAAATCAAAAAATTTGATAAAAGTAAGCAGTAATTATTCAGAGACCAGCAAGTTGGACAGCTATCTCTCTTGTAGGCATGGGCACAGCCAACAGTGATGGGAGGGGAAATGATAGTCACACATCAAAGAGACAGTCCCAGCTACAGCAAGCTGACTGTTTACTGACAATACACTGCTACCAAACACTATTATATCGCTGAGCCATCAAAAAGATCCCCCTTTTTTATAACCAGACGGGACAACGCCACAGCACTAATACAACAATAAACAAGCAAACAAAGCCTCTGGAGCTCTGAATGACTGGTCACATTCTGCTCGCTGCCCGTTAGCAGCAACATGGAAGCCATGGCGGGCCTAGAGCTCTCCCGCCAGATCTACAAGTGCATCGAGCGGCTGGTCCTACGTCCAGAAGACAGCTTCTGTCTCGACTGGAATGGCTGCGCCATGGAGCCGGAATGGGGGAGAGTGTGTATCTCGGATGATTGTGAGCTTGGTTAGGCGGAACACCAACTCCTACAACAGATCCATAGTGCAAAGACATGGGTGTGTTCTTAAAACCTTGGATTAGCTGTTCGATCCTGAAGGGAGTATTGGCAGTTCAGCTATTAATACCACTGTCCTTCTCTAGATGTTCCAGAGATGTTCTACGGCTCGGATCTGGGGAACAAGAAGCGACGCCAAGTCGGAGCTGAGATCACTTCATTTGCGACTAGCGCGTCTTGGAGTTGAGTTTCACTATTTTAACTATCGTCAGGATTGGTCTGCGTTGCCGAGACGCATACAAATAGATTTTAGGTTAACAGAGCAGCAGCGTCAATGCTTTGCCTTGGGAACACGGAGTGCTCCGTACCACTCGCAGAAATCAACCCGTCTGGGGCTGGTGGTGGCCGTGGTGGTGGTGATGGTGGTGATGATACTCAGCGGAAACGTTGCTGGCGGTTTCGGGCTGCCTCTCTTCAGCGGGGATCCCCTTCCCGCCGGCCTTCCCGCCTTTCGCTGTGGTGTCTTCCCTCTCGAGTCTCCTCAGGTCATCTCCAACCCGAGGTGGGTTCGCTCCCACGCCCTCAAAGCCGGACCCTTCATGCTTTCTGTGCTTCTCTCCACCATGTCTGTACTCTACCGACGACTCTCCTTCCATTGCATGCCCCAGTCCTTTGTTCACATCTGCAGAGCTTGCTCCCGTCAGGGTGGAGGCAGCAGTGGTTTTGACCGCTTCCTTACCCTCGGCTTCCTCGACGTTTTCGTTCATTGCCTGGCCCGGGATCTCCTCTACCGGATTGGGCTGGAAACTTCTGTCTGCCGGTGCTGTGCCTGGGGGGAACGTCTCTGCTGCGAACTCTGGGGCATGGTCGCTTGGCGATGCTTTGACTCCGGGTTTGTGCTACACAGTGCCCAGGTCGTCAACACCTAACTCGTCCCTGGATAGTTTGTGCCCCAAAAGAGCCAATAAATAGGTCCTCGACTCACCTTTGGGGATTCCAGATGTTCACATTTGTGATGATGCGGGTGGAACTGGCCGTGGATATTGTGGATTTGTGAGGCACTCATTTTTGAAGATATAAAATCAATTTGTGATGTCTTCGGTGAACTATGGCCTGTAGGTGTGGTTGGTATCAATTGACAGTGATGAAATGCCTCTCATTCGGCTATTTCACATAAAGGGCCCCATATACGCCTCTTCATATACCATGTCAAGATGAGGCCAAGTTTCGTCTCTCTGCGGTCTCGTTCAGGACACCCAGTGCATATCTACACCGTTGGCGGTGACGTCACCCGGGCGACTGGTGACCTCATCTTGGACTTAGGTGGCCAGCAGGCCAGCCGGTAGATGCAGCAAAGCAGCGAGCTTCCAAGCTCGTAGCTTTATCGGGCGGCGCTTAACGTCTTTCCGAGCTAGACCCAAAGGTCTAGAGGTTTAACAAGGTCCACACATGCAGCCAAGGTGCTGGCCCCTTTTGGCCTAGTGTCGACTTTTGTTTATGATACAAAAAGGGTGCTCCAACAGAAGTCGTACATGTATCAATCCAACTTCCAATAACCATGCGGATCTACAGCGGAGATCCAGTTTGCAGTCCATCATTGCCGTCAAATCCTTTAGGAAGCGCCTCTCCAACGAGGCCATCGCAGCTCCATCCGTAGCTTGCAGTTATTCTGTCACTATCAAGGCTACAAGGCTTGAGCTCAACATTACTGGAATAAAATAATGATCTCATCGTCCAACAAGAAATTTAAATCATGATCCTGAGCATTATGATGCCATAGGTCAGTGAAATCTTCACCGCTCAAAAAGCTCCCTGTGAGACGTATATAACAGAGCTTTATATCCAGCGAACCCAGCTTCCTTTTCCCTATTCTCGAGCTTAGTCTAGATCTAAATACGTCCCAAAGAACTATTGAAATCCGAACAAGAAAATCCTACCACAAAAGAAGACTTTACAAAATGGAGCACCGTACCGAGCAACTCTCTTCTGAGGATGCTGCCAACAAGGCCCGTGGCTACAAGGCGTATGTTGACTTAGATAGACTCGCTATCGAGACCCCTTGTCAGGTACTAATGTACCATCATAGTGCCATGCATAACCCCAGAGTCTCCGAGCCGGCCAAGCGACATGCCGAAGAACGACTTCACGATATTGAATCAACCGGCCAGCTTGAGCAGAGAGACGAGGAAGACAAGGATCAAGGGAACGTCGCTAGAGGCCTGAAAGCGTAAGAAGTCTTTGAAACTTCTCCACCCGGTTTGCGACATCTCTTGCAGCTATGTTTTTTAACATATGCAAAAATTTTAGTGCCGCCCACAACCCAAGAGTCTCCGAACAGGCGAAGCACGAAGCAGAGGAGAGGCTGGAGAGGATGGAACGCGAATAAGGCGACGGAATTCTACTTGTTCAACGTTGATAATAACTGATTTCCTACTTTGGATTCTAGTTATATCATGATATGGTAGTGCTACTACAAACTCCCCGCCTACCATTTGCCAAATAAGAATCTCTTTCAATTTTAAATTTAGGATATTAAGAAGCCATGTCTGTGAGTAGTAGGAATACACTTAGCAGGACGACATGACACAGTGGCCTGGGCACAATTCGAGAACCGGCCCCAGTGGCACACATCTACAGTTCAGGGTTCATACCAGAGGAGAGAGTTAAAGACTCGGCCATCCAGCGCCAGAGAAGTCAGGGATAAATTGTACACGCATGCCATAATTGCTTGATGGCACGCACCGCAGTCCAGTGTAGAAGCTCGCAATCCATCCATAAACATCCATCCTCGTCTTCAAGTACGCCAAAACAGTCAGACCAGTACTCAATCACCTCGGGATCGACGTCCAGCCCATTTGCCAGAAAGTAAATCGATGCTGGCCCAAGGTAGTAGCGATACAGCTGATACTCGGGAGTGTCTTCCAGGCAGAAAACCCCGCGTGGGATGCGTGGCCTCGTGCGACCCGGATTAGACCGTACAAAGACTTCCTTTCGGGGGTTATACATCGCTCGGCCCACATGAAGCAGACGCTCACCTCCTATATCGAGGTCAAAATATAAAATTGTCTGCCACCTGCCTTGCTGCAAGTTCCTCCCTGGGAAGAGCTCTTCATCGGATTCATCGTCAGAGTCAATATCTGAGCGAATCAGAGTGTGAAAGGATTTACCATCGACGGGCGATGCTGAAACTGGCGTTTGCCGGGCTTGGTTGCGGTGGTGATGGCGTGTCCTCCCACCAGCATAGGTACCTTCGGTTGCGGGTGCATTTGGTTGACTAGCCGGAGGCTGAGAAGAAGAGCTTGCTGCGTGGCCCAGAGGGACGCTCTCCGAATAACCTGGAAGGTTCTCATTGAATGTCTGGGGCATTTCGAAAGATATCTTGGGAGACGTGATCGATATGAATTGTCCTGTGGGCCTGTAAGAACGGGGAGCGAGGCTGCGTGTTGAAGCAGAAAGAGTGTTTGGGCGTCAAGAAGAATAGATATTCCTCAAGACCCTTTTTATAGGCCGTGCGATTTTCAAAAAATACCAGCGTGACAGAGTCACCGGAATCGCAGGTCCCAGAACAACCGTCCGTTTCAACCAAAAGAGTCACTGGATGACGGTCAATCGATGGATTCACCGTCGTCAAACTAGGAGAAGATAGTCAAACAGTGTCGTACTGCTTTCTTAGTCACGTCCACGAAACCTATCGGTGACCCAAGCAAGATACCTCGGCTTATGTCCTTTTGCTACTGCAAGGGCGTCTTGGGCCAAGCCATACGCGAGACTCAGCTTCAAGCCCAACTTTGCTGTCCTTGCAGCGGTGTAGACATCGTGGCGGGCTATAAATCACCATTGTGAGTGAGGCCTAATGGAACAAGATAGCATTTACCAAATCGAATAAGACATACCAAACAAGCTGTAAATTCCCGAAAATGTCAAACCCGCAGTCACTGTGGAAAGGAAATCCCTATTGCCGTGACGGGCTTGATTGATAATTTCCTCCAGGAAGGAAAATCCCATGACCCCCACACTCAGCTTCGTACCAAGCTTTATTCCATCTTTCAATCCTCCAACCATTGAAACGTAGTTCTTGCTTTTGTGGTACTGATACCAGCCAGCCGGGCTGGTGGGAAACCGGTGGGCATTTTCGGCACGAAATCGAAATGCGGCTTTGGTGCTCCCGTGCGAGAACCCCAGGCCTATACCGGTCCCAAAGGCCACGGTTGAGGCCAAAAATCCGTTCGGGCCAAGTTTGAATCCGACCTGCGGCGGAGGTTGCTCTGCATCGAACGTCGGCAACGAGGCGTCGTCGTCTCGGTGAGGAGCATTCGACTCGTCAATTGGCTGCATGCTTGCCCTGTCTGTAAACTATCGCTCTGCCAAATGGACAGCTCACACCGTAGACTAACAAATGGATTGTGGAATTGAAGGCTGCCTGGTAAACCTGTCTGACGGCTTGGTTTTTCGTCCTTTCTGTTGTTTGCGGCGAGAAATCCTCCAGCCGGAGTTTGCTCAGTTTGCTCGACGCTAGCTTGCTCGGCTTCCGCTGTCACGCCAAGAGCTCTCGTGCTCCACGCGTCGCTCCGGGTAGCGAACGATCATTCCGGCTGTCAAGAGGTCTTTTTGAGCATGGTATGGAAGCAAAAAGTTCGGAATGCGTTCACTGTTAAGATTGCCGTTCTAATTACTAGGTACGCAGGCAGGAATAAAACCCAACCCGCTCAGCTGGACGCTACGGTTCAAGAACCATAATGTTACTATCCTACTCCTCGTGTCGCCGGCGGAACCATTTGACAGTATTAAAAAGACACTGCTAAAAGCTCTCAAAGAACGAGGAATTGATGAAATAAACGGAGTCCAAGTCCCTGAAGACCCTTCTGGGATCGAGCTTGGCCTTCCCGTTGATAGAAACAATTTGGAGAAGGGCTGGGTTTTGCTCCAAGTCCCCACGGAGCGGAAAGGAGTGAAACGAGATGCTGCTGGAACCAAGAAGAGCGTAGTCAGTGACAGTCCACAGGGAGCGGATTTGCGCGACTCCCAGGCTGTGGCGTTCCGGTTCCGTGCGACAAAAGATGAAAGCCAAACCGAGAATGGGCTTGAAATGGAGATTGATGACGCGGGATGGGATGTCTTGATTCCTACCTATGCTGATGAAGACGAAGAGGAAGGGGAGGGGTTGGACGAGGATGAGGGCGAGCGCGAGGGTGAAGATGATGATGAGCAGGACGACTAAAATGATATCGACTACTATTTTGAGGACTGTGACTACGGGCATTTTGGTGGGAGTTTGGGTTAAGTGGTGGGCCCCCCAACAAGCGGTTTCAAGGTGTTCAGCAGCTTTGTTCACTATATAGGGTCATGGTTTAATATATTTTGAACATCGCCGGGGTTACTCGATGTGACCGTGTCTTGCGGTGCAAATCCTAGGCTCAAAGCTAGGCGCGAGTAGGTAAAGCTGCGGTCGATAGGAGGATGCTCAAAACCTGATAAGGTTCATAGAAACGGTGTCAATTGTATGAATTGGTTGTGTATGTACCGGATTGAGGGGGGAAAAAAAGTAGAGAGTGCGACACCGGCAGGATTCGAACCTGCGCGCCCGAAGGCAATGCCTAACTATTGGAGGTAGCAGGGCACCGCGTTAACCACTCCGCCACAGTGTCGGATTCGGTTGGTCTATTACCCCGATTCTCCACCCTATACCGCTATTTAGAGTTTACCGCCTCCTGGTTGTCGCGACAACTCACCCCGTGCTCCGTACCGAAAACTTTCAGCCGTGTTTTCCAACCATATCAAGCCGAAGAGCATCAACACGCATGCGATAGCTAGACGCAATCCTCTTATATTGACCCTAACGCATTTTACTTCTTTTCTACCTTTGTATTCTCTGTCGCCTCTTTACCCTTCTCTCGATTCAGAACTGTCCTTAGCTCTGCAGCCGTGCTTAGAGGGATTGTTTACACTTTCTCCTTGGCGGCATGGCTGCCACTGGCGGCGCGTCCTCGATCTCCGTGACAGTTAGAGTGCGGCCATTTACCATACGCGAAGCTGCCCAGCTTACCAAATGCGATGATGGACCATTGTTCCTCGGCGAAGGCTCCCTGGCTGGTATATCCACGCCAAAGCTCCAGCAAAAGGGGATCCGATCCGTGATCAAGGTGGTGGATGATAAGTGCTTGTGAGTAAACAAAGGGTTTTGAGTCGCAAATCTGCCCATTGGCATAGCTAATGCGAAGCCTGGTACCAAGGGTCTTTGATCCTCCAGAAGACAACCCGGTGCATAGATTCTCCAAAAGTGTCGTTCCCAATGGCAAGCGTGTCAAGGATCAAACGTTTATGTTCGACAGGGTGTTTGACGAAAACACAACGCAGGGGGAGGTATACGAAGCGACGACCCGCAATCTCCTCGATAGTGTCCTTGATGGGTACAATGCCACAGTGTTCGCATACGGAGCCACCGGATGTGGAAAGACTCACACGATCACCGGAACTACTCAACAACCCGGCATTATATTTTTAACCATGCAGGAGTTATTCGAACGCATTGCTGAACGATCAGGCGAAAAAGTAACAGAAGTGTCCCTATCATACCTTGAAATCTACAACGAAACCATCCGAGACCTGCTTGTCCCAGCAACAACAAAAGGAGGCCTAATGCTCCGAGAAGACGCCAATCAGTCAGTCTCTGTGGCTGGGTTGTCCAGTCATTATCCACAGAACGTCCAGGAAGTGATGGACATTATTATGAGAGGCAACGAGTGCCGAACCATGTCTCCAACGGATGCGAATGCAACATCCTCACGATCTCACGCTGTCCTGCAAATCAATGTTGCTCAAAAAGACCGCAACGCCAGTATCAATGAACCACACACCATGGCAACTCTTAGTATCATCGACCTCGCCGGAAGTGAACGCGCAAGCGCTACCAAGAACCGAGGAGAGCGGCTTATTGAGGGAGCAAACATCAACAAGTCTTTGCTGGCTTTGGGCAGCTGCATTAATGCTCTCTGTGATCCACGGAAACGGAACCACGTCCCTTATCGTAATTCAAAACTCACGCGATTGCTCAAATTCTCTCTTGGAGGCAATTGCAAGACTGTCATGATCGTTTGCGTTAGTCCGTCCAGCCAGCACTTCGATGAGACCCAGAACACTCTTCGATATGCGAATCGAGCCAAGAACATTCAGACCAAGGTCACCAGGAATGTGTACAATGTCAATCGTCACGTGAAGGACTTCCTTGTGAAGATTGATGAACAGATGGCTCTAATTAATGAGCTGAAACAGCAGCAGAAAGATTACGAAAACCTTGCGTTCGCAAAATTTAAAAAGCAAGCGGAGAAGAAAGATGGAATTGTCCAGGAAGGAATCTCCCGGCTTCGCAGTGCATACGAACATGCGGCTCCTGAGAGGGAGGAGAAAGTTAATAACAAATTGCGTCTGAGACAAGTCAGTCGTCGTATCACATTGCTTTCCTCTTGGATAGCTGCCTTTGATGGTGTTTGTGACAGCAGAGGCTGTAAGGGTGGGCTGGGCAACCTCCAGGCGATTCGCAAAACTGCCCAGGGCATCCTTCTGGAGTTAGAGGGTAGCCGTCAACATTATCATCAACGATTGGCTAAGTGCAATTGGGAGCGAGGTTTAAACTCGGCCCTGGAAAATGGCATTAAGCAGCTCAGAGAGGTTGATGCGAGTGATCATATGGATGTAGAGAACCTTAAACGAGAGGCTGAGCTTCTGAAAGCGCGGGCGGAAAGAGATGCATTAAGTGCAGTCTCGGAACAAGAAAAGACAGGAGACATGGAAACGGTGCAAATGCTCTTGCAGGCGAATTTCGAGACGATTGCCGCTATTGAAGACATCACCCAGCTTAGTGAAAACGAAGCCATTGAAATTGGCAAACATATTCTCGGAAAGCTTCTTCAAACCTGCACTACTACCACATCGCAGGTCGTCAAACCTGATGGAAGTCCGATTCGCCTTGCACCCGTTTCGACGCCCAAGCTTGGCAGTCCGAAGAAACGAAAGAAGTTCAGCTTGGGGGGTACAGCCGCACTACCCAGACCGGTTCGTCTCTCCTTGGTATCAGGTACATCTCAGTCACCTGCCAAGAATTCTCCGAGAAGACGGAAAGCAGCTGCGCCGAAGAAGGCGGTGGCGTTTACGCCGAAAAAGGCACCAAAGCCTTCAAAGAGATCTGTCAGATGGAAAGACGACGTTGAAGATGGAGCATTAGCTGAATTCGAGAAAACTCCGCGGAAACACCAGGCATCACCGGAAGCTCCATCATCATGTGAACCCACCCTACCACCAGCTCCCACCATGGCGTCGTCTATTCCACTACCGACTTCTGGGGGCTCCAGGGAATCCTCACCGGCTCCGGCTCCGGCTCCACCAGAATTGAACGCAATCCATGTGAAGAATAGCAGCAGATTCAAGACTGGCTTCTTATCCAAGAGACCGAGCGGATCTCCAACGCCAGTACCCCCCACTCTAACAAAACTTCCATCCTCTGATAGTGAGAGCTCACCTCTTCGACAGATCGAAAATAGCAACTTTCTCAACCGGCAGTCCCTTGATCGATCCAGCGGGCACTCCTCCGAAAATGAGGAGAACTGGAAAATAGACAAGCTTGAGGCGATGCAGATCACCACGGCCATGAGACGCATCTCCGGAAGCTATGCGGGAAACCTCAGGTCCGGTACAGCCATCACTCGAATTCGCCGTCGCAGCCAGAGTCCCACTAGTGCATCGTCCAGCCCTATCAACAGCGAAAATACGATGTTCACAGCATCCCAAGCGAGGCGCATGGTGAAAAGCGAAAAGGACCATGATCTCAGAGTTAACGTACTGAGTCCTCGAACGCTCCCCGTAATGAAGAATCCCGGGCAGCGAAGAGTCACATCCGCAGAGATCAAACCCCGTGAAGCTGCAATTGCGGGCCGAGAAAACGTTCGATTCAGCGCAACGGCCATTTCTTCTGGCGGAAGTTTGCGAGCGAGCCCTCGAGGATCTGCAAGCGGGACGTATCGGTAAATCTGGGAATTGGTTTAATTTTTTTTTGTTTCGTTTCGTTTTTGTCACGAGAGTCGGCGCATCGTGCATTGGGGGACTGCTGGGGAAGGAAACATGTTTGAGTGCCTTTTTTTTTTGAGTCCCTTTGTTCGCTCTTCGTCGATTCATACGGGGTGACTTTCTTTCGTCTTTAATCATTTTGTTTCATTCTCATGTGTATTCTGAATATTGTCTTTTGGGTGTCTTTGTGTCTGTGTATTTTAATGGACGAGGCGGGCCATCATACATAATTTTATTTGGGCAGATTACAATTCCGTCCGCATCTGCTGCTTCGATGCCCTGTCGAGAGTCAGGCACCGTTTTTGGATGGCGGTTGACTGCACTATCCGCGGCTTTCGCGATGATGTAATCCTTGAATGTTCCTAACCGCAAGTCGCAAGGGTGGCGTTTCGTCGACCTGCGACATCTTGGAAATCGGGAGGGGATGCCAACTGCCCAGGACTGAGACATCACGCATGGAATCATTTGCGGGGACCCTTTTTATCGATAAATCACCTCGATCCTAAATATATAACTGATTGACTTGTTAGTTTCAGTACTCCCCGCGTATCTATCAACTCCCTCTGCGTTGCGTTTCGTTCGCTCTCTATTTATAAAGCACACTCCCATTTCCTACATCCCCTCGTGGGCCTTTTCAGGACCTCAATTCGCCATGTCTCTGTTCTCGCGTCTCTTTCGGCCATTCTCCTCCACCGCCAATACCTCGCTCTCCGTGGGGCCGGCAGAATCCCTCGCCGCGCTGAACTTTCCCGCAAACGCACAGAAGGCCACCATCGCCGCGGGCTGTTTCTGGGGGGTCGAACACCTGTTCCGGAAACAGTTTGGGAACGGGAAGGGTCTTCTGGATGCCAGGGTGGGATACTGTGGAGGAGATACAAAGGTGCCTACGTATAGAAGTGTGTGTTCGGGCATGACGGGGCGTATGTAGACTATACATCTCCTTACAGTTGCTGTGAATCCTACCCTCCCCCGCCTTGTCGTCTGTTTTTTTTTTTTTTTTTTTTTTTTTTTTTTTTTTTTTTAAGCTGTTTCTTGTGGCCTGGTGTATCCTTGGGTTTCCTTTGCTTTCCTCTACGGGAAGCGAGTGGAGTACTTGATATCACTTTGTATTTTATTAGTGTTATTATTTTTTGTTCTTTTTTCTGGGATGGCGTGGGTTTCTTTGTTCTTTGCTGATCATATATCCGATACTTTTTTTCTTTTTTTCCCTCTCCAGACGCCGAAGCGCTACAGATGGTATTCGACCCGTCCGTCGTGTCGTATCGCCAGCTTTTAGAATTCTTCTACCGCATGCATGATCCCACGACGCTAGACCGACAAGGCGGAGATATCGGGACGCAGTACCGTAGCGCTATCTTCACGCATGACGACGAGCAGCAGCGCATCGCCGAGAAGATCACGGATCAGGTGAACAAGGAGTGGTGGGGGAATAAGGTGACGACCGTTGTGACGCCTATCGGGCAGTGGTGGGATGCCGAGGATTATCATCAGCTGTATCTGCATAAGAATCCAAGCGGATACGAGTGCCCTGCGCAGTATGTGAAAAAAAAAAAAAAACAAACCTCCATTTGCATCTCTTTTACGTGGGTTGCGAGCTTCAAGTGAGAATGATTCATATACTGACCTTTTTTTTCCCCCTTCATTTCGACAGCTTTGTGCGAAATTTACCACCGCTTTCCTAAAAGGCTTTATGGGGATCCTGGCGTCATTCGAGGTCCAATGGCTGTCTGACAGTAAACTGTCCCTAGACAAAAAGAGGTTTGAAATGAATAGCGAAAGTCCTCTTTAATAAAAGTATGTAACTATGTACATACACAGTGCTTATACATAAACACGATTTATATACCCAATCTAAGCGTTTGCACACTTTACTGAATTTGTCGGACAGGAGCCTGGCTATCAAAGGTCATCTTGTCTCCTGCCACTTCGATGTACTCTATTTGTGCTAAAAGTTCATTATTGTTGCTTCCCGAAGGGCCTATTGGCATCCGTATTGAAATGGTCTGGTGCCGTGTAGATCGTCACCCGCGGAAGAGTGTACGACCCGACTATCGCTGCCCACGGTTGTGCAAGCCAAGGGCCATTGAGAGCGTGCGTAGATAGGGAAAAAAAAAAAAAAAAAAGAGGACCTCAGGCCATTTTAGCTGAGTGCCAGTGTCCGTGATCCTTTTGGCGCTGAAGGTGCGGATCACAAGAGAGGAAAATGAACTAGTGGATATGTGCGGAATGTCAAGGTCATTTGAATACGCCCGCCCAGCCGGCAGATCCACTGATCCGCAGCAGCACCGCTTGCGCAGGATAAACTAAATGGACGTCTCAGGAGAGAGACACACAGAGAGAGAGAGAGAGAGGTTTTCTTTTTTGCAGGTGAGACGTGTTGGCTTGTTCCCCAACGAAAGAAAAAAGAATACTAAAGCAGACTCAACATGCGAGTTTGGCGACAATGTCTCCGTTCTCCCGTCATCATCATCCAGTTGCCGCCCGCAGGTCGAATCTCGACATAAGTAAAAAAAGAAAAAAAGAAAAAAAGGAAAAAGGAAAAAAGGAATTCACATCGGTTGCCGTGCCCAAATTACGGTTAATATTCCTTGTAGACCACATGGCGCGGGTGCTGATTGGTGCCCCGTTTCCTCTCGTTCGACCTGTGATTTGAGCGAGATGCTGCCTCTTTCAGTCGGGTCTAGAATTCAACCTGCGAGAGAGGCCGGGGTCTGGGCCGAACTCTGGAGTCCCGGGATTGGCGAGTCGGAATGCGTGACCAAGCCCGAAGCGACACACCGACCCGGCCGCGGTGCAACAACGACTTTCGGTTCCTTTTTGCGAGCTACATAGCAAGTTACCTTGAAGGGAAACTAACTACTTGCCTCGTGACGTCGAACTATGTTCCCTATTAGGCAGGCAAAGGTACGTTTTTATATTAAAGAAAAAAAAGAAAAAATTAAAAAAAAAAAATAAAAGAAGCAGAAGCAGCAGGTAAAAGAGAGCAATGGCAGGAAGCAGCAAAGCAGAGCAACTATAATGAATAATAATAATAATAAAGCAGTGTGCAAAAATCAACCCTTTTTTTTCAAACAAGGCAGCTACGAAAGGTTGGATCCTGCCCGGTTTTGATGACGCAGCCAAAAAAAAAAAAAAAAAAAGAATTCCGGGAAAGAACGTTGTGGGGAAAAGTGGGGCCCCGTAGCTAACTTAACTTGTTAACTAACTACAGTGTAACTACTCCGTAGTTAACTATTCCGTACTAGTTATGTAGTTAAGAGATAAGATAACAAGACAAATGTCACCGGAAGTACCTTTAACTCCGCTGTGCCGGTGACCTCGACCGGTCTCTGCACGCATCGACGGGGTGTCACTAGGTAGATGTACACGCATGCACCTCGTGTCCGCCGCGGAGTGCGATGGCGACGACCGACCTAAACCGGAGCACGGAGCACGGATGAGTACCAGCAAAGCAAGCAGCTACATAGCAGAAGGACGGGGAAACATTCCCATCGGGGGACAATAACCGGGATCAAACTGGCCTTACCTGGCCTAGCCGGTACTATCCCCTGTCGCACTCCTTCAGTTCCGCCATCCTGTGTGCGAGCTTGCGCCGTCCGCTGCTGGGTGATCCGCATCGATGGCCAGGAAGTCGTGCGGAGAATGGCACAGAAAACCAACTTGACGCCCTTTGTGGTCCCGGGGGTGGTGATGAGGTGTTTCTCCCCCCGGAACCACCGCGTCACGAGCGCGCTCTTAACGTTTTGGTGGCGGCGTGGCCTGGACTGGTTCCTCGACAGCCACTGCCAGCGTGTCTCCCTCTCCCTCTCCCTCTCTCTCTCTCCCTCTCCCTCTCTCTCTCTCCCTCTCCCTCTCTCTCTCTCCCCCTCTCACTCTCGCTCTCACTCTCGCTCTCTTCCCCCCTCTCACTGTCCGCCCGTACACCCAGACAAGCATTGACTGTCCTCTCTGGCTGCAATTTTCGGGCGAGAGCGCGTGAGGCACATGACGTAGACTGGGAGCTCTCCATCCAGGCCAACTCCAATTCATAGCAATCCAGATCCCCACAACATATACACACACACACACACTCTCTCTCTCTCTCTCTCTTTTTGCTGTTAAATATTGTCAAATCTCCTCTTATATTTACCTGCCTGGCCTTGTCACAGCTATCCAAGAAGACGACAGAAGAGATCGTGCTGCAAGAATGAGACCAGTTGCTTTTACCTACCGACATGGCTGGTCCCGCTACACCAAGATCCAAAGCACGGGGCGCACATTCCAGCTCCAGCTCCTGAATCATGTCAGATATGTCCATCAGGGACAGCGTCAGCAGTCTGACCTGTCTTCTACCTCAGGTCCTACCTCAGGGAGGTTCTCCTCAGGTCTTCCCCGTACCATTGCTCCTCCAAAGTCCATCTTCTCAGTGGCTTCCCCGCCCGCCCTCACTCTAACCCCTTCTCCTTCCCCGCTCTCCATCTTACCTCTGTCGGCTGTTCTGCGCTCTTTGTTGATAACCACAGTCTCTTCATCCCCGTCCCTGCTTGCCCCTGCTATAGGTGTAATGTCGTTGATAGCTAATTCCAAGTCTTCAATCCTGAATCCTGATCAGAACTTCGCCCTGAAGTATGTCATGGCAAACACCATATATGCGCAATTCTGCGCCGGTGAGACCCCTGCCGAAGTACGCCAATGCGTCAGGCAGATAAAGCATCTTGGGTATTCTGGCGTGATCCTGGGCTATGCGAGAGAGATAGTCATGGATGAGCGTGAAGCATCTGCGATGGGGCAGAATGCTGGAATTCAAATTGGCACTGCGCAGAAGCTGCAGGAGGATATCTTTGCATGGAGGGATGGAACAATCGCAACTGTCGATTTGGCCGGGGAAGGAAGTTTCGTGGCGGTCAAGTTCACCGGGGCTGGGCGGAAGGCCGTCCAGCAGCTGGTCAGAGGAGAGCGTCCGTGTCCGGACCTTGAGCAGGCAATAGCCGCTATTTGTGATAGAGCTAGAGACCGCGGAGTGCGGTTGCTCATCGACGCGGAACAGCAGGCGGTGCAGCCGACAATAGACGAGTGGACAATCGAGTACGCACGACGGTACAACAATGCGCCCAGCCGCCAAGCGTTGATATATGGCACCTATCAGGCTTACCTGCGCTCCACCCCGTCCACGCTCGCCAAACATTCAGCTATCGCGCAGTCGCAGGGCTTCGTGCTCGGCGTTAAATTGGTGCGGGGCGCCTACCTTGGGACTGAACCGCGACATCTCATCTGGGATACAAAGGAGAAAACAGACGAGGCTTACGATAGTCTTGCCAAAAGTGTGATGAGACGACAATATGGCGAATTGCTTGTTAAGCCTCCCAACGGGCCGGGATCGTTCCCCGAGGTCAATCTCGTACTCGCGTCGCACAACCGCGCCTCCATCCAGCGAGCTCTGAATATCCGCGAGGAGCAAATTCGACGGGGGGAAGATCAAATTGAAATGTCGTACGGCCAGCTCTATGGAATGGCAGACGATATCAGCTGCGAACTCGTCCAGCAACGTACACAAGCTCAAGACTTGAACGGAGGCAAGCTGGAGATCCCAAAGCCGTATAAGGCGCTTATATGGGGTACCGTTGGGGAGTGCACGAAATATTTGCTGCGAAGGGGAGAGGAGAACCGGGATGCCGCTCTGAGAACGGGGGATACCCGTAGAGCCATGGTGAAAGAGCTCAAGAGACGATTGTTGGGAGGGAATTAAAATGAAGAACCTGGCCTCTTCCCTTCTTTTGTCCCTTCTTTTCTTCTTTTTTTCCTTTTTTCCTTTTTTTTTTTTTTTTTTTTTTTTTTGATGCTGCCAAAATAGATATAATTAGACAGTTAATGATCGATGAGCAATGTGATAATGAAAGTTATGTTTAAATGCATTTCTTTGATGTCTCGCTGCACGCTTTTTGATTTCTGGGTACGTTTTCCTGTCTGCTTTCGAGCAGCCTGCATTGTGTCCCCCTTTTTTTGAAAACAAAAGAATTTTTGTCGTTAAAAGCTTTGAGAGCTCCACGGCTCGGTCGAATAATTTCCTCAGGGGCGGAGAAGCAGCGTTTTGAATGTTTGCAGATGTCAAATATATATATTTATATATATATAAAAAAGCAAAAGAAAGCTGTTTTCTTGATCCTCACTCCTACAAAGAATGTCAGTTAATCAAACATGAGAAGCTATTCAAAGGACATATCTTTCAAAGGATGTTTCTGCTTTTGAAAAACAAAAAAAAAAAAAAAAAAAAAAAAAAAAAGAGAAATTGGAAGGGAGGGAGATGAGCGTACAAGTTTATCAGAAAAGAGTCAAGGCAGTAGATTGCTTGTTGATTGCCCTGCTGCGCGCAAATCCGCCACATGGCTGGCTCTAAACGCGTAAAAAAGGGGGTGGGTTACCGTTACATAAAACAGTCTCTCCCTACGGAGTACCTCATTCAAAAGGCCGGGAGATATCCGCCATTCTCTAAAAGAAAACACAACATACAAAGTTAAGATAATGGTCTGCTGGTTTCCCTCTCTGTTCCTGCTTTCAAGACTCTTCTCGAAGCGTTATTTTTATTTATTTATTTTTTTTCAATTATACTTTGAACTCACTGGTTATATATTTGAATTAATAGTGGGAAATCCCCACTGAACACACGAAGACACACATTCCCTCTTCTCTCCTGTGTGGCTGGCAATGCCTTATTGTCAAAGCTGGATTGTGGGAAGGGCCGGGGGAAAAGAGATTCGGTTAGATCTCTTCCCAAGATAGTTGCCGGGAGGTTTCTATGTGCCAGTATCACACAAGTAATTGTTTTTTTTTTTGTTTTTTGCCGCAGCGACACATCTGTCACTTGAACATCCGATTGCATTCACAGTTGTCTCTTGTTGCTGAGGAGTGTCAACGTTCATCAACCTGCTTAACCTTTCAGTCATTATCACACTTTCTTGCAAGCAGAATTTGTTCAACACCTGCTTGTCAGCATTGGCTTGGTGATATTTATTTCAGCTTAGGACTATCAGCGTCCTTTTAACCCTCAGTGAATTTGTTGTCGTCTTTTCGTGTATCTTCTGTTGCCGGGCCGTCATTGGGTTCACGTATACAATCAGCTCGCATCAACGCCCCTCTCAGAGAAGAACTGTTAGTCTTTTCTTTCTTTCTTTCTTTCTTTCTCTCTTTCTTTTTTTTTCCAAACCTTCTCTTTCCATTTCTCCCATCAACTGCTGAAACCGACTTTATTATACTGCGGCTCAGCAAAAGAAGCGAAATCGGCCCGCAAGCAAGATGGCGCAAAGGATCGATGATGCCATGGTGGATGTCATCAACAAGATGAACGACATCACTGAGCACGTAAGTTGTCCTTCGAGCGCTATTTCTCCCCTCAGGGACCCGGAAAACGATATGCTGATGGCCAATACAGCTTCGGGCTCACGAGTTCGTGGAGTCCGCAAATAGAATCGCACGAAACGTCCATGAAGTTATCAACATCTTCACCAACGCGGTGATCAAGTTTAACGATGACCAGATGATCATGCATCAGGTATAGTAAAAGTTGCCCCGTAGGGCAAGAAAGAAAAAAAAATAAAAAATAAAAAACGCGAGGCTGTAAAATTTACTGACGATTCGTTTCAGGCTAATCAGGTCGCACCGCGGGCCGAGCCGTCAGCTCCTAAACAGGTAGCTAACAAGAATGGCCAGAGCTTGATGTTATACTCGGACGTCGCGCGTCAAGCTCCAGGCGCAATGTCTGGCTCGAGCTCTGCCCAGGTCACCTCCTCGGGGACCGTTAAGACCGTTGTAGGTGCACTTGGGCTCACTGCGACTATTCCTTCTCAGATCAATCCCGTTGTTCCGGTTGGCCATCCGCCGATCTTGGACGTGGCCGAGGAGAAGGCGGCAATGCTGACTATCAGCGGTGTCTTCGGGCCTCATTCGCTCAATTTCCTGACCTCGAAGATCCGCGAGGGACCGCTCTTCAGCGTGGAGATCAATTACGCCCAGAACTTCGCTGAAATCACTTTCCAGAAATCAGCTCACGCGGTAGCTTTTCTGGGACAGGAGCGAAGCAAACGTGCAAGAACCGGATCGGGTTTGTTCGGTGCCTCTTATAAGATTGTCTCTGCGGCAGAATTCGCCTGGGACAAGGAGATTCGCAAGATGGAGGCCAAGCCTCGTGAGCGGCGCAGATTGACATTCGCTCGTGGAGGTCTCCTTGGGGGGAACTTGACCGTGAAGAAGATCCTGAACGACATGGGACAGCTAGTTGGAGCCGAAGCAATCGAGTTTGTTTGGGCTTTCAATACCGGAAATGGTAAAACACCCCCCTCCTTCTCTTCTTTTTATTTTCCTGTTTCCCCTCATCTTCTCTACTCCCAAAGATATCTCACTGGGGTGTAAGGAAGCTAATGTGCGTAGTGACCGCCGTCTTCAAGAGCGTTGCCACGGCACGCACTGTTCGCGACCATTTCCTCGCTCTTGCCATCCACAAATCCAACCCGTACTATGACGTTCAGGTCACATTCTCGACGGATCCGTGCGAGAAACAGCTGAACCTCGAATCTCAAATCGGTGTGCCGCAGCATCGTCGCAACCGGGGACGGAGAGCCGGGGCATAAGTGAGTACCACGCAGCCTCATTTCGTGAACTGCCCGCATTGATTGACAACTTGTCTCCCCAAAGTTGATTTGAGTCGTGGGATGGATTTTACGGGCCCGTGCTTGAGGTTGCTTGTCTGCTCAGTCCTCTCGTGGCCAGATGTTCAGAACCCTCGACGATGTTTGTAAAGGAGTTATTTTTTTTTTCCCTTCCCGGTGGACCACTTCCTTCAAGATTGCTTCAGGGAATATCGTCGAGGTTATGGCTAACTGGCCGCTCTGCTGTTTTTTCGTGGTTGGATTTCTGTTCTCTCAGCCGTCCTGTTTTATTTATTTTTTTTTTTTCTCCCCCTTCCCACTTCCACGGGGCATGGGGCTCCGGGATCCTCGGATCGAAGCTCCAGCCGATGTGGATGGGTTGGAATGACTTGGATGCGGAATGTCCATTTCAGGGTGGTGATATTATGTTTTATGAATAGCTTGAAATCACCACCGGTTGAATAGCAAGTCTTTACATGCCATTTTCATCTTGCCACCATTAAACCAGACACTTGACTTTGGTTGAAAGGTAAAAGAAGAAACGTTGTGAAGCCCAAAAATCAGCAGGAAGTGGAGTTTTTGTTCAGCCTAACTAGAACACCACGTGAGCTAGAGCTCTACCTCGAGCGTGAAGGGAAAGACTACGCTGCGTCACGACATATGAGGAGTATGTCTGCTCGGTACTACTCCCGACTACCATGTGCCCCCGGGATACGGATAGTCATATCGCGGCGGTTGTGCCCATTCCTTGCCGTCGAGATACTCCACCCACTTCTTGTCGACCAGCTCCCTCATATCGAACCGTTCCTGGTCCTGGTCTATCGTATGGGCATTGACACTGAGATACCCCTTCGACCCGGGTTCCCACTTCTCCTCGCCCATTCTCCATATTCTGGCCATCTTCCCCTCGCTCGGCTTGCCCAGCTTTGCTTCAAGATCGATCTCCTCATTCTGACCGTTCGTACAAACGGTAAAGCATCGCACGCCGCAGGTGGGGCAGAAGCGCCAATCTAGGTTCTTTTCAAAGCAGGTATAGTTCGAAAGTTCCGCTGGATCTGACGGGGAGAGTAGAACGAAGTCCTTCGCGGGGTTGGGTAAACGCATGTGGAAAATCCCCATCTTGAGGCACGTCGAGCAGTTGCACTTGTAGAACCGCATCGCGTTCTTCCGGTCAATCCCGGGCCCGATCGGCGGAGGTATAGTAGCGAAGGCGATATAACGCACTTTGCCGCAGTGGCAGGAGCCGTGGTAGCCACGGCGGTTTGGCGAGGGGTCGGTGGAAGACATCTTGTCGGCGGTGAGTGACCCTCGTGGTGGTGCCAGATGGGGATTCGCTGATCCAGCAACTCCCGTGAGAATAAATACAAACGCGACATCGCCAGGCAGCAGCGGGACGACGCGCTAAAACCCCGCATTCTTCAGCTGGGGATCAGCGAAGCGAGCGGGTCGGGAATGCAAGTGATTTTAAATCAGCCGCTCGGACCGACATTTGCTCTTCATTTGTCTGAACTTCTGACAATCCTCTGCTCCATCACAGTGTGAAAATACTTTTCACCAGCACACCTGGCACACTGATTGCACGCGTATCACATGATTTTGTTTTCCATGGACGACCTGAATACAGCACTAATTTGAGCTTGTCCGTTTTGAAATTGATAGATCACGAAAACCAGGGTTTAAAGAAAAGTATTCCAGGTGGGCAACCATTCCAATCAAAATGATCTTTGTTTTAGGGAAGGGAAAAAAAAAAAAAAAAAAAAAAAAGAAAAGAAAAGAGTAAAGAAGGAAAGGAAGCAATACTACAGAGTATTTCCTGGTGAAACCGTCACACCATCCTTGACAGAGGCAACCTGGAGCTGAAAACAAGCTCGATGTTCGACGTATGGGGGTTTGCTTGCTTCCTGGCCATGTACGGGTGAGATCGGGGAGACACGTCGATGCCGTTGCACCCCATCAAGTCAACTCTGCTTCAAACGGCATGGATTCAATATATACTCCGTAGACCAATATACAGTTCCGCGTTCCGACATCGGCGCGGCTTGTCGCTCAACCTCTCTTGCTGATAGTTTTGGAGGGAAAAAAAAAAAAAAAAAAAGAACAACAAGGATGAGGGGCGAGTTGAAAAGGGAATTGGAACTGTTGATGGGTTGTGGTGTCAGGTTGAGTTAACATCGGAAAAAAAAAAGAGAATGTCACAAACGGTTTCGCTTCAACCAACGCCCTGGATCGAAATGTCTGGGGGGACGTGGAAATGTTTCGACGCATGAGAGGCGCGCTGGGCGGGTCCCGCCTATACATGCTTCCGGGACCCACGGCAAGCCAAACCAAAACCCCCCGCAGCAGCCAAAAACTCTGGAGATTACGCCGTTTCCTGCATCTTGTTGGAACGAGCCGCATCCGCCAAAATGTATGACGTCCAGGCAGAAGAAGACCATCAGCCATCGTGATGCAGAGGCATCCTGTTCATATGATTCCCGCCCTCTCCCCCTTCTTTTTTTTCCGGGGTGTGACTGCTGGGCGATCGAGGAGCCGCGGAGAAAAACCGACATCTACGCACCGCGTCACACCAAGGGGCATCGGATGGGGTTTCTGGTGAGACGTCTGTCTCTGAAGCCGGTCGGGTTAGTCACACCCCAAGGAGGCGATGTTAGACAAGTCAGGCCATGCCAAACGTCTTGTGACGAAACAATACCACGAAAGTTGGCTAAACGACAGCCCGAAGAGACCAGCCTTTCCGCCTCCACGTACCCCGGGGAAGAGGCGGCGAATGACCATCCGAGCTCTGTCTCGAGTACAGTCCGCCCTGTATTTTTAAACTCTTATTTTTCTTTTTTTTTTTTTTTTTTTTTCCTGTATTTGTCCTATGCGAGTGAGACATCAGGTGGCATGAGAAGTGGCCCCGCTAAACCTAAACGGACGAAAGTCGCATCGAATCCGCCCGCTGATTGGCTGCAGTTGACGAACTCTCCCCTCAAATCGGCTGCGGACTTTCCGCGCCAAAATGCTTGTTCTGCCGGATATTTCGGATGACGGCGGTTCTGATTGGCTGTGGCTTCAAATTCTATTGCCGCTGATTGGTGGAAGCCTCACCAAGGCAATTGACTTTGGAATTTCCGTGGGCTCTCCTTGGCGTGGTATCAGAAGACACCCCCCTGAATCCTAGCTTGCTCGCTCTCGCGTAGGAGAGTGGCAGCCGGTAGCAAAGTCAGTCAAGTCACAGCCTGTCAACTCAGTTTATATCATGCTCGCAGTGGGCCCTCCCTGGCATCTTCCTCGACCCTCATTTTCCCAGTCCACTTCCGCCTTTCGTTTTTTCCTCTTCTCTCATCCCATCCCATCCCATCTCGTCTCCAGAGGCAGCAGTCACTCGTTTCACGCTCTCTCCCCTTTGCAGATCGAGCCTCATCTCTCTCGTCCTTCTTCTTCTTCGTCTTTGCTTATTATTTTTATTTTTATTTTTTTTTTTTGTGTTTCCTTTCGGGCTTCCGTCTCCTCCCATCGTTCCTGCCTCCCGCAACCCCTTTTTCCGGGTTTCCCGTTTCGCAGTCCCTCGTTGTGGAAGTCGCGCTTTCCCCCCCACCCAACAATAAAAACTTCCGTTTGCTCTTTCCCGCTTCGATCTCCACTTAAAACTCCATCGATCTTTCCCTCCGGCGCAAGTGGTCGGTCCTTCCCAGATCGTGCGTCGAAACGGGAACTTTTTATATCTTTCGGGCAAATCGTTCATAAAAAACAATATCCAATACATACATCACACACACCTCCCTATACATACGGTCCATCCCATTATATTATATCAGTCTACATCGCCAGGGGCGCGGAAAACCCAAATCCCTTTGGACCACTGCTTCCTCCCCCCGATCTCCTCGCCATGACTCGTCTGCTGGCATACGCACTGGCTTTGGCCCTTTCGTCGCAAGCCTTCGTGGCCGCCAAGCCGCAGAAGTGCGGCCCAAGCCAGAAATGCCCTGAAAGCGCTCCGTGCTGTTCTCGTGGGTGAAACCTTTACTGACCCCGACTCCGTATGCTTTTGCGCCGGAGCTCGATCGTTAACGTGCTATCCTTCATATAGAATACGGAGACTGCGGCTCCGGTGCATACTGCCTCGGTGGCTGCGACCCAAAATGGTCCTTCGCAATCGACTCTTGCCTTCCGGCGCCCGTATGCAAGAGCAAGACCTACAGGTGGGATAACCTTGATGGCGTCGCCCCCAACACAAAGTACCTTGGCGATGCGAGCAAGGCGGACTGGGTATCGAGTGGCGAGCCGTTGACGAGCGACGGCAGTCTCATCTTGACCATGGCTCCCGATACCGTTGGTACGCTCATGGCCAACAACCATTACATGTGGTACGGCAAGACCACTGCTCGGTTGAAGACTAGCCGTGGCAAGGGCGTGGTCACTGCGTTTATCCTCCTCTCCGACATGAAGGACGAGATCGACTTCGAGTTTGTCGGCGTCGATTTGCAGAATGCTCAGACCAACTACTACTTCCAAGGAATCACCGACTGTCAGTCACATTTCCTCTTCTCCCCTGACCTTTTTTTCGTAAAAATTCTTGTCCTTGAGAACGGCACTCACATATTGCCTGCAGATACCAACGGACAAAACGCGTCTGCTTCTGACACCTTCGATGAATTTCACACCTACGAGATCGACTGGAAGCCTGAGTCGATCACGTGGTCCATCGACGGCAAGCCCGTCCGTGTCAAGAAGAGATCTGAAACCTTCAACAAGACCTCGAACCAATACGCCTACCCTCAAACTCCGTCCCGTGTGCAACTCTCCCTCTGGCCGGCCGGTCTTCCAAGTAATGGTGAGGGCACTATCGAATGGGCTGGCGGGCTTGTTGATTGGAACCACGAAGACATCAAGAACCACGGCTATTACTATGCTCTCTTTGACGAAGTCACCGTCGAGTGCTACGATCCCCCAAAAGACGCCAAGGTTGAGGGCAGCAAGTCCTACATCTTCACCGATGAGAAGGGAACCGAAGATACAGTCAAGATTACCAATAAGAATACCGTTTTGAAGTCATTCCTGGGCAACGGCCGTGACACCGATAAGGATTATCCATCCGCCAGTGGAACCAGGAGACCCAGTCAGACCAGCGATCTTGCAGTCGTTCCCGGTTTGAGTGGTGCCGGGCCCGGAGCTGATGGGAACCGAGGAGACAGCGACGGCTCCGACGGTGGTTCACCTAACGGCGGTAATAGACCAAACCCCACGGACTTCTCTCAGGGTGGCGACCGGGGCAATGAGAGCAGCGGTGCGTCACCCCAAAACGAGCAAGTGCTGAAAGGGTCCCTGTTTGCAGTGCTTGTGGCTCTTGTGGTCCTTGTTACCATGTAATATTTCTATGCTCTTTTTACAGTTGTATATATTTTAGGGAAAAAATTCTTTTTTCCCTCACGTCTGCTTGCAGTTGGGATACTCGATTGTTAGAGCTATACGCTTTAATTGACGCTTTTTAGCTTACGGAGTACTTGAATGTCATTTTCAGCATGGCGGTCTGCACCATTAAATAGGTACTAATAATGATTCAGGATAAATACCATCATCAGATTAGCAATAACTGGCCTCTCTACTTCTTGCAGCTGATAGCTCTCAGGTTGCTGGTCGAATTTTCAAGCACTAATCACAAACAGTTTTACTCTCTTCGACATTATAGCAGCATGCGTGGGTAATCCATACCAATCCCCACCTGGATTCTGCCATTCTCATCCGATCCGGGCCGGCCTTGTGGTATATCAGCTGCGGGAAACTTTATTACGATTGGCAGTACATCAGTGCTGATCCAAGAACAAAGTTGGGTCGAGGAAATTTGTGGTCTAAAAACTGTTGCAAAGTGCTGGTACCATCTGGCTTGATATTCTCTACAATCTGTACTCTGTTGAAAAGAGCAAACATACACCAGCCGGCCCAACCTAAGCATCCTGTGGGCGTAACTAGTGAGTTTGGTTATAAACCCCCCCCCCCCCCCCCCTTTCTGTTCAACATTTCAAAAGCTGACAGGGAATATGAAACATGAATCCCACCCCCTGATTGATCACAGACAAACTGATTTGCAGTTGTCAATTCTTCCGGGTTTTGAAAGTATCTATCCTGTACTATGGACTCTTTTGACAGCGAACATTTCTTCCTAGGGTAAGCACCTAGCGGCTGTTAAAAATGTTATGTGTTTGTGCATCTTTGTTTGTTGCCAGTGTCCATTTGCTCAGAGCAAGCAAAAGGAACAAAATCCTCATCTAAAGTGCTATGGAACTTAGCCAACAAGAAGAATTCAAGATTCTTTTTGCTCTTGAATTTCTTTTCTCCTTTCTTTTTTGGGGGGGGGTTCTTCTAAAATATTTGTTTACGGGATTTGGGATGAGATTTTGGTCACTACACTACACTACCCAAGTGGGTTTTGATCCATTCTTGGGGTCAGCCTACACTGAGACAGTTCTGCGATTTATATCCCAGAAAAGCTCTGCCTTTCCGATACCCAAACAAACAGATATCAAGCAGGCTCTCAACAGGCCCCTTCGATGTGTGGACCAAAAAAAGCACAATTTGGTTTACCCAAACACCTCTGTGCTATCGAATGATATTTACTACATTCAGGGAAACATGCTCCTCTTTGCCAGTTGGATGAGAGACCCAATTGATTATGTGAAGCCATAAATAGCATGCTGGATATAAGTCCCGAGGGGTGGGGGGGTTCTTTGGCGGGGATTGATTGCCGAAATTGTCCATACTGGCTTTCTCGTTCGTTTTCTTTCTTGAGACGGCAAATATAACTAGCGGCCAGGCCTATGAGAGAGGGCGGTTTGCCTGTGGCTTTTGTCTACAGGAATTCTCAGGATACAAACACAACATATCCAAGATGGAGATATCCTTCAAGCCCGTTCTCTTTGTTTCATCTTTTCCTCGTTAAGTGTAGGACCTATCCGTATGGCATATTTCCCTGTCAACGCGGGTAATCCAACAGGAAAAGCCATTATCATCAAGATAAGGGCAAGAGAATCTGCAAACCACAGCTCATCAGCTGAAAAATTTTATATTTATATTTATTTTATTTTATTTTATTTTATTTTATTTTTTCTTTCTATTTCTCCACTCCCCTCACCATTGGAAGACAATGTGCCTCTATAACCGGGCAATTTACTCATGCAACCACTTCGACTACATCCTCGCCTACAACTGCTACGACGTGTTCTTCCAACTCCAACGGATAAACGACTCCTGGGAACGCAGTAACTACGCTATTCCCTTTGAGCTCAGCCCAAACTGCAGCCCTTCATTGACAAACATAATCGGCCCGATTTACTCCCCACACCCGTGTGATGTCTGTCTTCGGAGGGATCGAGAAAGAAGGTTCTTTGAAGGCGCGAGCTGCTTTTTCGTGGGCACGGGGGGAAGAACTTGAACTTCGCTTTTCCCTCCTCCCCCTTGTTGCTGGTATGAAGAAAAGAAAAGAAAAGAAGCTGGGCCGCTATCTTTTGGTGGGCAAAGTCATAGAAACGCCCAAGGGCCAAGTTGGGTGGGCAGGAAACCACTCTTGTTCTCTTCAGTCCCGTGCTTTGGTTGGAACTGGAGGGGATGAGCTTCTCTGCACGGGATGATAGACATGGTAATATTTGGCGTCAATCTTGATGCAGCCGTCCCCAAAGAGGTGATATGAAAGGGGAGGTTGGAATTTTGGTTGAGACCTGTGGAAGGGGATAGCACACGGACAAGGGTGGACAATGGCTTTGATATCGCTACGCATCAGGAATGGCTTTTTTTTTTTTTTTTTTTTTTTTTTTTTTTTTTAAGAAAACGCAGCTAGTTCCGATCCAGCTGCAGGAGGAATCAATAGAACTCCTCAGAGGCCTCTGGGGCCATCAATGCAGCTAAGATAGAGAAAACTTAGAGAATTGTGCGTACTTTCTAATCAGCCAAGAGAAAAAGAAAACACACTTGATATTACATCTTGTTCTCCAATATAATGTCTGATAACAAGATTGACGATCGAGACTCAAGCTAGGGGCCCCCGTGTCTCTACAAAATGTATGTAATCATTGGTTTGATAAAAGAACGCCGTACACTTCGCCAGATAAGATCCAAGAAAAGAAATAAGATCCTAAAAAGACACCGGAAACAAGAGAAAAATGCACGTGGGCCAGAACGAGGATATCTCCACCAGATTAAAAGCAATGGTTCAGTCTTGTAGGAGACCAATCAATAGGTGAGCGCTGATTCAATGCACCGCTCCGCAACCACATCCTCCACCGCCGATATAATTGACGCTTCTCCCAGAGAGACTACGTTTCTTGAAGTCGCCATGGTAGGTATCGAGTTCATCGACGACGACATCATCAGCTAATGGTTCGCCCATCCAGGCGTAATCGTAGGTGGCAGCTTTTGGACTAGTTTGAGTCTCCTTGAGTTTTTGGGTGATTGCATCAAGATCCAAGTCGAGATATTTAGCTAAGAAGTCGCCAACTTCGGTGTTTTCGTGATTACCGACAAGATCCAAGGCGTCTTCTGGGGAAGAGGCGTAGATATTCACATCCGCAGCTAGTGCAAAGTATAAGTCAGATAGCTGCTTTGTAGAAAATATAGAAAAAAAAAAAAAAAAAAAAATTCACAAGATAGACCTACCGGAATGTCCATGAGTTGACCATCCTATCTGGGCTCTTCGGCTGATCATGTCAGCGAAAACATACGCGGCCGGCACCGGGTCGCCGGCCTGGAGGAGTTGGTCGATTTCGGAATTTTTCGCATCAAATATTCCAAGTCCCTTCTCCACGAATTGTCGACGTACGTACGCACGCTGCTCCTCCTTGGGCACGGATTTTCCTTCGTCATCAAGGTAGTTATAGAGCTTGGTCTCTAAGTACTCAGAGGAATGTGTGGCATTCTCAAGGACACCTGGGAACCATTTGTAGTCAGGATACGACTCATGAAGCTGCCGGGCCGCCGATAGACCTCCGGTCTCGTGATCCGATGTGCTAACAAGCACACCGGGGGTAGAGTCTTTTTCAAGGAATTCCAGGACAGCAGCAAAAGCTCTATCATAAGCTAGGACTTCATGGACCTGGGCGGCAGGATCATTGCCATGGCCAGCATGGTCAATACGCGAACCTTCAATCATAATAAAGAAGCCCTTGTCGCTATCGCGTGTGGCATCGCTTAAGGCTTTCAAGGCCGTGCGAGTCATTTCTTCCAGAGAAGGATATATGTCGTTTTGAAATCGACGGTCAATTTCGAATGGCACATTCTTTTCCGCGATAAGGCCAAGTAATGGAAGCTGGGCCGCACTGCCCATTTTAAGTCCATCGAACCCTTCACGGTCATCAATATATGAAAAACCTTTAGATTTGGCAAGCTGCACAATATCTCTGGCGTCACCACGACAGCTGCCAGAAGTAGTGTTTGGAAGGAAATGGCATCTGCCTCCCCCAATGATAAGATCAACCTGGCGTCCCAGCGGGTATTCTCCGATTTGGTGCTCTGCAATCAAGTCCTCATACGAGCGCATGTTGGCATGGGAAGAAAAGCAGGCGGGGGTGGCATCTGTAATTCTCGTTGTAACCACCAACCCTGTCATATACCCAGCCGCCTTCGCTGCCTCTAGGACGGTCCCGCATGGGCTATGGTCGGGCAGCACAGAGATAGCACCGTTATAACTCTTCTTCGCACAAGAAAATGCCGTCGCGCCCGCCGCAGAGTCCGTAATCAAGCTAGACGATGATCTTGTTCGAGACTGTCCGATATGATGCTTATCCAAAACGAGAATATCGTCGATGGGAAGGCCATCCCGCGATTGCCGGAAGCTCCGTGTCATCGACAAACTCGTAGGGCCCATTCCATCAGAAACCATGAAAATAAGATTCCGTTTTCCTGCCGGCTTATCGCCGGGGGCCAAGCTTCCTTCATGTCTACCGGTCGACTGCTGATGCTGGTACACGACTGCGAGGATGATAACGGCTGCAGTGGCTATTAAAGCCCAGGAGAACAATCCAACTTCACGCCAGAATGATGGACCACGGCCGCGCTCGCTTCGATGAGTCCGCTGACCGGTGAGGAGGGCATCTTCTTCGGCATCGCTTCGTTCCGGCGAGTGGTCGGAGGGTACTAGCAAGGGATCGTTCCGGGACATTATGACGACAGTCGTCTAAACGCAGAGCGAGGTTCGGGTGAAATCACCCGGGGAAATGACTGGATATTATAGGAGCGAGAGGCATCCAAGTCACCTCATAGTAAAAGGAGATTAAGGCCAGGAAGAGAGAAGGCTACTGTTGAGGTTGATGATGCTGATACGGGCGCCTCTCCCGGCTGTTGAACCTTGGTTGGTGTCACTGGCGCGCCAAGCCTCCCCGTTTGGTCATTTGACGGCTCAGGCACATTGGAACGCGGGCGACCTTGGAAGGCTTTGATATTTGATAGATATATGTAATTTAGTCTCGATACGATTTATTTTATTTTACTATCCGAGAGCTCAGCTATTTAGGATAGTTAGCTTATCCACTCCGTAATTAACGAACCATCCAGGCCATAGTGGAGATGCGCCTCCCCAAAAAAAAAAAAAAAAAAAAAAAAAAAAAAAAAAAAAAAGGCACCGGATTTCCTCCAATATTCGTCTCGCCGATTTGAAGGAAAACATAGCCCTGCCGTCTTTACAATTCTATCTGTACACTTCGACAACTTGTAGATAAACCTCAAAACACGCTTTCGATCCGTAGAGTATACAACTCCCTCTGCATTGGCACTAACCTTCCCGTCCTAGAGGAATCAGTGCCGCAGCAACTTCTCGAACTCCTCGCTCCGTAGCAAGAAGATTAAACTGCGCAGCGGCGTTTCTTGTATCTTGTATCTCAATACGTATTCCGAGCTGGTTAATATGCCTTCTCGTCTCCGGCGAAATAGGGCGAATAGTCCTACCAAGACCAAGGATAAGCAGGTCTACACGAAGAGCAGAAAGGAGTTAGTAAAAGTCAGCGAACCAAAAAGATATCACATCTCCTCCCAGACCAATTGAACAAGCAGGAAAAGGACATTCTCAACCCACCAGGCTTCGGCCACACCAAACTCAAAACACCCCAGGCCTCTTCCGCAACCTCCCACTGGCCCTTCTCATTGACCATGGCTCCCTTCCCAGCCTCCCACGGCTTCCACGCAAACACCTCGCCATCGACCAACAAGCACCCACTCCCATCGGTAATCTTAACCCCATTATTTAGATGAAACCCATCTTCCAAACAAGCATCAATCGCCGTGGATGGAGCCGCAACGTTGGCAAAGACATCCAACGCCCCAAGATCCGTCCGCATGCTCGTGTTCGTGTCCGAGTCTTCCGGCGGCGGCGGCCCGCGGTAGCGGGATTTCGGCTTCAGGTCTGCGGTGGTGAGCTCAGTGCGGCGACGGGGCTGTGGCGGCGGGGCCCGTCGTGGAGGCTGAAGGGGCGGTTGCCTGCCGTTGCCACCATGGTTGCTGCTTTCCGGGCCATTCAGGGCGACCGAAGAGGATATCGCGCGGTGTTGCTGCAAAATCGGCACGATGAAGGGGGGATTGGCGGGTCGGGAAACCGGACACCGGCGGAGATGTGGTTGTTGCGCAATGGCCCCTTCGAACGACGTAATGGACGCTCGCAATATCCGAAGGAGCTGGGTGGATGGAGAATGCATCTTCGGTGTATTTTGTGATTCGTGTGAAAAATGAGAATGCAAGAGTACAGCATGCACCTCGGACGTATGTACGTATGTCTCGTCGCCCCAGCGATGGGGTAGTTATTATCCCGCGCGGGCGAAAATGTTCCCGTTGGTCGCGGCTATTGAAGCAAAAATCGCTGTGTGTTGCGGGAATTGGAAGAAGTGAAGGAAAAACAAAGTTTTTTTCCCTTTTTCTTTTTTTTTTTATTTCCTCCAGCGAGTGATGCACAGCCAATGCTTTTGTTGCCTATGTCACACCTCTGCAACGGCTAATGAAAGTCAAGGGCTCTGTATCACCTCGCAAGAGTACATACATATTTGAGACAATGTTCCACGGAACGGGACGAATTTCTACTGTGCTCAGCAGCCAAGCGTCGGTGGGCCTTGGCGTGCGCCATTCCGCTCCGCTTGTGCTTGGCAGTCCATCCCTCCAGACATCCTCCCGGGGCTTCATCGCGACCCCAGCGCAATGGCCCCAGGCGACGAGAACTCTTCTTTTTACTGAATACAAGCCGAACAAGAAATGTATATTGTAGCAAAGTGATGCATTTTTTTTTATTGACGCGCTAACTTTAACGGTCATGGAACTCAAGAATTCTAGGCCTTCCCGCCCCCCACACTCCCCGGAAAGATAATGCGCAGAAAAGGCAGTTGAAATTAATATTAAACTGTCCTGTCCAGAGAAGGAAAAGAAAATGGATATGGATGGCCTAGGATGCGTTCGAGTACAGTAAAACAGCATATCGAGGAGAAAACATCATGAACTTCGTCCCAGTGCTTTTTTTTTGGTAGAAAGAGAATGCCGTAAAAGAAAAAAAATCAAAGACAAATGACCTTGACGCCTCCGATGATGAACCGTTGGTAAATGCCATGAGTTGAATGCGCATTCAGCATCAAGTAGAAATTCGTCCCTCGTTGTCTCCTCCCCTCCTTGCTCTCCTTCCTCATGTCCGTCTTAACCATCGTTCGAACTGGAATATTATGAAGCAGCGGAATTTAGTGGCTTTGGCCCTTGGTGTCGGAGATTTTAGACGACCGCTGGCCCAAAGATGGACGCACAGGCTTTGGGTCCGTGGCTCCATCGCCGCCGACGTTTTCATCGTCTGACTGGCTTGAACTGTCCTCACCTCCTGCTGTTGTGGACGCAGTTCGCAGACGCTCTGCACGAACCTGCAGTACCTGCGCCTCTGCCGCCGCGCGCTGTGCTCGGATTTGCTTTCGCCACATGCTGGCATATCGTCCTCTCATCGCGAGCAGTTGCTCGTGATTCCCCTTTTCAATAACTTGCCCGTTGTGAAGCACAAGAATCTGGTCAGCAGTAGTTATAGTGCTTAAACGGTGAGCGATGACAAGCATTGTGCGCCCCTTGGATAGAGTAGACAAAGCCCCCTGGATATGTTCTTCTGTGTCAGTGTCAAGCGCAGCGGTAGCCTCGTCAAGTAAGATAATGCGCGGGTTTTTCAAAATGGTGCGTGCAATAGCTACTCGCTGCTTTTCACCGCCACTCAATCGAAGACCACGCTCTCCAACCTTAGTTTCGTAACCATCTGGGAAGGTAAGGATCCTATCATGAATGCTAGCAGCGCGGCATGCATCAAATACATCTTCATCAGTTGCCGACGGGTTTGCATATTTCAAGTTGTACATCAGAGTCTCATTGAAAAGGACAGTATCCTGCGGAACAACGCCAATGTGGCTACGAAGAGAGTCAATCGTGATGGTGTCAACATCGCGGTCGTCGATCAAGATATTTCCTGAAAGAGCGTTGTAGAACCGGAAGAGAAGACGGAACACTGTCGATTTGCCACCCCCGGACTCCCCTACAAGAGCTGTAGTGGTTCCTGGCTCACAGTGGAAAGTCAAGCCATTCAACGCCGGTTTGCGGCAGTCATATGCAAATTCAACATTGTTAAATTTGATATCCCCAGTACAACGCGACAATGTGGACGCTGAGGGACCATCAATGACAGTTGGCTGTTCTCTAAAGAGCTCCAGCATTCGCTCCGAATTAATCAAGGCAGATTGAATTGACCGGTAGAATGTGCCAAAGAAATTCAATGGTCCCTGAAGCTGCGCCATGTATGTCAACAGTGCCACAAATTGGCCTACCTTGCGCTCTCCTGTGGCTACTTGAAATGCAGCAATAAAACAGGTTATCATCAGTCCCAGCATGAAGACAGTGTTCTGAGTTGTGTTCAGCAATGTGAGTGAGAAGAGAACTTGATACTCTGCCTTCTGAAAGTCTTTGACAGCATCACGATAACGGTCGAATTCGTATTGCTCGGCGTTGAAATATTTCACTGTTTCATACGACACCATTGAATCATTTCTGCAGCAAATGTTAGGTAAAAGGGAAAAAAAAAGAAAAAAAAAAAAGCTTCTTTTCCACTCAAGGACAACAAAAGACAACTTCCACACTTACTTGACTGCATCCTCCTGTCTGTTTGCATTGACCATCTGTCGCCGCATCTCTGCTCTCCATTGTGCCAGGCGAACTGTCACATAAAGATAGACAAAAGTGACCACAGTTACCACCAGGGCATAGTACACGTCAAATGCGATAGCAAAATAAGCGACCGCAACGCACAAATCAACAAGCATGGGCACCACCTGGAAGGTCACTTGCTCCAGAAAAGTATTTATGGAATTTCCTTTGTTCAATGCTGAAATCACCTCGCCAGTTTTCTTTCCAAGGTGAAAATCCAAGCTAAGACCATGCACATGTTCAAATGCTGCAGTAGAAAGTTCCATATAGGAATATTGACTGACTGGAATCCAGAGGAACGAACGCAACGATCCGATCAAACCTTGATTTCCTTGCAGCCAGCGATAAAAGACGTATAGGCATATTCCTCCCCAAGGAATATAGAAGGATTCGCCCCCATCCTGAGAAAGGACGTTTGTTATTGTACCGATCTGATGCGGCACTAGGACGTTGACTACTCGTTGCAATATAACAAGGCCAAAGCAAAAGACCACTGTCAACTGCAATCGGCGAGATTTTGAAGGCCACAGATAAGGGAAAAAAATGGAATATCCACTGAGATATTCCCACCAACTAGTTGAAGGAACGGAGACTGGTCGAACCCAAGCGGCTTCTGCTTCAACGGGTTTAGGGTTCTGAGCTTTGGAGTTTTGGTGAGACGATCCGTACCCATTCGTACCGTTGTTAATGGCAGATGCGGAGCTCAGCAATCTTGTTGTTTCTGTGGACTCGCCGGCCCCATTGTTGTTGTCCATCCAGCCAACAGAGCTAAAGGTATACAGCAGGACAATTCCCACGAAGGCCAAAAGGCGAACAATGGCGACGACGACCTCTGTTGATTCCCATCCAGTGATGCTTTTCCTAATAGGACCACCACTCGGATCACCGATGGCCGGTTCATGGTGAGGGCCTGTATACAAAGCGAGATGCGCGGCAAGGATAGCCACTTCCAGAGGCACAGCTAGCACCCATGGGTACAGTTGTGCGAAGGTTGGAGACGGAGTGGTATCGACCAGAGATACCAAGACAATGGCCCAAGCGAAGAACGAACCCACGATATAGATCTAGCAAGTCACACGGTTAGCACTTGATAATGCGAGCGTCGACGGGGTTTACGTACCACGACGGATTGTCCTGCCCACCAATGCTCTTGGCGATAGAAGATGGTATGGACCATGGTCAAGGCTGCATCGGCGACAAAGGTCAACAGCACGCCGACCGAGAGCCATTTGAACGCGAGCTTTGTCGTGGCCGAGAAATCTGGTGCCAAGCGGGTTGTGACCACGGCCGTACTCCGCATGCGCCTGGGTAGGGGTCTGCCACCAGGGCCGGTCGTAACAGCAGCATTGCTCTTGATGTGTTTGGCGGATATGATCGAGTTTGCTACAAAGGTTATAGCGAAAACAATGACGATGATTATAGGTGAACTGGTCTGCAGGTACTGCAGGGCGCTTCTGAGGGTTTCATTCTCGATCTGGTCCCGCAGGCCGTTGGCAGTAGCAACAGACTCCATATTTCTATCGAGCCTGGTGCTTATCTTTCTTCAACCGTTATTGTGATTGGGCAGTTTCCATGATACAGGGTGTGTGGTCGTGAGTGGGAAGACGAAAGAATGGCGCGAAAGTTATTGACTGGAAGAACTGGCACGCGCAAACGACAGTAACCAAGTGGGATATCAGGTGGGCAGGGGGCACAATTCTTGAAAGGGTTTATGACAGAGTCCGGCACGAGGCAAATGAGCGCAGTTGAAGAGCCCTTTTGTGTTTCTTCTTCTGAAAGGGGGTCTGTCCCGAGAGAAGAGAAGAGGAAAAAAACAAGAAAATTAAGAAAAATTTGCGAATCAACTGGAGCAAGGACCGGAAACCCCAGGGCAGAGCGCGAGAGAGAGCGAGAGCTGGAGGAGCAGAAGAACAATTAGAGAGCTGGCAGAAAGCGAGGACGCGTGTGAGGTTGTGTGAGGAGCAGTTCAGGAGCACGAGAGGTGAGAGGTACTTGGGAGGGGGGGATTTTATGGAAAGCGTGAAGATAAAAAGGGCGGGGAGGTAGTTACCCAAACGTCACTGGAGGTGACAACTGTTGCGGGATGGTGGTACAGAGGGAGAGCACAGAGGTGAAGGTCAGGGCGGACAGGCAGGCAGAGAATAAAGAAAAAGAAAAATAAGAGAGGCAGGGAGAGTGAGAAGGAGGAAAAGGAGAGGTACTGTGTGGGTTTGAGGCAGAAAAAAAAGAGAGGGAGAGAGAGAGAGGGTGGCGTATCTGAAGATGGAGAGATGATGTTTAAAAAAAAAAGACAGCTCCAACTCAATCTTGGTCTTCTGACTGGCGCGGAAAGACCCCCCAGAAAGTCAAATATCGATCACCGGCTGAGCAATGGAACAAGTTGTGGCGAAATGGCAAGGCGACTTCACGTCAATTGACAGCAGAGCCTGACGACTTATCTTCTTTTTTTGGCTTAAACAGGACTGCACGGTCTCGCAGTGTATTTCCTCCC